TTCACCGCTGTCGCGGGAGGCGGCGGTCTGGGAGGCGGCGTGGCAGTGGACTTACCGGAGGTTACGGTCGCGGAGGATGCCGTCTCGGTGCCAGCATCCCCGGCGGCTCCTCCATCCGCGGTCTTGAGCACTGCAGAGTCGCTCCCAAAGAGATCTGCCTGACCGCCAGCACTGAACAGGTCTCCAGTCTGCGCTTGTTGCTGACTCTCGCCACCGGGCACGGCGGTGGCGACGTTCGCGGCACCCTGCTCGAAGAGACCAAAAGCGGCTGCGTTTGATTGCGTTGGCTGGGAACCGAGGGAAGGGAAGTCGGACATGAAAGGGTTCGATACGGATCCCGCTGTTCCTGGAGCACCAGCTTGCGCAGAAATTAAGGTGCATCGGTTAGCTTTACGCTCGATTAGTTGCGTTCGAGTAGGGATGCCTCGCAGTTATTGTCCTGCCCCCGTATCGACCCGATGAAAATATACGAAACGCTGCTAAGAAACGTCGTTGTAACTTTCCGCGTCGCTTCCGTTCAGCTTAACAAGGCGAGCTCGGAATTTCTCGTTAATCCGTTAATCCGTTAAGCGAATCAACCACGATTCCTAGGATATTAACGATCTTCGACTTTGCGCGTAAAGTGAAATTTTCTTCTAGTAGGTTCGATTATATTCTTGAAATTTGACGGGACAATATCGAAAAATTAACTTGCACAGGCATCATCTACGGTTCTAGAAATTTTGTTAAGATGCAGAAATATCGGAGAAAATTTGAAGCGAAAGTTTATTCGCAATGAAAAATGTATGAATATGTACATGTATAAGGTGACGGTGAAGAAAAGGAAACGGTGCGATAGTTGACCTAACGAGTGCAAGAATAAAAAATAATCCTCTCCCGAAGAGAAAACTAATCGAGTACTCACCGGATTGGGAGTCTTGATTGCCAAATACGGAAGAGAAACTGTTATCTGTAACAAAGTTATTATTTGCTGGAGGCACTGCGGCAAAACCTACGAACCAAAAATAAAAACAAACAGATAATAGAACAGAACAGAACGGTGACAATGATTAGAGAATTAAAGAAAATCTGACACGTGTTTAAATTAACGGAACGGAAAAGAAAGAAAAAGAAAGAAAAAGACTGAAAAAGAAAAGAAAAAAGAAACAAGAAAAAACAAGAATAATTATATTTACCGTTACCGTTAGTCATCCACATATTGTTTTGCGCTTGTGTGGTTGGGACAGCTGCAGGTTGTGGCGCACCAAACATATCCGCGAAAGGATTGCCTGCCAACTGGAGCAGATCGTCCGAAGCTTTTTGCGACTGAAAGCATCGAAAACGATCCATCGAGTTAATTGGCCCGAGTAAAAGTATAACGCGAAAATTCTCTGCCTACCTGACTCTCGGCTGTCGCCGATGGTGCACCAAACAGATCTACGATCGGCTGGTTAGCGTTATTCGTCGGTGAACTGAGGAATGGATTCGTACTGGGACCACCCGACGGAGATTGCACTTTTGCCTGAAAATTGTCCAACCGATCCTATTTACACGGTCCTATTTACACGGATACGCTTTAAGACGTAGTAGTAGTAGTAGTACCTTGTATTGATTCATAGCAGCTTCCTCTTCCGCGAGAGCTTGCTGCCGCAACGCTTCATCGATATGTCCATTGCCGGCATGGTCGAGGCGATTGTTACTCGCTGCTGTTCCAAACGCAGTACTGGTGGAAGACAGGGCGGACACTCCCGACTTTACATTCGTTCTATTGCTGCTCGGGTAATGATTGGGCGATGGATGCGTGTCGATGGAACAGTGGATTCATAGAGGAAAGGAGGAGAAGCCGTTTTTCAGCGTAGACAAGTGTGGCCATAGGAAAGAAAAGGAACGATTATTGAAAACAAAGGAGAAGACAAACAAACAAACAAAGAAACCAGTGTAGTACGTATAAAGATATAAACGATGTGTAAAAAAGTTCAACTACACAGTGGTCATCCATACGCGCTCGCGTCACACGTACACGCGCATGCGTAACGCTAGCATCCTTTATCGCAGACTGCCTTTTTCTTCGCTTGCAGATTCTTTACTCGCATAATCGCATAAGCAATTACTTGAACGTAAACTACCTAATATGTATAACAATTGAAAGGAAAGAAAAGCATTTACTTTCTCGTTTGCTACTGCTACGAACACACTTACTTGCACGCACGCACACTTACAATATGTACAAGTCCAATGTATGTGCAAGAAAGAATCATCGCCTAGCTCTAATCGCAACATTTCGAAAAGACTAGAAATAAAGTGTGCAACGTTTCACGATCTTCGTACGATAATCGTAAGAAAATTTTCGTTACGGATTAGAATTAAAATCGTGAATATTTCATGAAATATTTGATGAAAAACACATAGAACGGGACGCTGGTGCCATGAATTACAGAAAATTAAAGAGAGAAACGAAACTAACGTTAAAATATTCTATAGAATAATTAGCGATAACGCGTAAATAAAAAGTTTTTAATAAAACATAACGGTTCGAACGTTAAAGGCGAGTGAAATTTCAGCGAACATATATAGTTTGTTAAGGCTTAAAGGAAAGCTCGAAATGCTCGAATTTGTATCTAGAAATCATAAAAGCAACGAATTCTAGTACTAAACACACTCATAAACTGCGAAAGACTATAAATTGCGAAAGAAAATTGCGAATCGAAGAAAAATAGGGGGAGGATCGAGAATTCTGCGTGAAAAAGCGTATGTTTTCAAGCAAGAAAAAATAAATATCGGTATTACCTTCCACCTTAAAATTTACAAAACATTTTGCGAGGAAATAGTATGAGTGTCGGTTGGATGAAAAGTGGGATTTGTATTTTTGTATATGTAGAATTCGTAGTAGAATAGTATATAGTAGCAAAGGAAAAAGTCTGATGGGATGTCTAATTTATATGAATTAACGTAAGAACGACGTTCCTCGAAACGCGACAGAAATATCTATCGATGGATTGTTCCCGCTCGAAAATATCTCGTCTTTAAACCGTTTAAAACATATACTTTTGCTAATAAATATATCGCAAAATATTTGTTGAAATCAGTTAATGTCAAGTATCCGAATGAATTATAAACGAAATACCTTGCCGACTGCGTTGGAGTGTTCGCTGCGGAGCCCTTCTTTCCTTCTAACGAAGCGAGGTGTTGCTCTAACGCATCCAACAGGCTACTCGGAGCCTGAAAATAACGTTCGTCTTCGAACATTTAATCGAACGCGAAACAATCTGTATCGATATCGGGTTAACGATTAATTAATATTACCTTTGTTAGATCAGGTATATCCCCCTTATCGATACCGACATTCTGTAAAATAATAAAGTTAGTTTCCGAGATAACACGCACGAGACTTACGCGTTAGGTCCGATTTTTAGTAGAAGAATAGCTTGAACCGACCTCGGCAACTTTCAGGAATTCGCCGACCCGATCCATTCGTATCAGGAACTTTTTGTACAAATCCAAAGCCTCGCGGCATTGCTTTTTATTCATATCAAAATATTTTTCTAAAATTCGGTAAAACACAGATTAAGTTGAAGTCGTTAAAAGTCGTTAAAAGTCGTTAAAAGTCGTAAAACATAAAAGAATAGCGTAGATACCGTACCTAGTAAATTAATAATGCCATCGTTGTAGCAAGCGAATAGTCGAATCAGATCTCGAAAAAGGAGCATGAAAGCCATGTTTATAACGCCGTTTGTAAGGTCATTAGCGGTACAGTCGAATTCGAGTAACGCGTCCAATTGTGCCTGCAGAACCGGTAAGGTTTTCAATAATTTCTCGGCATTCATTGTGCGCAGAGTGCGATCATCTTTTCTGAAACATCGTTTTGAACAAGTTAGATCGATGACTTTTCAACTGGGAATACATGTACACAGAAAGAATATTATTAGGGGATAGATACTAACCCTCTTTTCACTTTGCAGAAATCAAACGCTACCGTTCTGTAGGAAAGAGCCTTCTCGTTCAGATATTTCGCGTATCTTCGAATAAACGGTGACATGTCATAACCTAATAAGCAAACAATTATGATTATTTGTTTAAGGCTTTTCTTGTTCGCGCGCATTAAGTAATATACAATATCTCGACAAGGTAATTCGAAGGAAAAAAAGAAAGAACATTCGAGTGTGGTTAGATTGCATAGGTGAAACCGAGAAGAAACATTAAAGAAATGCAGGTGTGCAAGTATTCAGAAGTATGCAGAATACAGCGTAGGTGGTGTGCTCTTGTTAGAATTGCCAGTATTAATAACACGCTTCGAATTTAAAGGTGAAAAGCGCGTGCACTATACACACACACACATAGAAAATTTGTATAGAAAAGTAAAGGAAGATTCGTCTCGGTCTTTCTCGCGAGAACTCTGCGTCGCGTATACAGAGAGAAAGCAAGCGATGGTATCGATTTCGTTGCAATTATAAATCCCCAATTATAACATTTGGATATTTTCGAAAATGTCCGAAGAGAAAAAAAATGATCAACGAAAGATATCAAGATAACAAGGAAATAATGGAATATTGACTCACCGATGCGTGCTCCTGCTGTGCCCAAATACAGAAAAAATTAGTTCCATGTTAGTAAATGATAGACATAGGCCAGATACAGATAGCTGCAGGATGCTAGGAAGTTAGTCAGGAAATACTTGAAGAAAAAATAAATAATTTTGATTCGAAAGAAGATATTATGACGAACATTCGTATAACTACTTTCTCTTGAACCCCATATACAACCAGATTTTTCAGATTTTTCAGATTTTTCAGATTTTTCAGATTTTTCAAATAAACCAGTAAAAACTATTATTGGTTACATAAAGTTAATCGATAAGAGTGCGTCGGTGCGTAACGAACCGGAATCCGTGTTAATTCGATTAATTATTACATTATTATTAATTCGAACGAGACAGTCGTGTAGTTGTGCTCGCGTGCGTGTACTCTACTCGAAATAATTGAACATTACGTTTCTCATCGACATCGTTAATAAGCGAAAAAAGCAAAACGACAAGAATAAAGTTAAAATTTTCATGCTACATATTTGGATAGAGGTTCGATCAGACAACCAAAACTGTTTATCACGATTTCTAAATGCCCTGTTCGATACTGGTTATCTAATTGAACCACTCGTCGGAACTTTTAAACAATTTGATCACCTTGCACGCCGCTTTTATCGAGAAAATTACTGAGCTGAAACGTGCTGTTGCTGGACGCCAGGTACTGCGTAAACCTCTGCAACAAAAAATACATTCGCAACACGTTAATCGACGTTTCTTCCAAACAATCGTCGCTTATACGTTCCTTGTTCCTGCTTCGATCGGTCGTATTTTAAGCCCGATACATAAGTATAGAAAATATAGAAATATAAATGGAAAATATAATTCGAATTATATTTCGATTCGAATCGTAATCGTTATTAGTGGGGCGTGGTAAATCCGTGCGCGGAAATAAGCATGTTAGAGTCGGTGTTCTATCGAATCGCATGTGCAAACCGCAAATGTTAGACTCTGGCCACGGACTCGTGCTATTCGATCCCATGCACATTCGCGCACAGGCGACTGGCAAGGGCGACGACACTTCCCCTCTTCGATTCGTCGCTCAACCGAAATGAGTTAGATGACCTCTGAACGAATGTAAATAATACTATAGGTAAGTTACGCGAATCGCTGCGATTTACCGTGAAAGAAATCGCCATTAGAGGAACGAAAAAGCAGATTGTCTGGCAGTACGCGACGACATAACGCGAAAATATTCGTCTACTCGGAACGCACAATACACAATACAACGAGATTTTTCGCCTTTTTATCAAGCCCAAAAGATCTACTAACGTTTAACCGTCGAATCAACGGAATAAATAAGTTGAACTTTTTGCAGCACGCCGCAGAGATACGACAAACAATTACCGTAAAGAAGCAATTAATCGGAATCGTCGGTCAAGAATCGTCGGAAAGTATCGTCGGTCCTCGGTAGTTGCCTTTTAATCGAATCCGTTTTAATTCCCGACTCGTTGTTCGTTCGGATGTAAAAAGAAAAAAGGTACTTTGTCTCGACAAGAAGCGCTTATCGATACTTAACGATACTATTCTGCATCGCAGACAGAGATTTACCTCGTTGCCATAACAAAGTATATGGTGGACCGTGATCAAAGCTTTGAAAACCACTGTCCAGTTCGTGTTCTGTGACCGTTCTATCAGCAAATTCGCTAGTTGAGGTACCGACACGTTCGGTTCGTTCGTGCATCGTACCAAATCTGAAAATAAAAGGTATTTTTATTTTAATTTAAAGAATCATTCTTCTAAAGAAATAAATTTACCGGATCATTTTATTTCTCGCAAAAAGATAAAAGTCCGTATAAACCTTCTCATTGTTCGCCGGGTGTTCGGAGTGGCAATAAATACTAGTAGTTATCGGTTTCGGAGGCCGTTCGCAATAAAATTCTGGTACGCGCATTTGGACGGGACGGAACTTTATCGGTTTCTTTCTTGTCCGCGTTGAAACAACGACTAAGAGATACGCGTTGTTTTTACCGCATCCATCATTGATACGTCTAGAGCAGCCGGCGATGAAAACCGTAATGATCCCTAATTGAAAGAGCAAAGCGACAACCTTACGATTCTACTTCGCTACCGCGTATACGGCGCTAGACGAAATGCCGATCCCTCGACACCGACGAATACCCGAAGAAAACAACCGCGCTGTAACTGTGCCATTCCAAACGGTAACGATCGCGTATTCGATCAGTCGTTTACCAAAATCAACCAATAGATATACCAATGACCGTTTCTTCTTTCCTATCGTTACATATGTATATTCTGAAAGCGGCTATTTATTCCGAGAGAAGAAAGCTCCCGTCGTGTGTCATACTCGTTGCCAAAAGATTTTAGAGATCGCTCGACCTTGTCGCGCACGCTTCCTCTTCTAATAATGTACTAGCGAACGCGAGCGAGCAAACTCGACAAAGTCGTGTCTCGTTCACTAGTGCCCTTCTATTTATAAAAGGTAAGAAAAGTGCAAGATTAGACACGCAGTTCGATGCGTTTCCGCCACCGGTTTAACGAAGCCGTGCTGCTCTCTCTTCGAGAAAATCAATAGTCGAGGAGGTGCCCTTTACCAAGGTCACCTCGCGATCCTTGCTTTCAAAGCGAACTTGCCGTTCGAACAAAAAAATTACCTACCAACTACCGCGCCGAGCGATCATACCAACGGAAGCTTATCGACTTATTAAATAGTAGAACAGTACACTCGTTGAATAGTAGACACTTATAGAAACTTATCGAAAATAGGAAAGGTAGGATTTTACTTAGTAAGAAAAATAGTAGAAAAATATATTTAAGTAGCCACGAAATACGATTCTAATTACGAGACCTTCCAGATATTCGGAAAGTAGCTTTACGCAAATATGGCTTCCAATAAAATCGATAAAGTCGACACTCGCATACCGTCCCTCCTTTTCTATATTTATTTTTATAAATAAACAACGACGCAGTTTAACGCGTTTAGAACGGTTTGTCTACTTAAGCGGAAGAAAATCGACGAATCGAATACTCGCGACGAAGAACAATAAGAAACGGAATGTGAAATATGCTATGTAGAACGTAAAAGAACGCAATCAATCCGTTATCGAAATTATCTGAAAGTTGAAAGGGGTGTGTGCACGCTGAGATGTTCCTCCCGAGGCCAGACTCGAACGGGGGGCGTCACCGATAACGTGTTTTGGTAAGACGATAGCTGCAACAAGCACGGATTATCAAAAAGAACTTTTGCGAATCGCAAAACGTTTTATCGATATTTTCACCTGCTACCGGATCGAATTTTAATTGTATCGTCAGGACAATCGAATGGAACGACAGCTTTTTCGTTTATGTTTAAAATTCAGCTTTAACTTGAGGGGGGGAAGAAAACAATTTACAACGATTTAACAATGTAAAATAATATTGTCGCGACAATTGTATTCCGTTACGTAAAAATGCAGCAATACCTGCGCAACCCGATGTAACCACAACATCCAATCGAATCGAGTGATGGCAGGGGTCTAAAATGGAACAGGCCGAAGGACAACGATTATCAAGAGAAAGAAGAAAAAGAACCGTGCGAAGAAGGCACAGGAAACGAGCTACATCGATAGGAACGAATACCATGAAAATCTTGGACGTGATTCATCCGTGCAATGGCCGCGCTCAATTATGTAGCTGAACAAATTGCACGATTCGATGAGTCTCGGAATAGACATTCGTATTACAGGTGTTTTGTATGCCGCGCTTTCAAAGCGAACTTGCCGTTCGAACAAAAAAATTACCTACCAACTACCGCGCCGAGCGATCATACCAACGGAAGCTTATCGACTTATTAAATAGTAGAACAGTACACTCGTTGAATAGTAGACACTTATAGAAACTTATCGAAAATAGGAAAGGTAGGATTTTACTTAGTAAGAAAAATAGTAGAAAAATATATTTAAGTAGCCACGAAATACGATTCTAATTACGAGACCTTCCAGATATTCGGAAAGTAGCTTTACGCAAATATGGCTTCCAATAAAATCGATAAAGTCGACACTCGCATACCGTCCCTCCTTTTCTATATTTATTTTTATAAATAAACAACGACGCAGTTTAACGCGTTTAGAACGGTTTGTCTACTTAAGCGGAAGAAAATCGACGAATCGAATACTCGCGACGAAGAACAATAAGAAACGGAATGTGAAATATGCTATGTAGAACGTAAAAGAACGCAATCAATCCGTTATCGAAATTATCTGAAAGTTGAAAGGGGTGTGTGCACGCTGAGATGTTCCTCCCGAGGCCAGACTCGAACGGGGGGCGTCACCGATAACGTGTTTTGGTAAGACGATAGCTGCAACAAGCACGGATTATCAAAAAGAACTTTTGCGAATCGCAAAACGTTTTATCGATATTTTCACCTGCTACCGGATCGAATTTTAATTGTATCGTCAGGACAATCGAATGGAACGACAGCTTTTTCGTTTATGTTTAAAATTCAGCTTTAACTTGAGGGGGGGAAGAAAACAATTTACAACGATTTAACAATGTAAAATAATATTGTCGCGACAATTGTATTCCGTTACGTAAAAATGCAGCAATACCTGCGCAACCCGATGTAACCACAACATCCAATCGAATCGAGTGATGGCAGGGGTCTAAAATGGAACAGGCCGAAGGACAACGATTATCAAGAGAAAGAAGAAAAAGAACCGTGCGAAGAAGGCACAGGAAACGAGCTACATCGATAGGAACGAATACCATGAAAATCTTGGACGTGATTCATCCGTGCAATGGCCGCGCTCAATTATGTAGCTGAACAAATTGCACGATTCGATGAGTCTCGGAATAGACATTCGTATTACAGGTGTTTTGTATGCCGCGCGTTTACGCGTTAAATACAACGATTACGTATCGACGATCAACGAATTCGTCAGAGGAGTCACTGAACGTCGGGAAAACTATTTCGAACGCTGGATGGAAAAGCGATCAACCCGCTCATACGAGTATGCGCGTATTTATTGTTGAAAGATTTCAGTGAAAGCACCCGAGTTCGAAGAAATCCAGAAATACGCGTAACCTTCCATCGAAGATCGTATAGAAAGTTAGCAAGGATGCGCAAATATCCTCGTATGTCGAATATCCGCGAAATCGAATCTGGTTATATTCCTTTTCGAGTGTATCGTTCTCGACGAACGATTCGGATTTCGGATTCTTGCCCGAAACCGTCCGATTTTTTCCGAGCCGAGTCGACTCGAGTCGAGTCCGACTTTTCATCTCGCCAAACTTCACCACCTCAGACGGTCTACGGTTTTATTTTTAGAATGACATGTGATCATCCATCGAGGTGACCCCCGAATAAGCAAGAATCAAGAACGATCACGAGGTCATCGGCTGGGAATCAAGTGTACGAACGATCGATACACAGAATCTCGGAACGAAAGCTACGCTCTGGAAGAGGATTCGCGCGTAGTGGGCATGTGCGAAATTCCTACGCTTCGAATCGACCGTTCTCGATTACCCGATCGATTCTATCTTTCCTGATCCTCGCCATCTCCTTTCCACCTTATCGTCTTCCTCGCGATTCGACATTCAATTCTTTCTGTTTCGCGCTTCCAACTTTTCACTTCTCTTCGTCGGTAAACTCGACCGTTCACTCGTTCGCTCGTTTAAAGTCTACACGTTTTCTATATGTACGAGTTATTCTACGCGAATAACTTACCACCAACCGGGTTGCTCTCGACCTACGTAACGAGAAACTAAGAAATTACGATGAAAACGCGTAAAACGCCCAACGACGTTATATAGATTGTCGATATATCGAAAGATCGCTAATATATTCTAAAACTGTTTCCGAGTATCAGAGTAATTACTATTACGTTAGTTTTAACGCGTTAGTAGATCGGAAGAAAGACCAACTTCTGTTTCGCTTCGCTAAAACGAAACGATTTGAAGAAATTTTATTTTCTACTAGATAACTATATAAGTACTAGATTCGACGTGATTTTTCAACGATCGGATCAAATGGAACAATTGAAAATGATTCGATATAACTGAAAGGTGCAAAGACCGGACACGCTACACTCTTTAATCAGGGTGGACTTTTAAATTGAAATAGATACAGGTCACAGCACCTACGCATATACCTATAAACCTTGATGCAACCATGCGACAGTGAAATCGATAATCGTGAGGAACTCGTGCGGTTTCCTATCATTCGGATAACAACTTTTTTGCCCGTCGATAATCGAGTTTTTGCGCCATCGGTAACAAACAACGTTCGATTAATAGATTCAATTTAAAACGAAAGACTGTACGAAAGTGACCGACATAAATCTGATATTGACCTTTTGCGCCTTATAATTTGAAAAATTCCGATTATTATCATTTCGGTAATATTACTGGTTAATGATAGTCGGCTAGAAACGAGATCGATTTACCGACAGTTAAACGAACAATTTTCAAATTTCCTTGCTCTTCGCGTATCGCTGCTAACCGTGAACATGGTAACGGATACGAAAGCGATAAGGATTATACGATATACAATATACACGCCAACTCCATAATTATGTACCTATATATATATATATATATATATATATATATATTCGAACATGCTTCATCATTTTTTTTTCTTCGTATTCGACGAATGTCGTCGCAAACAAATTTTGACTTTAACGCGTCCGTAACAGGCGTTCGTGAACCGATAATATGGTAACAACCAGCTCGTACAGTCACGGCAAACTTTAAGGAATTACTTTCGCGTGAAACATCGTTTATCACTGCTATCCGCTGATACAAAAACTTTCACCGTTACTTAATTAGAATTAACGATGAAATCGGGACTAAAGAAAATGATCGATACAATTTCGACAACTTTTCGAACTCTATGGAAGAAAATGATCGATTTCGATGCAAACTGTTTTAATTATCGACAAGAACCGTGTGTGTTGTAATATAATTGTAATGACCGATATGTAACGTGACGGCAGGTGCTTTGTCGGTGAGCTGTGAAATCGATACGTACTGTCGTGTGCATTTGCTCGCGTTTTGCTCGCGAAGATAACGATTTCGTTTTCTTACGAAAATTCCATTCTTTCAAAGGATAAATTGTTACTATTATCCTCGACGTAACGAAATACTTATTAATTATGCAATATAATTTGACATTTTTTCATGACGTATGCTGATTCTTTACTTACTTCGTAAGATACAACGTAATGCCACGAAACAGTCGTAACATCGTGAAATTTTTGCCCTCCTTTCCGCGCCACCCGATCAATTCTTAAGAACTCTCGGATTCTCGTGAATTTACTTTTCTACGAAAGCGCCAGTACGAAATATACCACCTATAACCGTCGCTCGAACCACCTTCGTCGTTCGTGTAATATCTCGAAATGGAAAGTAACCCGTTAAAGGGTAACGGGTAAGAAAGTATGAAAGGTATGGCTCTGCTTCGCGCATTCGATCCAACTAATCCAACGATATTACCTTTTAAACGTCAATTGAGACCGTGCAGTAGTTTCACCGCAAATAAAACGCATGCTACAAAGCGATTTGTTCGAACTTCTAAGAGACAACTAATAAAATTGTACTTTTCTCTCACGAGTTTATGGAAAAGAACCAATAGTCTCGCAACGATCCTGACAAACTATCCTCTCACTTTTACCTTTGAAAACAACGGACGGTGAAATTGGTCGAAAGGACGGAATATTAAAAACGCGGAAGTATATTGAAAGCGGAGAAATAAAATAGAATAACAACGTCTACTCACATTCGAGATGTTTCTTTTTCGGACCTATCATCTCCTCGGTTGTAGCTTTACACACGGATTTGGCAAGGCCCTGCCCGGCGATACTGTGCCTCGCTGCCAATAGTCTGTCGTTGATGGTTTGTCCCGCCATACTGTCGCTGCTTCTGTCACACTCGAATTTTTTACAAGCTCTCTTCGATGTACTCTTCGATCGTCCGATTCTAACGTATTAACACTTCTAGCGATCGTTCCTCGACTCGTCGATAACGATTAACGTGTCACACGCACACCACTCGCGGTAACTGACGAAATGTCTCACTCGAACGATCGAGCGATTAAACGAGTACCGAATGAAAAATACGACGCGCAGCCGGTTCTTCTCGATCTATCGATTTCGTAATTCCCGGTACCGGCCTGTCTACGAAATCGCGATTCGATCGAGCCGAACAGCTCTCTCGCACGCGTTTACGGCTAAGCAGGGTGGACGACAGCTCAGCTCACGGTGACGACAGAAGGCTCTCGCAACCTGCCAAAATGGCGACCCGGACCTCCTACTCCTTCGCCGGACCGATCACTCCTGACAGCCAATCCTCGAGTTTCTCCGCAAACACGGCCCACCATTTCTGACGTCATACCGCCTTGGTCAATATAAACATTTATACAATATTAACAGCCTGTTTCCAATCATTTTTAATTAAGGCTAAATCGACTTTTATATTTTATTCTACAAATAATGCATATCGCTGTGATTGACTTTCATTTTTTAATCGCGTATGCACCATTTCAAACGTTTCATCAATTTCTAGGAACAAATTAAAATCGATAATTAAACTGTTACGAACGAGTTGAATTCTTTTATATAACGATAAAGAAAAAGAAATTGTAGACAGACCAGTATATACGATTAAAATATTGATCGAAATTGATATGCCACGATAAATTTCAAATCGATAACAACCAGTGCATACTTGCGTGTACACGTACTTGCGTGTATATTTTTGGCCAAGTAGCCTATCTTAAATGTATCGTAACAATGATTGAAAATCGTCGCGAGAGAGCAGCTCGTTCGGCGTATATTCATTTTTTCTAGTCTATGGTGAACCTCTTACGATCGACCAAATGAAACTATATACTCGGTAGACAGGAAAGTTTCATCCTTTCTAATTCTGTTCGATTACAATTTGTTCCGCAACATTAAACAAAATACTTTCTTATTGGTATTCGCGTATCAACTAATTACATTATGACTATGTTACAAAAATTAAATGTAATATTTCTTTTATTTTTCTACATTTATCGTATAATCATTTTTATGCTCTCGTTGTTCCTTCGTTTTCAACCACCGTATGGAAATTTCCCTATACTGTCGAATCGCGCAAAACGTTGTCTAGTTATTTCCTTCTCTCGTCGGACGAAATATAGATTTTTTTTAGCGAAAATATTAGAATGTTAGTACGAATGGATTTTATGACAACACAGCTACTCTAGTTGAAAGTTGAAAGATTGAAACTGGAAGATCAGCATATCAATTTGGCGTTATAGATTAATACGAATTTATTTTAAAAAATGCGTATGTAAAGTTAAGAATATATAAGCTGAGATTCTTTGACTGAATTTCAAGACATTCATTTACAGTAATATAGTTATTAAACCGATGATAATTCATTAAATAGGTTAAATTTACCGGCCAACATATTTTATCGCTATATTGCTGTACTCTTATCAATTTTTAAGTTTATAGTTAATTGTCCTTGCATTAAAGATTCTTTCTCAGAAAAAATAATCACTGTTACTTTTTTTCTCTTTATTATCATATTTTCAGCGGTCAGTAGCGGAGTATCCTTTGTATTGTCATCCATTCTTACGGTTCTCGTGTTTTCTGGAATGCAAATATATAGAACTTGGTTAGCATCGTCACAACTTTATACCATATTGGGCGGATATATTGGATCTATATTATTTATGTGCGTATTGACTGCTATTGGAAATCTAGAATCTACGGTATTTGGAAAATCTTTTCAACAAAAATTATTCCCTGAAGGTATATCTCGATGATTAGAAACGCGATAACATCTTAAGCGATGCAAAATTCTAATCGTTTTTATTCGTTGCAGTTATGTTCTCGTTAATTATCAGTTTAATCGCATCAGGATTAGTGCACAGAGTGGCAACTACCACCTGCTTTCTGTTTTCGATGATCGCGTTATATTACATCAACCGGATTTCTCAAGAAACCTATGCTGCACCTGTGCCTACAGTATTGGTACATACGAAGAAAAGAAAATGAAAATATAACCTAAATTCACCATAATCTCTATTTAATTGTATTCGGAAGAAATAATTCATATAAAATCGTTTAACTATAATTCATTTATCATTCACTTACGACTGTATTTTGATCCTTCCAAACCTTATCCCTGTCTCTTCTTACTCTTTTATACGTTGTACATATATATGTCATAAATAACAAAAGAAAATAACAAATAAATCAAAATATATTTGTATCGTATACAACTATTTTACAATATTTCAGGATTTCGTTTTCTTTTGTTCTCTCTATGCTTCTCTGCTTCCTCTTTATCACTGAAATATTCAAAAGATTCATCCGATTCGTGAACATCGAGCGAAGTATCTCTATTTTCTTTCGTATCATCTATACCTATACTAGGTTGGGACAGAATTTGTTTATACACTGTCATTGCCTGCAAACGATAAAATGATTATGAACAATAATATATGTAACTTTATAGAAGAAATATTTTATGGCATACTTGTGTTACTAGAGAAGATATGTCGGAAACATTACTGGGCAGAATCAAAGTATTGTTAACTTTTGCCAGTTTGTTAAACGCTTTAACATATTGTTCCGCTATGCTATATGCAGCTGCATTTTTTGCATCCGATAAATTAAGAGCATTTGCTATAAGTTTTAAACTCTTTGCACGTGCTTCTGCAATAGCTACTACTGCAGCTGCTGTACCAGTCGCTTTATTTATTTCTTCCTGTTTTGCAGCCTCTGTAAAGGTATAATAGAAACTTTTCGCTAATTTACAATTAAACGAATGTTAAAAATTACCCGACGCTAAAATCTGCGCTAATCGTTTTCCTTCGGCAATATTTATTTCTGCTTCTCTGGTACCCTCAGATTCTAAAACTGCAGCTCTTTTTTTCCGTTCTGCTTCTACTTGCATTTGCATCGCTTCTTGCACCCTTTGCGGTAATCTGATATCACCTACGGACGAAAGACAGATATTTTACTACTTTCTCCCATAAGCAAGAAATTATTCATGTTTCAACTCACGTATTTCGTATCTGAGACACGTTATACCCCAAGCTTCGCTCGCTTTATTTATACTATCGACGATGCAAACATTAAGACCTTCTCTCTCCCTAAATACCTTGTCTAATGCTATTTTTCCTAACTCTGATCTCATAGTTGTTTGGGCTAACTGAACTACAGCAAATTCGGCATCCTCAACGCCGTACGAAGCTAAATACGGATCATTTACTCTTAAATATAAAACTCCATCGATATTTAATGTTACATTGTCTGCGGAATAAAATTGTAGGATTAGAATTCTGTTAAACGTTTCATAACAAAATTAACAAGAGTTAACGGTCCATACCCAAAGTAACTGCACTTTGTTGGGGTATCTCTATCGCTAATTCCTTAAGACTTTGAACATATTTAATTTTATCAACTATCGGTATAAGCATATTTAATCCTGGTTCTAAAACTTTATGAAATTTTCCCATCCTTTCGACGACCCATGCCTGTAAAAAGAAGATTATTCGCTGAAGTACCATGCAATCTTAATATTAACATGTACTAAAAATTTTAATATAATATAAAGTGTTTAATATTCTGTGCATAACTAACCTCCTGCTGTGGAACAAATAATATAACAGTATTGAAGGGTGTATCGGATCTGTGTCTGACAAGTTGCGTTATAGATAATTTAGGGACAGCATGTTCAAATCCAAAAATCGATTGATGCTTTAAAAATAAATCATTTTTATTATGTTAAAATTGGACATTCGTGGCCGAAAAGAGGTTACCTATTTCGGTACTATTCAAAATATCACTACTACCTTCAATATTCCAAAATTACGAGCGAGCGTTTTAAAACGGCAATTCATTTCCCACTTATATGTTCGCAATAGCATTATGCTCTGACAGTTAACCAAAGATTTTGGTTAATAAATGTAACAGCACGCAGGTACAACGCGTTTAAACTACGAATAAATTCATTCTCGTCGTTAGGAATTTTCGCGGCAATGTAAATATGCAGACGAAAGTTTACCGTTACATTCAAATAATTGTGAAAACAACAAAACATTTATAGTTTACTTTTCACTTTGCATTTTCATTCGAGTTCTAGCATATTGCTAATAAAACTATCCATTGTTTACAATAGAAAAGAAAAGAAAAAAAAAACAAAACGGGAAAAAACGAAAAAAAATGTTATTTTGGAAAAAGAGGAAATGTAACAAATGTTTTTAAACACGTATAAATAATCGTATAAATCATTCATTAATAATCTAGTAATAACATGACTTGCGGATAATATGCAATATATATATGCAATATGCGATATATGTAAAATGATTACATATATCACGCGTAATACATATATATTGTGTGCACAAATGCATTACAATACTTTCAAGCTTTTATATTCGATTGAAATTAAAATAAATAAATATTTATCTACGTATTATGTATGTATAAATTCGTTGTGTCATAAATAGTGAGACGCGAAGATTTTATATCGAAAATGCATACTGATTTTATTGCATACGGATTTCAGTTCGAAGCTTCCAAGAAAGCAATCGTGTGCATAATTAATCAATGCCATAATGTAAGAAGAATGCTATATTAAAAAAACGTGTTACGTATAAGGTAATTTAGTTTTTTTACCATCGCATTAGTATAATTGTTGTTTGGAATATTTCATTCATCTTGAACTGCTATGAATTAATAAAACCGGTCGTTTACGCGAAGAATATATAAAGGAGAGGAACGATCATGTCAGTATTCAGGCTTAAAAATCGCTGATCGAAGCACAAGGAAGTACGCGAAAGAGTCGTTTTGTAAAATTTGATATCATGCGTTCCTACGTTATACTATTGCTAACTCTCTCTCTTCTTGCATGGACACTGGCCGAAGATCTTTATCCAGATAAATACGATTACGTCGACATCGATAAAATTTTGGCAAATGATAAACTAAGGGAACAATATTACAAATGTTTCATGGAGGTACAACCTTGCGTGACTGCCGACGCACAGTTTTTTAAAGGTAAATTATCAATTTTCGATTCATCGAAGTTAATAAAGTTTCGATTCGTGCCGAAATATAATATGTACGTTAATATCACGAAAGAAATTTTTTTTAACGTTATGTTCTCACAAAATTATCAATCAAAAAGAGGGTTTTTGCAAATGCTTTTTTAATTTTTTTCGACATCGAAGAAGTAACGCATAGGCTCGTATCCACGGTGCCAACACGTTTTCTTTCGATCGACGAAATTTATAATCCTTCTATATATTAGCAAGAAACATAACCGTTTCGAAATTAGAATAAAGCTTTTGTACATTACAGAACACATAACTGAGGCATTTGTAACAAAGTGCCGACTATGCACCGAAAGGCAAAAGGAGTTATTCGATAAAATGGCGGATTGGTACAACAAGAATGAACCGAGCAAATGGCAAGCTTTCGTGGAGAAATCATTAAACGATGCAAAAAAACGTGCAAATAATTAAACTTTATCTTACTAAAGATACGATGTAAAAAGGTTTTATATACTTCTACTAACATTATGTAATTAATATTGAAAATACAATTTTATTAAATAAAATCGAATCAATTGTTGCAATGATAGCGTTTTTTTAAAAAATCTATTATCTCTGTAGAACATTTCATTTATATTGACACATCGTATTCGCGCAAGTAACGCGCTAAATTTTTGAAGCGATCGATACGATCGACTTTACGATACGGTCGATACTATACGATCGATACGGTCGTTCGTGAATTCATTTAAAACTCGTTCGGTGACATTGTCGTCGCATTATAAAAAGTATTCACTCGCAATATTGAAAAGTATTGAAAAAGTAAGTAAAGGTTGTTTAAAAATTTTTATTTCATTCAACGATTTTATTTGACAAGAAACTGGGTCATGAAATATAATAACGAGTCTAGATAACCAGCTATAATCGATACCGTGATCGCGCAGGGTACTAAGTAGAAAGTTTAAATTAAAATTTAATATCGCGATAAAAACAAACGCTTATTCTTCAAATTGGGAAAGAAAATGGTTAAAAAGGTTAAATATAAATTGATTACCGAAGGAATAAAGGTTCGTAATGATTGGTCAGTAGAAACGGTCACCTAAAGATTAACCAATAGGAGATAGCGTTGTTCAACCGAAGTAAAGTAATGTAGTCGTCTGGGAGCAGCCTACTGTGATAATTGTGTGGCAATTGACAGTACCAGCGGAAAATATCGTGTATGCGAGTGGGTATCACTATACAGTTCAAAATTATATGATAATCGAAAATGTCATCGCCTACACAAGTAGTAAGTAACGTTTTCCATTATCGATTTTCCTGTTCGCGTTCGTGTTTTCAATTACCTTCGATGAATTCATATGTTTTCCTTGTTACTCGCGTTTCGACGCATTTTTCTATACCTCTTCTCACGTACCGATTCGTAAGGCAAGTCTACCGAATGATTGTTTTCTTCCAACATTTAATCGCAACAAATAAGCTAAAGGTCAATGACGAACATACTCTCGAACAGCTGTTTTCTTTGTTTTGAATGAACGCTACAGCGTTAGTGCGTAAGCATATTCATTGCTGACTTTCCTTTTTGTTTACGGACCATTAATAACTAATGTTGGTAGTATTGTAGTTACGTTTTTACGTGTTTATTCGTGACAGCTGGGAATGGAAATATCGAATATGCATTAATAAAGCTTAGCATTATTCTACTTTATTATATCGAAATCGATATTTTTATTATTCTTATTACTTTACGCGATTTATATTTAACAAATGATCAATTGTTGTCGTGAATTAACAATACGTTTATCGATGTGCTAACTATATGCTGCTAAATAATAGTCCTGGCTATATTGCTGCAGTCCTCTAATAATTGTTTAATCAACCATTTAGCATCATTGCGTATATTGTACATATATATTATTTTTTATTGAAACGTAATTTTATTCTATATATGGAGTACAATCAGTTTTTGAAAGTTATCAATGCCGTAGAATGTAATCCTAAGCGTTTAGGTAGATTTGCTTATGGCCAAACATTTTCTGTATTATCTCCAGACAAATTAAATATTATGTTTTCGCATTACCACAATACATTATATTATTACCTTATCTGCTCTTTGTCGGTACAATTAATATACTTTTGTTAAACACGCTTTGCAATACGTATGCAAATAAAACCCCTTTATTTACTCGAAGCTAATTTTATGTTTCTTATAATAATATTAATGAAACATTAATGAAAGAATTTCAAATAAAAATTTAAGATTCAACTTAATATTAAATACGTGTATGTTAATCAATAACCTCGATTCTATTTCAGTGACATGTTTTGTCTGTTCCAGTTAAAAAGTATTGGCCCAAAATTAGTTCCTTTCTTTAAAAGCGTATCCGTGTATTTTATATTATTGGCCGAGCAACCATCGCTCCTGACGGCGTGTTTCAAGTGTTTGCCAATTATAAGTCTAATCGTCTTTGTTCTTCTACATGGAGTTAGTTTATCGCAGGAGTAAGTGCAGAAGAATTTTGCATGCACAGATTCCTTTGTTTCTACGATCATGTTCCGCAATCGACATTATAACGCCGTTGAGACTGTAAAAAATATATACTAACGTTTACTTGTTTACTAACGTCAAGAAAAAATAACAAACGCTATTTCGATTAAACGCTGAAATATTATAACGATGATTATTACATGTTAAATCATTCGCATCATTATATTTCTTTGTTCGATGTCAATGACGCACACTACAGACGAATGCAATAAAGTTATTACCATAAACGATACCTCTGTAAGCGGGTAATGTTAAACGAAAACGAATTAATCAAGTTTGTCATATGCTCGTAACTACTTACAATGCCATTACCATACCATTATGCTGCTGCGCGCTCAGTAAGAAAAGTTGAAGTCGACACAAGAGAGAGAGAGAGATATTATGTGTGTACGTGTGTATGCGTGCATGGAAGGAGACGAGAGAGGGCAATAGTCGCGGTCATTGCCTCTTTGTCTAACATACGAAACCAAGGTAGACTGCACATCCACGTGTTACTCTTTCCTTTTCATCGCCATTTAATCGCATACTCGTTACTCTGCGCAAGGTAGAAAAAAGGAAGGATTGTTACGAACATTGGCATAACTACTATCCGTGCTTCGAAAGAAGTCTCGAGCAAAGATCTACTAAATATGGCTCGTAGAAAGTTAGACAGCGCGTCTGTATATGCATCTCGAGGGACTTGTCGCGAGGTACGCACAATAGGCAAAAATAAGGGTAGGTCCGCCCTGCCCTTATGTAGCGTGAATCCCATTTTTCTACTAACTCACGTATTAAACGATAAGACAATAACTACGGCTGTTCTGCCTTCATGGAGCAACATCAACTTTTCTTACGGAACGTGCAGTCTGTGACTAGCAGAACATACGTTATCTCGCTTACACGCTTATTTTCAGGTCGCTTTTTTCCCTTATCGATAATGCACACATTTCGAATTTTCCAATTCCATTTAACCATTTCCACATTCCACAGATTGCGTGAAATTTATTCGGTAGTAGAGGTTCGTGCTTACAAGTAATTCTCGTTGAAACAAGAAGAGGGCTATTCTCTTTCGACTTCCTGGCATTTACCAATGATCGTTCTCATTTCCATCTAATGTTCCTCGAGCAAAAAACGTTTTATTATATTTCAACAATTTTATTTAACGACGATATCAGTTGAAAATTGTCGCTTTGAAAGTTAAAAATTGATCAAAACATGTTGCGCCCGAAAAAGTCACCTGAAAATGTAAGTGTAAGCTAGAATACTTTCTCATCGCTTTCGTATACATACATATACTCTCGTTATCATAAAGCTCACAACGTCAGAATTGTACGTATTATTTATTCGAACTTTCAAATTGTTGTTTAGACATCGTGAATAGAACTGAATGAAATTATACAGAATTTTGTCTAAATTCTAAATAACATATATGTCCAATTCTGCTTATAACGATAAAAATGTAATCTTGTAAACTGTATAAAATTTCGATTAATAGCGATTGCACGATAATAAAGAAATATTAGATATTCGCAATTGACCATCTTCTTTTTTAGGTACACTTTCTCCAGACGCATACTGACAGGGTTAATATTCAGTTGCATAGGAGACGCACTATTGGTTTGGCCCAATTGTTTCACCCCGGGAATGTGTATGTTCGCCATGGCTCAAATCATGTATATTAGCGCATTCGGTTTCATACCACTTAATAAAATGTTAGGCACAATCCTGTATGCGATGTGTTCGCTAGGTAAGTTTCGTAATCGTATTTTTCTCCTTCTTAAAATGGCCAATAAATTCTCATATTTTAATTTTAATTGACTTTTAAAGATTTATAGACACTATGCACGTATATGCGCGCGTACCAGCAGTAAACAGAGAGGGAGGACCAAAAAAGAGTGCGCGCGTACTTACTTAAAATTTCGTTTAAATGATACCGATGATACCAATTTAAAAAAAAAAAAAGATATCATTCAAGTATTAGTAAAATGATGTATCCAAAAAATTGTGGCACATCACATTTTTACAAGAATTTATTGGCTGCCTTCAGAATAATTCATAATTGTAAGACGATAAAACAATAAAAATTGTACTTCAGTCATATATACTCTAATGCCTGGTCTAAATGGTATCCTGGTCGTTGGAGTTCCGGTTTACGTAGTATTATTGACGACTATGGCATGGAGGGCAATTTCGAGAGTACAGTTTTACAAGGTATGCGCAAAATACTTACATCGTGTTAAGAGTAACCGAAACAACCAATATGTAATTTTCTGATTCGATTATGAAACAAAATAAATCGCGTGTCAAATAATTATGATCAATGATCTAATAATTACGCATTAAATAAACTGTTCTTTTATCAGGAGCTATGGACGTGGACTAAACTCTGTAGCTGCATCGGTAGTATATGTTTCCTTATATCGGATACTTTACTCGGATTCCATTATTTTCATACGCCATTGCCTTATTCTCAGGTACAGTAGTTATTATTTTTAATCAAAGCTTGTAAGAATGACTAATAAATTAAAAAAACTTGATTTCAAGGTTTCTATAATGTTGACGTACTATGCGGCTCAGTTAGGAATAGCACTGAGTGCTGTAGGTTCAAAACATAATAGTAACAACAACAGCAACTACAACAACAACAATAACAACAACAACAACAATAATAATAACAATGCAAGCGACGATAAAAATGAAGCAAATTTAGCAAAAAATTAAGAGAATTTTGTCTTCTGTTTACAGGCTGTAAATATTAACTGAATTATGTTATGCTACCCAAATTTATTAAGTCTCATTCCGCGAATGAAAGAATTTTGTACATAAATTTTGAAGTAGGTATAGGAGATGTAAGTATTTTCAATAGCGTGTTATATCCGAGGTCATATAGACTTTGGGAAGCATAATTACCGGTTTAAGTAGGTACAATGCATCGCGTTAAAAAATTCACGGTTTGTCAACAGTACAACTAAAGTTGTAACACTGCCACTTTATTAAAGGCAAGAAATGACTTCTCGTAACTCGTATTTAAATGCATCGTACCTCTGTACGAATAGAAAACATTTGACGAGCATTTAACGAACAATTACCAGTTCAAATATTTTCCTTTAAATGCCTATGGAGATTTGAAAATTTTGCGATCGTAGAAATTCTCTCGCTTTAATTCGATACAATCTCGATAGTATTAATCAATTTTCTAAAGAAATACTGTAATTTCCTATTCGTTAGTACAAGAAAGAGATCCGATTTAATGTTCGTAAAGTGCGAATAAAAACAAAATATTTCAGTATTTTTTAATGAATTCCTCGAATAGATTATTTCATAGGAATAATCGTAAGTGTATTTTATGTATTGTTTCACAATACACAAAATGAACCAAATCGCATTTCTTTGTATAGGACAATATACAAATGTTGAATATTCTGTTAACTAATAGTTTAATGATAGTCGATTGTAAAGAATTAGAATAATTTAAATTGTTGACAAAAATTAGTTGTTTGATGCTGTCTACTCGTATTACACAGTATTAACAAAAAGATCGTTCAATTGTCACGAATAAAATTGAAAAATTCAATTATAGAGCCAGTAGATTATGTTGTCTTTACTACTGCATTTATCGATAATTGTATAGTTAGTAGGACAATACCGATGTATTTATTGTGTCATGTATGTTTACGATAGGCGAAAAGTGAAGCACTGATTTGAAAATCGAAATATTATTTTTCTGATAGAACTACTTTTTCTAACAATTTAAAGAAAACGTGTCGTTTTCTTTTGCAAAATGTATTTCATATTTTAGAATGTAGCAAATTGTAAAAGACTTGTAGGCGACTACGATTTATACGTAGATCTCGATAACATATCATATTTAATGAACGAAATAAATTGTAAAAAGTATCTGATTTCGTAACTATGTATCTATAAATGAAGACTAAATAAAAACGAATTTAAAAAAGGATACGCAAACTTTTAGATTCTCTTAGAGTTAAAAAAAACCACGGTTTGACTACGACTATAACAAACTTATTGTAAAAATATATATTTACAACATTTTAATATAAAGCATATTTGTAAAAGTCTAACACGATATTGATGTATAGATTTAAAAAATAAAGCAATCCTAAGTATAATGATATATTTAGAAGTTTTCATTTTTGACAATATTTTGTTTATTTTAAATTTAAAAAATTCATCAAACACTTCTCCGAAAATACCAAGATCATTGTAAAACTAAAGTCTCTGCACCCCCACGACGTACAACGATACCATTTGATTGTTTAATCTCTTCGGCAGATTTTATTTTACACTTGAAAATCCTAAAAGAATACTTTTTCAATGCATCTTCTCTACATGATCATTCCAATATTTTTAACGTTTATTACTTACGATAAAATATCATTCCACATTTGTATTTGTTTTTCCTTTACTGCAACAAACTCCTTCAAACGGTCTTTCTCTATCATCAAACTTTTTAGTTTTGCTTCTTCGGATAAGACAACGTTATTTAATTCTTCCTTCAGTTTTTTGCCAGGATCAGAAATTGTAGAATCCTATATTGATAAAAAAGTAGTGAGAAATTATGAACGCTAGTAGTTACGTAACGACTTTTTTTATTCAGTCGCGTCTCGTTTCCATAACCGCTTCATGATAGATGAGCGAGTTCATCGAATCGAGACTTCTTGTTTGGTTCCATACGATGCAAATTAAAAACAGGAGTTGTTTCTTCATCGCATTCAGTGGAAATCGATACCAATCGTTTGTTTCATCGAACAAGCGATCTAACCAGATATATGCTATCGCAAATTAATTTTAAAGTATAAGTCTTACTAACCTCTGTATCACGATTTATTTTTTCCTCTGTAGTTTTCATTCTATGTACAAGCTCTTGCAATTTTTTTATTTCTTCAACATCCTTTCAAAGATATTTTATAATCAGAAAACAACGATAAAAAAAATAGTAAATACTGAAATCATTTACCTTTTCTATTTTCAGTTTTATGCCTTCTATTTCAGATTGTAAATCATTAATTGAAATATTCATACTCGATTCTACATTTTTATGCGTCTTTTCCGCTTGTTGCTGTTGCTGATCATATTCGCGTGATTTTTTTCGCAATGTCTGCAACTCTGTAACGTTTACGATACACAAATTTAACGTTTATCGATCGCAATATTTTCTACCACATAGTATGCACGTACCATTTATCAAAGGGACCAATTTCGCGCGAAATGCAAATATATTTCTCGACAATTGAACATTCATCGAAAACGCGTTTTCTTCCGTAAAATTATCCGGGATGGTTTTCTTTACATTTTCAAATATTTCTTTTGCTTGATTACATTGATTAACCTACAATAAACGCGGTCAATTTCGAAGCTTGACCTAACTAAGTTTGAACAGACATAAAGAGTAGTTTTCCTTTTTCAACGAATTACCTGATTTTCCAAAATGGTAGTTGTTCGATATAACACGTTATTCTCTGCAGCAAGCCATGCCAATTCAGCCTTGCAATGTTTATAAAGTGTACCTCTAGTTTTCAAACGGTTTATGTATTTTTTTAACTCTTCCCCTTTCGGTATTATATCTTCTACCATAAATTTCGATAATTCTTGTTTCTCCTTTAATTTTGCTTGTAATTCTTGCAAAGATCTTTCTGTTTTCTCCAATCGCTCCAACACGTTTCTTTTAATATTCGTAACAGCAGCCGCTTGTTGTCGAAAGGGCTCGATTTTATCAACGCTGCTTTTAGAGATCTAAAGTTGTTCAAATTACAAAAATGCTAAAAAGATTCTGTTTACTAGTTTACCTTCAACCCTATCAATTTTTGAATCTCTTCGGATATGGTGTCCAATTTATTTCTCAATGCAGTTATTTGATCCGGTCCCAAGTACGAATACTGTTTCACCGCGACTAAAGCTTTTATGTGATCTCTTTTGGTTTGTATTTCACCCGGTAACTTTTCATTTGTTACTATTGTCTGAACCGTTATTGCCTCGGACAAATGTTGCAACAACGTTTCAACTGTAATTTCATTCTCATCCTCTTTCAGAGTTTGCAACTCCCGCTCTAACCTTTGGAGCGAAGTCTAAAATATTATAAAACATTTTACAAAAGAGTAATTAATTACACCAATGTCCTAATCAGAACAATCACCAAATGCTTCTACCTGCAACGTAGATAAAATATCTTTCTCTTGCTCTTCCTGCAACGCCAGATCACGCTCTTTATCTTTTTCTATGCGCAATGCTCTAGCTGCATCTAACAAGTGAATGCCAGGTTCTGCTTTTGCCTTCATTTTTTCAATACGTATCGTTACAGCCTACAAACCAAATTACTGCACATGTATTAAAACAGCCCAACGACTGGCAAGCGACTTACTTTTATCACATTGGTTTGTTCCTTACTTCTTTTTCTTTCTCCATAGTTTTCAGATCTGCTGTCAATTCGCTGGCATTCTCGAAATTCTAAACCGAACGAGATACAAAAATATTACCCATATGCGTACATTCAAACACACTAATATTACTTTTACCTTTTTCCCTATTTCTCTTTCTTTATGAACGGTTTTGAATCTATTGATTGCAGCTGTATACTGATCATACAAAGAGGAGACTTCTGGGTCGTTTAAATACTCGTCGGGAACTTCTATCTAATTAACGATAACGAAGTCAGCCACTGTTAATGATTTTAAAAGCGCCAATAGAAATGTATATAAGAGTATACCTTTACTAGAAAACGAGATAAATAAGCTCTTTTCCTAACAATATCCAAACGAGATAAAAGCCAAGTCAAGATGGGATGAATCATATCGGGATCGCCTCGAATAAGACCTTGTCTATAGGAAACCATAAATAAAATTCATATTATAAAAATTAGAAGAATAGTGTTTTTTTGTTTTTAAATATATAAATAAATAAACAGATTCTTGCCTAAAAGCTGCAGGATCTATTTGTGGCTGATAATTAAGTACCCGAAGAATAGACAAAATGTAAATAGCAGTTTCTTCGGGGCTTCCATTTCTAATATCAACATTCGTATCATTTTGATCTTGTATCTTAATCAACACCTCTTTCAAAACCTGTAACATGATTATCATATGAACAGAAAAATCCTCGATAATCTTATTCAGCCAGAAATATCACAGAAACTTGATTATTGATGAATAAATTAAGAAACTTGATTCATCCGAAACTTGGAAAAAGAGAGAATGAAACATCCCTTACTTGCAACAGTTCCTCAGGACTTAAGGAATTAAAATAGATTACACTGTAATTACGATCCAGTAATTTGTTCAGTTCGGTTACAAGGAACTTGGTGTTTTCTTTCATAATTTTTCCGTAAATCCTCGCTGTCCGACGATAAAATTGATACAATCAGCTTACTGCCTCTTTTGTTATCCAAATTTGTTGTCCTGGCAACCGTACAGCGTATACGTGCCACACAATTATCCCCTCTTTCAACATTATGAACTTCTTCAATACATATATGTATCCGCAATTGTTGCAAATAATTTTTTAAATGGAAATTGATTTGCAATTAATTACATTAAACAAGCGATCAATTATCACAGAGTATCAAAAGACCATTTAAGTTTGGCTTCAACTTTTAATGTAGTTCAAATCGTACATTAAATTTCTCTACTATAATCGAATACAACAGGCAATAATTGTTGCACAATTACGAATATATATGTATATATATCATTTTAATACTTAATTACTTAGTTAATTGCAGGATCAATTCTGTATTTGAAGTTTCATGGTAGCAATAAGGAAATACATGAAACTGAGAGCAGTTTAAGGATCATTGATCATTTTTTATTAAGAAGAAATCGCGACATAAGATCACATTGTTCCGTTAAACTTTTTTAAATATATTTTCAAACTTAATGTACGATTTATATCTTTATAAGTTAGCAAGTCTTTTTCCGCATTTTTCAGAAGAGAATTTTATTTCCATCGCGCGAATAGAACCGCAATTTCGACGTGAGAAAACTTGGGACTGGTTGTGTAAACTTGCTCCATGCTGACTAATACATTTTAAATCTCGCAGGAATTCATTACTCGTCAATATTATATTGATTTCTGAGCATACTTTATTTTATAATATTGTACTGAATCTTAATTTTACTATTTAACAAACCTCAACCTTAAATAGCGTCAGTTTTTATCTCACTTTTATTTTTGTTTTCTCACAGATGCAGCAAGAACATTTTTCTAATTTGTTTATGTGCGTCAACAGGTGAAAAAGAATACGTACTCCAAAGTTATATCGATTAAAAAATAACTTATCAAGTTGAATCGAATATAATTGAAGACAATGAATCTTTCGTTTTTTGTCTCTTTCTTTTGTTCTGCTGTTTTATATGTTGCTTTGATATTACAGATAAATTTTCGTTAATTCTTATAATATTTGTGTTACAAAATTAACTCGTGAAATCTTATGAAAGAACCATGCAAGTTATACTTGTGACAATGATTTAATAATCAGTCTAAAATTTGAACAATGTAGCAACGTTCTGATAATTAAATACTGCATGAAAAATCGTTTTAAGATTGCACTATATATAAATAGCATAATATACATCTATAATCTACATTTATTTTATATATGTATACATATGTGTGCATGAATATATATATACATATATAAGTATCATAATATTGGGATAATCGATGTTATACAAAGGATAGATTTGAATGAATAGAACAAACGGAGCTTCGAAAAACAAAAATAAAGGGAAAAAAATTCCCTAAATGTGTATTGCCTTAAGATAATGTCTACAAAATTTTGTGTGCACAATGTAAAAAATTGTAAAATTACGATAATCATTTGATTCAAGTATTATGCAATATTGTACTCAATACCGTGTTAATTTGAGTAGAGTTACTACATTCAAATGCATGATTAATACGATGAATCGATAATATTAAGCCTTTTATCAGCCTCTGACCCAAGAATTCCGAGAAATACTCGAATTTAAACAAATTAAATTCGGTAAACTGCTACACAGCATCACAGAATGAAGGGACAATTTACAAATACAACAAAATAATGATCGAATGATCAATCAAAGTTTGGTTTTCATTCATTATTGACGACTATTAGATACAGTTTCTTGAAGCATAGTGAAATAATAAAAATCATACATGAATTTGTACGAAGTTACATTACTTCGGTGCACTTAGTGTAATAAACACTAAAAAATTTATTAATTTTAAATCGCCAGTATTGAACTTAACCGCGCATTATATATACCTAATATAAAACAAGAACACAACAAACTTTCTGGCATACACAATTTTAACATGTAAAATTGTATGTCAATTAGTGTTTTTTTTTTTTTTTTCATTTTCTTTTCTCATTTAGTCACCTCCCTGCCCTTTTATATTTTCTACATAATTTTCATCATTGTCTCGTCTCCCAAGATAAAAGAACAGCAAAGACAATAGTATCAATAATAATGCATAATTTTATGTTTTTAACTGGGAGTGCATACTGTTTGAAAAAACAAACTTCCATTGTACACAGAATTGTAATTTCTCTTACAGATGGTGGTGTGATTTAAAGTATTCCATGTAGCATGTGTGAAGGGAGGAAGAAAGGATGGTAAATGCAAAATAGAATCCAATTTATCCACTTTTGAAGAGAAGAATTGCTACCTGACCCAGGTAAAAGTAGATAAAATGTCTTGTTTCGTGTGTCACATAACTTCCAAAGTTACGTCCTACGATGCAGTGCCAGGTTGGATTATACTTTTTATCAAATTCTTTTTTAATGAAGGCTGCGATATCCTAAAATAAGAAAAAACATTGTTTAATTTCGTGTCAATAGTGTTTCTAATTTCGAATCATCGTAATCGTTACATTGATTACACTGATAATAAATCATATATTAAAGACAAATCCAGATACGTGTACCATTTTTAGCGTCATACACATGATATCTGGTACAATTTCAAATATATTTTATAACGTACCTTTTCTATGTTATATTTTTCAAGAGCTTGCGTTGCACAATCGACAGCATCCTGCTGCATATCCTCAGACATGTCAGCATTCTTGATTACAGCTTTTCTGTCTGACATTTTTGTGATTCTGGAATGGACACAAAAGCTGAATAGTAATTCTTACATGTACAGTAACAACATTAAACTCTATCTATCTACCACTTGCAAAAAAGAAAATAAGTTATCAATGACAGTCTACACTATTTTTTGCACAAAAGAAAACAAAAAGTAATCATTAAAAGGAAATTAAACCTTAAATAAGGAATACGCGCAATTTTGACATTAGCATATATGTCATGTGCCGGCATGATAATACAAAGAGTTATGAGTAATAAGCCATAAAGAAGATCAGATGTATCTAATAAATATGATATAAATAATCAGGAGGATAGAGCGGAGACGAAACGCGGGAGGATAATGTTTTGTCGATATGCGGTGATCAAAATAATAATTCGTTCGCACGCAATCACCAAAAGTAGGTTGAGTAAACGACATTCATTCGAAAGTTTTTGCAAACTTATAAAAATGAAAATATCAGAAATCCAAACTGAATTTGACATAAGCTACGTTCCCGGTTGAAATGGAAAAAGCGCATCTGATTAAATAACGTTCGATGTACCTTTCAAAATAACAGTCTCACCAACGGGTACAGAGGAAAAGAATCGTTAATTTTTAGCCTGATAGTTATGTGTATTTATCTTTTTCTATGTGAACTGCTTAACACAAAAATTTTTACTCGCTCAAGCCGACAGCGACTGTTCCTCGATCGAGTTCAAGACTGAAGTGTCCGTACTATAATACTGCACGCTGATTGGCTTACGATTAGGGTCTTCTATCACGGTCTTCTATCAACCCAGAATACCTTGCTTCTAGCAACCCGCGTAAACATAAATTCGAGTAATCAATACAAAATTTCGGTTATAAACTTGAATTATGCGCTTGTTTTTTGTATTTGCTATACAGATGTACATTTTTTTACAAGACTTATGTCTATGTACATTAAAATCAAGTACTTTCGCTTCGATAGATTATACATATTGCATGCCGTTTCGTATACCTGATGTAACAAACATAAAAATATTTTCAAAGATGCATACAAGTATGCAAAAGTACTATTATATGTTTTTATAAATTCAAATAAAGTAAATGGAAATAAACTGAATTCAGTTCATATGAATTATTTAATCTTAAACAGATAAGTTTATTGAAATTGCAATATTCCGGTTCTTAAATTTAAGTTACTTCTATCCCATTTAACAATTATTTATAGTGCAAAATTCTGTTACACTACATCTAATGCATTCACCGACAATATTAACTATTTGTATGCATACAAGTACTACATATATATTTATATGTATAAGTAGAGGAATATGCGAACAGTAAAATTCGATCAGCTGACTTCGATAACGGTGCCGTAGTTACCTTCCCTAAGTACGATATTCTTACATCGGTTTTCTTAATTTATGTTTTATATAACGAAAATACAAATTTCTAGTAAAAGATATTTATCACATTTATTATTATTTCTAAGATTGTTGATAATATTAATTAATTAATTATAATTTCTGTTGTTATCTGAATCATTTCAAGTACTGTTATCGTAACACGTTGATACGGGTATGCGTGACTCAATTGCGCATGCGTAGTGAATTCTAGTAACACCCAAGAAAGCTTTATTAGAAAGGCTCTTGCTCGAAGCTGCGTCAGTTTTGTGTATGACAGTGGTGTTAATTAATATATATCGAGAAGGAAGTTCTTTTTCTAATATTGTTTTTAATAGAATGTTATAAATTTTTTTTGTTTAAAAGTAAATTGGCAAGTTTGTTAAAAATGTTTCGTACCCTCGCATTTTTATGCGTCTTAGTCGCAGCAAATGCAGAACTCCGAAGGTAAATACATATTACAACTTGAACAATGATGATTGTTCATTTTTGTAATTAATATATATAACTATTGTATGTTTTACAATGCTTTCTTTGATGGGACGTTGTAGAATATATGTATTGTTCTTTGAAATTATATGGAACTGCAATTGAAACAAACGAGTACTAATTTTTCTTATTTTAAGGATTAAATTGCATAAGATAGACCGTATACGCAGTCAATTAAAGGAATATGATACAGACTTGGTACAAACACGCATAGTACAAGGAGATGTTATCCTACCTGAACCTCTTTCTAATTATCTCGATGCCCAATATTATGGTGTCATCAATATTGGAACTCCACCTCAGAAGTTTAGAGTAATCTTTGATACAGGTTCTTCGAATCTCTGGGTTCCTTCTAAAAAATGTCATTTGACTAATATTGCGTGCAGTGAGTATTCTTTTAAAAAATATTAACTCTTTTATATATCTATATCTAGAATTTTTAAGTATTCATCAAAATTCCATATAGGATTAGGATTATTGTATCAATTATTGACTTGCAAGATTTAAATGACCTTTGCCTTATGATAACTTATTAATTAATAACAAGATACAGGCAGCTAATCTATAAAGTAATAATTTTAATTTTTCAGTTTTATTATGACCATTTAAATAAGTTCTTTTTTTGATCGTTAATGTCATTCTGTTTTAAAATTTCGTACCATGTAATGTTTTAAATATAATTTTCAAGGTTATATCTCGCAAAGTAGTATGTTATGGACGAGGTGTTTTTGTTTCCGTCACGTTATTACGATAACGACAATGGAAACAAAAGAATCCAAAGAGAAAGAAATTAAAAAAATAATTTTCAAATATACGCGTTTTATTTTGACTATATTCTGTGTCGAAATAAATATATTTCGATTACTTTTGTAGAATTGCATTATAAATATGATAGCACCAAATCGTCCACATATAAGAAGAATGGTACCGACTTTTCTATACGTTATGGTTCTGGAAGTCTCTCTGGCTATCTTTCTACTGATATGGTAGACGTAAGTATTTACGAATACTAACATGATATTGCATACTTTCAATATCTAATGATTATTCATACATTTCTTTATACCGATTCTCTACCCATAAAAAATTCCTTTATAAAGATTATTGAAAGAATAGAAGAAATTTATTAACAGCTAATATATGATACGTACAGGTTGCTGGTATTAAAGTTAACGATCAAACGTTTGCCGAGGCGTTGAGCGAGCCCGGCCTAGCATTTGTCGCCGCTAAATTTGATGGTATTATGGGAATGGCATACTCTACAATTGCTGTTGACGGTGTAACACCTGTTTTCTACAACATGGTCAAGCAAGGATTAGTTTCACAACCTGTGTTTAGTTTCTATTTGAACAGGTGAATATCCGTTCAAATCGATTGAAAATGTCTTATTAAAAAAAAAAACTAAAAATAATACAAATTTAACAATATAGAGATCCTAATGCAGAATTTGGCGGAGAAATGATACTTGGTGGCTCAGATCCAAATCATTATGTTGGTCCATTTACTTATGTTCCTGTAGATAAGAAAGGTTATTGGCAATTTGCAATGGACAGGTATTAGTATACTTTTGCTCACGTTTCTTTTATGAAACAAATGTTTAATATTCTCGTTTAAATTTCTAGAGTTGAAGTAGGTTCGGACGTTAAAGTTTGTGAGAAAGGATGTGAGGCTATTGCAGACACAGGCACCTCTTTGATCGCTGGACCAGTAAAAGAAATTGAACTGCTCAACAAGAAAATTGGTGCTACCCCTATTGCAGCTGGAGAAGCAATGGTATTAAAATGAACTATTTACCTCTATTATGAGAATATTTATAAAATCACGTAATTATTGTATATAGGTGGAGTGTGATAAAATTCCTGATTTGCCTACAATTACATTTGTATTCGGTGGCCGCTCTTTCCCTCTAAGAGGCGAAGACTACGTTCTTAAGGTAAAATATTCTGCATCTTGAATAAATGGAGTCTGGATCTCATAGTTTTAATTGATTGTTACACCATAAAATAATATCTTATTTTGAAACAGGTTACACAACTTGGAAAAACTGTTTGCATAAGTGGATTTATGGGAATGGACATTCCTCCTCCAAATGGTCCACTATGGATCTTGGGAGATGTATTCATTGGTCGCTATTATACCGAATTTGATATGGGAAATAACCGTATTGGTTTTGCCGAAGCTAAATAGACGTGTCAAGTTATCAAACCAAAACAATTTTTAATTATACCTTTTTCTTGGCATTCTAGCTAAGCGATTCGTTCGTTTCATGTCTTCGGAAATTGTTTAATTGAAAAGTTTCTTACATATTAAATCTATACTATGTAACGCTTTCAAAAATAAAATAATAGTTAAACTAAAAACAAATATACATAAAATAATTTTCTATAATGAAATATGCGTGTAAATGTACCATAAAGTGTATCATAAATACACTGCAAAAACGAAAGCAATAAATTTTGTTTAAGTCATATATATGTTTTCTGTGTTACAAATTATTAAATCGATCAAATAACTTATATCCCTTTGCAAATTTGATACCTCCTTTAATAGTTATGCATATATCAGTCTTTTAGTAGCAAAATTAAATGTTATAATTCAAATTTTCGTATTACAAATATAATAAACTATCACAGTGCACAGAAAATACATTAATTATTACTATTCTTTCCTTTTTACCGCATGAATTGCATAATTTATTGCTCTTGATGCCACCCAAGACCATTCATTTTTTAAAGGATTATAAAACATTCCATGAATTAATTTTGTTTTACAACCATCTGTAAAAAAATTAAAATTTATACATTAATATAAACTTTCAATGAAATAAGTGTATCGATACTATTATTAAATACAAATTTTTACATGTTTCTAATAAACGTTGCATTTCAGCTGGTGAAATAAATTTATTCCAATCATGAGTTCCTTTTGGTACTAATTTTAAAACATATTCAGCTGCAATAATTCCTCCAAGCCAAGAAGGCAAAGTTTTGTTTAATGTTGTTAGAAATATAGAACCATCAGGTTTTAAAGTACTTACACAACACTACAAAGAGCAAATAGGTTCTATTACCACATGTTCAATATTTTCATTATTTACATAATAACAAGATACCTTTAAAAACAATTCCTTCTCATTCACATGTTCTACAACTTCTGAAGCTATTACAGCATTATACACCTTACTATTAGTTGGAGCAAAATCTTCAATAACAGTTTGTATGTAGTTTAACCTTCCACTTATATTAGAATCTAATGCGGCATGTTCTTTTGCAACTGTTATTAGTTCCGAAGATGCATCAATCCCAGTTACTTCTGCTCCAATTCTAGCTAATGGTTCGGATAATAATCCTCCACCGCAACCAACATCTAAGATTTTAATTCCTTCCAGGGGTAAATGTGGACTTTCAATGTTAATACCTGTATTGGCTAAACCATCTCGTACGAACTGTACCCTAAGAGGATTTAATGCGTGCAAAGCACGCATTTCACCCTTGATATCCCACCATTTGTTACTTAATTTTGAATGAAGATCTACTGTCGCAAGATCTACAGTTGATTTTTTTATAATAGTAGTAGGTTTAGCCAACTGATCTATTTGTTCATTTATCCTAAAATCATGGTAACATTATCTCTTTTTTTATAAACAAGTATGTCTTTATGAAGTAATAATTTAAACACGTCAAACATGTAGGTTAAGTACCGGCTTTGGAAGGTATTTTTTGTAGATATAGATCGGAAAGATAATAGCTTAACAACTCTCATGATTTATTTTAATCAGATAATTAAACATTTATATAAAATTTATAAATACGTACAATGCGATGTCCTTAAAGATACACAGGTAACAAAAATAAGAGAAGAAAATCATGTATCAATCGAACATCGACAACACTCGATATGTTCCTGCAACAGTAGGTTGGCAACAAAGCGGCGTCAATATATTTATCTTGAATTGATGATAATTATAAAATATATAATGTAATTTGTTTGATTAGTTATTGAGATAAATTCAAAGTGTGCCTCTTTAATTACATTACGTGTTTAAAATTTCATGCGAAAAATTGACATAAAGAATGATGTAAAAGTTTCCAGCGTATATCGATATATGAAGGTCGGCATGATAGATTTCCATAAACTATTCTATCACTTGTTTTCAAATAATTCAAATGGTAAGCTTTTAGAAGTTCAAAAATTTAGAAACATTCAAGTTTACAATTGTTCATATATGTATATATATATATATATACACACACACACACACACACACACGCACACATACATATATAATATCATGTTTTGTATTTGTATATAATAAATCTGTACCCTTTTATGATTACCTATATCCAAAGGAAAATAACGTTGCACCACAATACATCTTACAACTACGATTCAAATGTTTATCTGTGCATTTCAAATTTTATTCTTTTCTGATAAAATGAAAGATATCATAATAAATAACATATATAAATCACACGAAACAAGTAATTCTAAATAGAAACAAATTATTACGTACTTATTTTGATCAAAGTTACAAAATCTATTTGCATACCTACTTTATCACTAATATAAAAATATTTTTATTTATTCGTATAATACATTCTGTAAACTAATAAAAACTTAAACATAACTATAATACAGATATAATACTTTGCCATGAGAAATCTTCATAGCTATCATTTAAATCTATAACGTTTTCATCTTCTATCAGTTCAAACAATTTTTTAAATGCTGAATATTGCGATAATGTACACTTATCAGCGATAATAATCAACTTACACTTTGCCCTGGTCACTGCTACTGTTAATCTCCGATGATCTCCCAGCACTTCAAGATCCTACATTAAAACAATTAAAATTCAATGTCGAATCAACCAATCGAATTCAATCAATCTGACCGATAAAACGAAGTGAAGTACCTCTTTTATATTATTATTTTTAACTGAACTTCTTGTACAAGAGTAAAATATAATTTCTTTATCTCGACCCTGGTATTGATCAACAGTATTGATTTCAACATTTTCCTGAATTATTTTCTTTGCTAAATTTACTTGTGCCCTGTAGGGTGTAATAATTCCAATATTGTTCGGGTTCACATCCATCTACACAATGAAATATTTTGAAATACCCATTCTGATATTTAAAGATATATCAACGGTAACAAATATTACCTCTATAAGAGTTTGTACCAATTTCGATAATATAGCTACTTCTAAAACATTTGAATATGTTTGATCGCTTTCTGGATATTTATCAAGAAATTTATGAGCATCTTTTAATGTATTGGTACATCCCGTATCTATTAGAATTACAGAGTCACTTATATTCTGCGATACTACTTTCTGTATCCAACTTTGATATTTCATTAAATTCTAAAATAATATTACATTTTACAGATAAACTAAATTTATGTTAAACAGTATCGAAACATCTACACTCACTTCAATACGACCTGCATTAAAAACAGCATTTTCTATCGAATTATTTCCAGCTTTTAATCGATCGTTATATGTTAATTTATTCGCTAAGTTCATTATATATTTATTCATCCTATATTGTTCTGTTAAAATAACAGTATTATTTTCACTATCCAATCTAACAAATAAGGATTCATCTGCGCCAAGTTTTCTGTGAAAAAGAATGTGATGAAATGCATAATTTTATTTTGTAAGAATTATTCATATGTACCTGGCTTGGTTACTCTTAACTATAGGGGGTAATTGATCAGGATCTCCTACAAGAACAAATTTTCGAGCATTGTACAATGGTCGTAATGTAGTTGGTTGCATTGTCTGAGCACTTTCATCTACGATACATACGTCGAATATACGTTTTCCAAGAAGTGCATGATGAGCACCATAACAAGTTACACCAACAATGTTCTGAAATAATTAAGAATATTTTGATAGATCATAAACAAATTTCCAAAAATGTTCCCGTCAAATATTGAAAATGAAATAAAAACATTTCATACTTTCGAATATGCCGTTTCTAAATCCTCAAGGGTGCAACATTTAGCAGTTGCATATCTTTCACTATTAGATTTCAATGATGGATGAATCGATGACGATCCCAATCGTAAAAACTCAATATTCTTATCCAATAATTTTAATAAGATATTATCCACTGCACTATTTGTGTGAGATGTAATTAAAACTGATTGCCCTATCTCGTGTAATAGTTCTATTAAAGCTATCAGCGTTTGTGTTTTTCCTGTACCTGGCATCCCTTTAATCAACATGTAATTATTAGCGGTAAGTGCTTTTAAAACTGCTCTTTGCTGACTTTCGTTCAGACCGTGTAATATTTTCGAATTTCTGCATATGATAGATTGCGGTACTCCTTTGTCGAATGTCGCTGGTTTTCTGTTTCAAACATAAAATTAATTGAGAACATGAACGAAATATAATAATAATACAGTTCTATGAAAAGTTCAACAAACCTATCTATTACAATATCCCGTAACTTTGCACAAATTTCATCGTCACCCATTAAGCCGCCCACGTTTGCAAGATTTAAGGAAAACAAATTCGATGATGAATATTTGTCTATATGAAATGATTCATTACTGTTATATTTAGTGATATCCCTGGAATTAATAAATATTTATAATATTGTTTGAATTAAATATACGTTAATAGCGTCACATACCTATCAAGCATAACAACCACAGAATTTTTACTTATGTGCGCTATAAATCCAGCCGATATGTTTATTCGTGTATTCGTACTGACCAACACATATTCATTTTCTGTAAATTCCATGTAAGGAATATTATTTTCCGCTTCTTCTATGTTTGAACTTTCGCGAATAAACGTGTGATGATATTTTGCATTGTATTCTTTTACCTTTCCTATTATTTTCAAATTGCAAATACAAGCTTTCTTCATTTCTCTAAGAAAAAAGGAGATATGTCCATTAATAAACAAATATATAATAAATTTCTAAAAACAGTTATCAAATTTTACCTTTTATCTGGACTTAGGGTCCATAAATGTACCATTGAATTATCATTGGATTGTGCAGTTTGCTCCATTTGTAATAATGATATCCATTGTAAAACATAATTAATGTGCGAAGGCTTAAATTTATCTAAAATTTGTTTGCTGAGTTTCATTAATGGATGAGATTCTGATAATTGCAATTCAGTGTCTTTTCTTAAATAAGCGCAACATAATGCATTGTAAGGGCACTTGGAACAGGCACTATGATGGTTAATTGGTTCAGGTAAATTTAATGTTTGCCACTGTAAGTCGGAAATTGAATTCGAATATGTCCCAACTGGCTTAGCAAAATAATTGGCTAAGACGTTTCTTAGCAGTATCAAATCTCTTCTTTCAGGATGTCCACTATTAATTATTTGCATACTATTCTCTCTGCAATTAGAAGTAATAATGTAATAAATTTTTCAATATAATTTTCTATAATGTAAGAGTGAATTACCGGAGGTACAATAACAATCCTGTATCTGTATCTTGACCAGTAAGAGCCATCATCATAATATACAGGATAATTTGACCTTTATGTTCTAAAGAAAATGAAGGCTTTCCTGTTTTAACTTCAATAGGCACAATTTTTCGTCTGGAATTCATTTGAACTTCTGCCGTAATATCTACTTTACCTTTTATACCCAACTTAGGTAACCAAATATTTTCCTCTATATCACGTATATGAGTAATTCTTCCTTGAAAATTATCTTTTATATTGCTTATTTCTTCTTGTTTGTTACCTAAAAATATTGTTGCATCTTAGTTGATGATAATCATTCATTATCTTCAAACTATTTATTTTACCCACTTTTTAGATAGTGTTGGATGAATTTAAATATTTTTGGTACAAATAAAAGCATTTCTTCTTTACATGTATCGAATGGAACTCCTGCTGCATAAAGCATATTTATTGTTTCTTTGGACTCCAATATACAATTTAGTAATTCCGTAATGTCTGAAAGCTTATGAATGTCTTGGAGTACTGCCTGTAAAATTAACAATATATTAAATATTGTTAGACATTTTCCGACGAATCAAAATGTTAATTATATTTATTATATAACTCATTACTTTCTGTAGCAATTGATGAGCTAAACATCCAATAACAATTGCAGTTTGATCTCCCTTGAAGTAAGGAAGAGATTCTATTTTCCGAAATTTTTCGGCTAAAATTGCTTTTCTACTACAAAATAGACCACTGACTATTGTTGTCCCAGATATTAATAGATCTGGATGAATAACAATGTAACCGCTATTATTGTCTACAACCCAATATTCATTTTCTTTTCTTGCTTCAATGGCAATAATATCATTTATTTCTACTTTTACATCTTTCCTAAATATGAATTAAAAATATTTCATTAAAATTATTAAAATCATATCGAATTAAGAATAACATACAATTTCTTACCAAAAGCCTGAACATTTAACAATTGTACTAGACATTTCGAATTCAAAATTTATTACAGTTAATAATATATAACTACATTCCTTTTTCATATCAATTATTTTGCATCGTTGTAAAGAATTTAGATTTATCTGTTTATCTGTAAACCATTCTTCCTCAAAACAGTCATCTAAACTGTATGATATTAAATCACAATTTAATTCTCTGATTTCATCAGATTGTTCAGACACATTATTACTAAGTATTCCTGATTCTTTTTTCACATCTGACTTACATTTTTTTATAGAATCTAAGTTTATAGGTGGTCTAATATTACTTTCAACTGATTTCACATTATGCAATTGTTTTTTTTCATTTAAATTGTCTAATACATTTTTCGATTTATTTACACTCGTGTTTTCCTTATTATTAATCTCTAGCATCTCTGTTTTCTTAAGACTATGATCCTCTTTTATCTTTCTTTTCTTACATGCCATCTCATTTTGTGCATTACTTTCAGCGATATCACAGACGGTATTTTTACGTTTATTTTCGAGTGGTTTTCTTTCCTTAAAAATTCCTTTGCTGTGTGCTATCTGTAATAGAAATGTAATACTGAAACTAAGCAGAAATTACAATATTGTATAAAAGTGATAAGTAAAATAGATAATACTTTATTGTTATATTTGTCACAAATTATGTCATACCTCCATATTAATTTCGTTTTTGTACTATTATAATGCAAGGAATATCAAAATGTTCATCAATCGACGCCACGTTGATCATTTCCCGCGCAAACGATATAACATTATACAATAAAAAGATGGGAAACAAAACTGTACACCAACATAAAGACCAGATGTACCCTATATAATTGTGGCGGTTCACTCCTACGATCATCGCTACTAGATGGCGTATGACATCGAGATCAGTTTTCCCGCTAATATTCGAATAGTCCCCGATTTCTACGAATACGAATAGTTCCTATCCCAAACATATGTGTATCAGTCATAAATACCTGTTGCGCCATACCTGTAAGATTTTTTCTTACTAGAAATCTATATGTGAAGGTAGCTGTGACGGCACTTATCATTCACACAAGCTTGTAATGCAATATATAATAGGGTTTTGTATTTATTTTCGGCATATGCATTCGAATAATATTCTCAACAATATTATATTAGGGTTTTAAGTATACATTTTGTTACAATCTCTCATTTTTTTTCTAATTAACATATTTTATAACATATTTAATTATATTTACAACTGCTAGTTATACTAAATTTTTCTGAATTAACTGTGTTACAGTCAACAGAAATACTGAATCTTATTATTTGTAATGTACATTTATACAATATTCTTCTACATGAATTTAAGATGCTAAGTATCAAAGTTTGGTTGACTTCTACATATTACTGAAACGCGTCTAATTTTTGGTACATGCTGTCCTTCAAAATATGATTCTTCGTTCTTTAAAATTTCATGTTTATAGTTATATCTAGCTGCCCCACTGTAAAATAGTAATTTTCAGTGGAAAAAAAATTAAAACTAAAATTTACATACCTCATTATGTATAGAGATCTTCGTGGTAGCAGAAAATCTTGTTTGTATAATGTTTCATTTCCAACCAGTGTTAATCTCATTACACTATCGCTTAATAAACTTAAACCAGCAATTATCTCTCCGCAGAACTGTAATAAAAAATTAATCAAATATTAATATTTCATTCTGACTGAAAGTGAATAATGAGAATAGATACCCTAGTACTGTCAATGTGGGGTTTTATCCATCCTTCTGGCGCTAAGTCCAAAATATGTATTAATGGAATTTGAGACATTCCTTTGGGAAATGCTTTTTCACGAATTTTGTTTATTATTTTTAGATTATCTTCATTCCACTTACTTTGCTCTGTTTCTCTGTAAGCATGTATAGCCTACAATGATTAAATAAAACAGATTATTATGACATAATTCAAATATTCATTTATGTTATACTAACATCATCCCAATGAGATTGTTCATATCTGAGCCTTTTTACACAAGATTCAATTTCTTTCATTAATGAATTTTCTTCTTCAATAGTAATAAAATTTGGAAATATTTGCATAGTATTTTTAAGTTCCTCTTTCCAATTTTGTACATTTTTGTCTACTTTATTACATACTTGTTTTGTTCGCATATAATATCTTAAATTAATACAATTAAAATTTTTATTCGTAAAGTAAGTAAACAAACAAAATGTAACTCTTAACATATTTCTATCTAACAAGGTTAGGTTATAATAAAATGTTATCAAAAATTTCAAGAAATATATGAAGTTATCAGAATATACAGTTATGTACTTAGATATATTTGTTTGGATGAATGAGTTATTTAATTCATAAACATACAGAAATCACTTTCGAACTAAATTAAAATCATTTATTTAGGCAGGCTCATGTTTAACAACTCTTTTTGCATACGATGATTAAAAATGTTTTCAAGTTTCATTTAACAAATACAAAGTAACAGTTTTATATAAAGAATAGTTAGAAATGATGTCGTAATTGATATATCATATTTAAAAGTTGTGACCTAATGAAATTCGCAAATTTTTATCGCATGAATTATGCCTTGTTGAAAACATCGCTTATTAATTCTCACTAGTAAAGTTTTCGATTGTACATTTATTTTCCGTAATAAAACTATAGAAGTTTTTATTGATGAGGTTATAAACTTCTATTGCGGATGTTCGTATACGACAGTGTTATGTAGATTTTAAATCATGCTTTCGACCGGGATTAAAGATGCACTGGCTGTTACAGCTTCAATTTGTACAGTTTTGCAATTTTTAGCTGGCGTGTAAGTAAAAGTGTAAATTTTATAAGAGAGATTTAAAGTATCTGTTGCATATTTGTTCAAGTAGTATTTAAAATACTGTTCAAAGTATATATAGAATAAGTAAAACAGAATTTATTTAACATTAATATACTTACTTTAGGTAAGCATAATTAATTTTTGTTATACAATTAAAAAGTTATAAAATTTTTTTTAGGCTGATATGCAGGAAGATCATTAAAAATGGAACGACAGGAAATAATTCAGCTTTGGCATTTATAATGTGTTATACATCGTAAGTGTTATGTTATAGGTAATGAAAATTTCTCTGCCTATTGCAAATATATTATTTATGTTCTAATTAGTTTTTAATTATTAATATAATAATTGCATCAATTTTTAATCAAAAATTGATAATCGTTAATTTTTTATATAATCTATTACAGGTGCATTTTATGGTTGAGATACGGTATGCTCATTTCAGATCGATTTGTGTTACTAGTAAATGTATTTGGAGCAATCCTTCAAGCATCTTACATTTGCGTGTTTATTTTATATAGCGTAAAGAAATTTAAAATTATTAAACAGATGATTGTAGCTACTTGTTTTCTTGGAGCTGTATATTTTTACAGTTTTTATGAAGAAGATAAAACACTAACTGCAAGATACGTCGGCTTCCTTAGCTGCACAGTAACAGTATTATTTTTTGCATCTCCTTTAATGATGGTGGTAAGTTTCTAATTTCTTTTGATTTTAAATGCCTAAATCAGCTATTATTTTAATTAATTGTACATAATATTTTTTAGGCACACGTAATAAGGGTTAAAAATACAGAAAGTTTACCTTTTCCTATTATAATGGCTTCTTTAATAGTTTCTGCACAATGGTTTGCATATGGTTGCCTTCTTAATGATCGTTTTATACAAATACCAAACTTTTTAGGCTGTGTACTATCCGCATTTCAACTTAGTTTCTTTCTAATTTATCAAAATGAAAAAATCACAGAGGCTCACTTAATATAAAATACATTATTTATTAAATTATTTATTTTAATGAAATGTAATACAATACATTTTTGATGTACTGATGTATATAATTTAAAATACATAATTTGTATTTTTTGAAGAAAATATATTTTTTGGAATAAGTAAGATATTTTTTTCTGGAATACGTTTTTGCTAAGTTCAATTTCGCGCCAAATATAGTTTTACATTTTGTCGTACTGACATATTTCGAACAAATTATGTAAAATTTATGAAATTTTACTACTATTTTCGCTCAATTTCTTTATTATTTATTATAAATATTTTGCATGCGTGAACACTTTGAATGTCACAGGAGAAAAAGGTAAACAAGTAATTCATTTGACTTTAGTATTAATCATAAGTATGATTAAAATATATATAAATAATCTTAATTAATTGATAAATATGTATTATTGACGTTTCAAAAATTAAGAATCTGCGTTAATTTATTTAATTGTATTAAACATTTCGTTTCTTTTTCTAAAAGGATATCTTTTGAACGGAAATCGAGTGGAATTTTCCAGACATATTAGAAAGTTCGAAGAGTTCCGGGTGAAAACAGTTGGCAGCACTGATGCTTCGAGAGAGGAGAAAGAGGTGCGGTGTTGCGTGACTGATTGCGAGACCGAGCGTGTGTGTTTGTTGTGTTGTACGATTTTTATTCTCCTTTTGGGAAGAAAAGTTCGTTTGGAAGACCGTACGCTTGGAAGAAAAATGTCGTCGTATATTCAAGTTGCGGAAGACGAAGGCGACGAGCCGATAGAATTGCCAACGGAAGATGATAGTACACTTTTATTGACTACCGTAACCGCCCAGTTTCCCGGAACGTGTGGCCTCAAATATCGCAACCCAGAATCTCGGACGATGCGCGGCATTCGTCTCGTTGACGGACGTCTTCATCCGCCTGAAAATGGATGGGGCAAGGCGATTTACTTTTGTGTTTTTCCAAAAGGTGCATATTTTATTGCAGATCATATGCTTTCATCCCTAAAATATTAACGTCCCGATAAGATCAAGTACAGTGTATTATTGCATATCGATTCACGTAAATTTAAAGTAAGTTACTCTGATCTCGAAGCGTCTGTCTACATTACATGTGTTTCGATGCGGTTTCAATTTTTTTCTTTTTACTCCCTCTTTTTTTACACAATGCGAATTCGGTATTCTATTTTTATCTTTGCGTAAATCGGTACATAGGATGTTTCATTGATTATTGTTAAGGAATTTTGTCATTTATATGTACTTGATCTTGAATAATTCTCACCAATTTTAATGCGACTTTTCTTTCCTATATAGTTTGAAGTCCAGTACATGTGTTTGTGTTTTCTGTGTTAAGTATTTTTATGCGTTTATTACTAAAAAATCAAAAAAGTACTTTTTTATAATCATTCATAAAGGTATATTCTTCTGTTTACATGAAAGTCTAAAGTTTTACATTTTCGAATGCATGGTTTCTCAATTTATTAATAACATTTAACTAAGTAGAGATAAGACAAAGTTTACTTATAATTGATAATAACATAAGCACATGTTAATATTTAAAGATTTAGATTTTGGTCAACTTTGTGGAATGGTACTTTTAATATTTATCAATAGTTTTACCAGTGTTTATGATTTATTAGAATATGTTTACATCTATGAACGTATAAACAAATGCACATAGGTGTAAACGAAAATGTTTACTTAAAATTTAATATTACAGTATATATATTACATATTGTGTACACGCACATAGATCATACACCCATATACACATATACATTAATACACAAGTACTTATAGAGTTTTAATACAAAAGTATTTGTACTGGATTTCAGTATTTTCTTTTTCATTTTTTTTATTTATTATTTTTTTTTTTTTTGCAATTTCATTTCTGCATAATAAAGTGGATAAGATACGAATTTTAGAAGAGATTTTAGTAAAATGGAAAAAAAAAAAAGTTAGTAGACATGAACACTTATATCTTTTCAGAGAACAAACGTAAATCTGATGACAATTTGGAAAATTCCACAGCTAAGACTAAAAGAATGGAAACAAAGTTGCGTTGCACAGACTTGATCGTACTTGGTTTACCATGGAAAACCACCGAGCAGAACTTGCGTGAATATTTCGAAACGTTTGGTGAAGTACTGATGGCTCAGGTGAGTTCTATAAAACTACTATAAACAAACATTGTTCAAACAGAATTTATTTTTTCACTGTTTCTTCTACGTATTATCTTTAATTTTTCAAACTTTAGAGACATAATATCAAAGTAATTTGTTTGTTATTTCTGTCTAATCACGGAAATTTTATGTTACAGACATTGTATCATAAATTATAATATAAATTAATATAAATCTATGTTTTTATAGGTAAAAAAGGATGCAAAATCTGGACAAAGCAAAGGATTTGGATTTATTAGATTCGGAAGTTACGAATCCCAGTTAAGATGTCTTGCTCAGCGGCATATGATAGATGGAAGATGGTGCGATGTCAAAGTTCCCAACAGTAAGGTAAGAGTATTGTTATGTTTACTAACAAGTTTTTATTGTTTCCTCCAATATTTTTCGATAGTTTTTAAATATTTAATAGTTGTTTAAGGTTTAAAGAAAAAATATATATATATATATAATATTTGTGTGCAAATCATAGATCTGTACATATCTATTCATAGAATTCTGTTAATCTTTCTCTTACAAATTCAAACGTTTAATTTATATTTAATTAAAATATTCGACATTTCTGTAATGTCGCGTGCATTAGGTATGAAAATATTTCATCGGTTTAATTTATTCTTCAATAATATATTAAAATATTCGCAAATTATTTAATACATAACAAAGAGAAACATTTAAGACATGTAATCAGATGCGATATTATCAACGAAAACAATGTTATTTATGCTGCTTGATATGCATATATGAAACATAATTTAAATCAGTTATGTACAGATCTAAGATGTATGCTACATAAGACATTAGTTGACCTATATACTGTAATAAGAATGACGAAATCTAACTATGGCACGAACGTGGACATAATATTTTGCTTCGTGAATTCTTTTCTATTTCAACTCGTTACACAAGACTATAAAATAATTAATTTCATTTAATAATCTATTTACATGACATCTTCATATGTCTCTTAAGAAGGTATATCGTGGAATAAGTAGATGAATGTGTAGTCATTTTAAGTGGTAAATTTATATAGAACATGTGATAAGTGTGTGTGAATGTTTACATGGATGTTGTATGATGCAATGGAAAATACTTTACGAAAGTATGTTTGCGTGATCCTGTAAATAACATGGTATGTTTGTGTCTTTAAATAGAGTGAAATTTTCGAGTATGTTATGAGAGTATCACTATCAGGATTAAATACGAGTATTACTCGTGAATATACATACCTTTTCGAACAAAACAGTTCGAAGAATAATTTGTCGGTGGCAGAATCGTCGTTTTATAAATTCATTTGCCAGTTCCGTGCGAGTTTTCGAGAGATTCTATGTAACGCATAATCGTTAGTTCGATGATAAATACGTCCGAGAAAATGAAAGAAGTCGAATTTTTGATTTTACAGTCAGAAAGTTTGTGCTTCATAGGAGTGACTTTTGGACGTTAAAATCTTAAATATTGCAGAATGTGTATTGATTTTTTATTTATTTATTTTATTTATTTACTTTTTTATTTATTATTATTTTTTTTTTCCATTAAGAATAACGAATATTGTAATGAGTATGGTTTGCGTGACATATGTGTGCAATCGAAATAACTCTCTGTTATGTTACAAGCTGTCATGCTCGAATTTTGTGAACGGAAATACATTTGAAATAGCCGCGATTAAATTTAAACGATAAATATAAATATGAAAGAACGACAGTATAGTATCGTTCTGCACGCCGATACGTCCACCGTAAATCCAAGCAAAGATAAAAAAGGGAAAAAAAGAAAATCAGTTGTAAGGATGATACCGTGCGTGATCGTACAAAGTATAGAGTGTACAGCTCGTAGATGAACGAACATCGAGATTATGATATCGTGCAACTTTTTGGACAGATGAAACATTCTTTAGAATATCGCGTTACGTGTACGGTTGATCAACGCGTGTTTAGGTACTATCTCGTAAAAAGTTCTCTGAACTGGGATGTGCGGGTAATCGAACGTGGCGTGTATCCAAAGTGTCGGGTTGGGTTCGAAAATGTTTAACTAGTTCGGACGAGGACCCGAGATGTACGGACCTTCGGGTAGTGAAATTGTTTCGTGGCAAGTCGGAGAAAATAAGTCGGAATCGAGCATACTATCGCGATATTCTATTCGGTATTGAAATATCGGCATCTAATCGTAAGACTCGATAGTATTCGATATCGATGGCGGCTAAGTTCTCTTCGATTTAATCGAAACGAAATCGGACTAGCCAAGACTCGATACGTTTCGGTCATTCGTTCGTATCCTCACCACTGTATCTGACTCGACTGGAGTGAAAAATGTCGGGCATGTCTCTATTATCTAATTTAATTGGTATGTGGAATGACACGGTTTAGAAGAAAAGAACCGTAATAGTATGTCGAGCGAGTGCGTATATATGTGTGTAATTAAAACAATTATATAGATAAAATTGTATGTGATTGTCGAGGGCTTGGTGTATCTGGTTGCAGAATATTGATGGCTTAATGATGGCTCGTCAGTATGATACGAGCAAACACAATGAATGCTACCGCCCTATACCGGTTCATACGCCGAATAGTCGACGGGTACCTGTGGCGAAACCGTATATCAACTTAAACACACCCGAGGCTGCTAATACACCTAGGTACGATTCGGAGTACGATTATAAAACTACGCATTATCCGTCGTACCCTCCCAATTATCCGTACGACGATAACGCCAAGTACAAGTACGAAGGACAGAATTACAATGCGTACGAGAAACCGAATTATCCTTCGTACGAGGATCCCGGGTACGATGCACGAAACTATATGGTCCAACATACAACTGCAGCGCCTCCGAATCCTGCTTATCCGTCCGACACGGAATACACTAGATACACCAACTACGAAGGACGTGCCGCTGTCTACCCTGTCGTGGAGAATCCAGATTACGCGGAGAAAACCAGATACAATTACGGTTACGATCGAAATTATTACGAGGCGGATGGTCGATACGCGTCGTCTACGGATTGTAGATATTCGTTGGATGTACGGTACCCAGACAACAGACACGGTGACAATAGGATCCCGGCTGACGGTAGAGAGACTGATTGTAGATATCCGGTGGACAGTCGTGACATGGACAGAAGGTACGCGATCGATAGTAGGGATCCTGATGGTAGATACGCGGTCGAGAATAGAGAAGCCGATGTCAGATATCCACCGGATACCAAGGAAGTGGATGCCAGGTTTGCGGATACAGCAAGATATCCGGCTAAAGAGAATTATTATGACCGTTATTACAAACACCGTCCATCGAGGGATCACCACGTCTCGGACACCTCAAGATATTGATGAGTCTTGTCACTATCGTAAATACATTAGTTACGTTTCAATGGGAATAAATAATTATTTTCTACGCCTTATGCCAAATACTTTACTATTCCTCTGTTCTCGGCATTGGATCTGTTACCGGTTCAGATCTCTTCGCGAACAAATTGTCTTTTGAGAAAACCTGCTGGTAATCCTCGTATCGACTCGATAGTCGCGAATAGACTGCGAACATTTATACATTTATGATCTGTCGAATTCTAGAGAATATGGAGATATTCACGCTTTATGGATTATATCTTATTGTATTGTAAGCGCGTTAACATCCGCAGTCTAATCACGAGAAAGAATAGTTTCTGTTTAATAGCGACGTATTCCCCTTGATTCGTGATTTCTATTGCAAATAGCAACAAAAAAAATTGTTTAATATTCAGCAATAGCCTCAAGTAATTGTCTACATTTTTATCAACTATTGTGTTTATTCAGTCGAAAATAATGTGTAATACATAGCATGAAACGATACATCGACTATACAAAAGAGAAAGGACATTGTACAAATTTGTGCATGGATTTTAAAAAGGCCATAGTGCTTAAGTGTTATATATACATATACATATATATATATATTCATGAAAATCAAAGTGTAAATTGTTCAGCTAAAACCTTTTTCTTTAAACGATAACTAGACATATGTATTAAAAGGACTTTTTATAAAACTTGTCGTTAGTGCAGATTAACCGATCTTAATTATGTTCCTCGTTCGACTAAATGACCGATATCGAATTCTGCGTAAACCTATCCTATATTCATTTTTCTCGTTTCCCGTGTAAAACATGATTGTAAATAATTGGTAATAATGTGCACTATACGCAAGTTTTATCGGTTAAAGAACAAAACCAAACAAACAAAAACAAAAGAAAAAAAAAAATCAAAAAAAAAAAAACAAAAACAAAAAAAATCAGTGAAAATCTGTTGTACATGATTGATTGATTGTGCGTTTGTGCGTAGGAGGGAATGATTCAGCAAGTACCCTGCAAGGTATTCGTGGGACGCTGTACAGAAGACCTAACTGCCGATGATCTACGCGACTATTTCTCCAAATATGGCGAAGTGACGGACGTGTTCATCCCAAAACCTTTCCGTGCATTTTCATTTGTTACTTTCTTAGATCCCGAGGTAGCGCAGTCCCTATGCGGCGAGGATCACATAATAAAAGGAGTGTCGGTACACGTGTCGAACGCTGCACCGAAGTCCGAGGGCAACAATAAGAATTTCAATAATCAAGTGAATTCGAACATGCGTAGAGGCGCCCCAGGTCCCGTCGAGAATAACGTGCAAGGAAACTATCAGGGTAACAGATACATGGGCCACTCAGGTAACAATATGGGTCCAAACGGTTGGAACAATCCAGGGAACCGGGGCAACTTGGACATGCCTAACCTCCAAGCATTGGGCATTACTGGACAAAATAATGGCGGTGGTGGCGGCGGTGGTATGTCGAATCCTTTGGCGATGGGAGGTCTGAACCTGTCCGCGTTACCAGTCAACCCTGCTTTGGTCGCAGCTGCATTGAACCAAGCATCTTGGGGTCTGATCGGTAACTTGCAGAATCAGGGAAACGATCAGGGCTATTCGAACCAGCCTGGCCCACCTGGTCAGCCACCTTCAGGCAACAATAGTATTGGTAACAGTGGAAACTCTGGCTTTCTCAGTTGGATGAATCAGGGAGGAGGTGATGGTAATACAGGCAATCCTGGAACAGGTGGTCCAGGCCCGAATAATCCCAACGCATCCCAAGGTGCTTGGCAGAACCATCCAGGACAACGTGATCAAAAGTCGAACACCTTTCTCAAGTACGAGTAAGCTGCATGGAGAGGAGAGAGAGAGGGTCCGAGTGTAATCGTGGAATGCGGCGAATCCGTTTCTTTGATCCTGATACACGTTATCCAGTGGCGAGAGTCTAGGCAAGTGTGTAGTAGGTACAAAATAATTTTCCTTTTTGTAGAGGGAACCAAAACCTCTATATTAAAATAGATGGACGGGTTCGAAACTGTCTGTTTGTTTTTCTACGATTAATGAACAGATTGATTTTCTTTAATTCGATTTCATGCGATCACGTGATGCATATATATATATATATACATACATACATACATACATACATATATACATATACATGGTGTGCGTGCGGGTGTGTGTGCGCGCGCGCGTGTGCGTATGTATATATACACACCCAAATACATATATATATATATATATATATAATTATGAATATATAATGTATGAATATAAGTATAGATAGTGTGCTCTAACGAGTAATAAGAGTGTAATGACAAATATTTTCCTTTCGTCTTTTGCACGTCACGCAAAATGTATTTCTGACTCTGTCTCTCATATTTCTTACCGCCTTCCTCAGAGACTAGCACAAGTTCTTCGTTGGCAACGATAGATGAATGTGCGTGTTGTAAAAGACGGATAGCTTCGATCATCTGAACTTGCGTTTTAACTGTATGATCTCATTTCAAGCGTGCGGTCTAACCTACTCGGAGATAATTACTGTATTGAAAAGATAATGAAGATGCTGATGAGAATGAGAATGAGGATAAAGATGAGGATGAGAATGGTAATGAGAATGAGGATCAGGATAAGAATGAGGGTGAGGTTGAAGATGAGGATGAAGATGGATGAGGATGAGGATGAGGATGAGGATGAGGATGAGGATGAGAATGAAGATAATAATGATATATGCATATATACATATGATACATGATGATTGTGTATGTGTCGTAGAAGACAAACAAGATTTATTGTAGCGAAGTTCGTACATGTGCTTATGTTTATTTAAAGTTTCGTGCCGTGTATTTAATGTGTAATTGAGAATTAATTGAGAACTTCGTAAGTACGCAGATCGCGAAATCTTTAGATGGTGAGAATTTAAACTTTTTCCGATCACGGAACGTGGTAATCCTAGCTTTATTTTCTTAATTACGTACCAATAACGTGGTACACTGTTTCTTTTTACGGACTAATGCTACCAGAGTACTTTTGTCATGTTAAATGAATCGTTTACCAAAAGAGCTACTTCACTATCGGTTAATCTTGAGACCAAAAAGAAAAGAATTAATCGACAACAATCATTTCATTTCCAATCTATGTTCATTTAATAAATCTATATAATGCATATTTTTATTAATAATATTTACCTATGGGTGAAATATCAAAAATAGTTGTTACAAGTTAAAAGTCGGAATCTTTATACCGAAACATTTTTTTTTTCTTTTTCTTAATTTTATTTTAATCATTACTACATACAAAATTGTAAATATCAGATAGTTCCAACTTATTTCTTACAAGACCAAACGAAATTTACAAAGACCGATTCTATATTTAATGCAACGTGTTTATTATAAGTGTGGTATATAGCGTGAGAAATAAGAATGTATGGAAAAGCATAAATGTAAAATCGCAGTTATATACAGATTGATCGCAGCTACCCGAGATTTAAAATACTTATTAACGTTTATGGAAAATCTCGCCTTAAAGAAAAGGAAAAACGAAAAGAAACGTGTCTGCACGTGCACGCGAACGAGATTTATGTGAGAAATGTGTTTTTCATTGAGAACGGTGAGTGCGTATACAAATTCTATTAACTGCTTGCACGTGGAAACTAGTATCTCCGATTTGTTTGATTTTAAAGCGTTCAAAGCTTTTAGTATACCTTTAAAAAAATTAAGTTCTTACGTGTTAAGAATCGAGTATTTATTTTCCAAAGATCATAAGAAATAATTTCATTCACGTTGCACGATTGTAGTCAATAATTCTTATGTAGACGAAGTTGAAAAAAGAAAACAAAATAAATTACACACAATCTAAGTACAGCATTAACTGAACACTACATTCAAATTAATTTAGGTAGAATATTTCAAGCTAACAGTTACGAGTACACGTTATCGATAAATTAAGCAATTTTCATCAGAGATACGTCTATGTTATTTCGCCTTGTCTCTATAACAATATCGTGCTATATTTCCGACTTGATAGGCCGGCAATTTTACCAAACATTCAATGTTAATTCAATTTTGCATCGATAATTTAGTCGAACATAGTGTGCACGTGTACTCTTAGTTGTTAGAATGAATAAAGTTTAAGTAAACATAGATTTATAAATATATATTCTGTGAGTTAGAGCTTTTCAAAAGTTCAGGAAATGCGTGAACACTTACCTTGCTGACATTACGAACACGAAGATGTCTTCTTTACTAATAAGTATACGTATGATTTTGATTAATGTGACTCCGCATGCAATCTCAAGAGGCTCTAACTCGTTACAGAAACAGACACAGAGCCACACTTGCGTAATGCTATGTCATACTTGCAATTAGCAATACACCGTAATATAATTTGGCCAAATATTTAAGGATTATACAGTCTCTCATGTTTTTAAGGCATATAAAACTCCTTGTATTCAAAACTGATCATTATTTTTCTTGTTCTCGTTTAAGAAATAAGAAGATTATATTAGATTGGATTGTTTTGACGTGTCTCTCTGTGTGTATGACGGTCGAATGTATTTGTTAATGGTCGTCTCAGAACTACAGGCATGAAAGTTTAATCGAGATATGATCTGCTGTTTAATGATGAGAACCTCTATACTACGTATTTAATGCAAAAGGATAAAAGAAAACTACGTGTTGATATGATGAGTGCATATATAATTAATTGTGAGGTGAGCGATAATTAATTGCGAAAAAAATAATATTTTATGAATGGGACACAGTCGTTTATTGAATGCCTGAATATATACTATAATAGATAAATATATATATATATATATATATACACATATGTATACGTATATAAATATATATATATATATATATCTTTATTGATCCAAGAATGTTTATACATAATGTAAAGAGAACATTGATGGAAAGTGCGTCGAGTTTATTTATTGACGTCCTGCTGTAAATGATAAACCGATATACAGAGACTGTAGTTTAAGACAACTTTTAACAGACATTAGAACCGTTTCTAGCTCATTACTATAACCGGCCGATCTATTTCAAATCGTTCGCTATTCACTGGATTTATTTAATCTTTCGGAAATGAAATTCGTTTTATTATTGGTGCAATTGATAATGTTTTTAAGAGAATTGTTGCCAAACTGTTTGCAAGAAAACTTTTGCCAATTTTCAATCGGTTGATAATACCTGTTGCTCAAAAGATGCCTTGCGAAACGATTTGGAAATGATCTATGAATTGTGTAAATAATAAGTAAGGAGCATTAATGTCATTCGTCAACGTAACGAATTTTGTTGTAGACAGTTCTATTGTAAATTACAATTGAGATTGTGTTTCGATTAAGACATGGCATGATGACAACTGATAACATCAATTTTTGTCACGTGAGAATGTTATTTTGATAGATGGCAGAGATTGATTCTTTATTACATAAGTTCATTACAAGATTAAAAACTGATACACTGGCAGTAATTTATTTTCACTTTTCAAATTCCTTTGTTGAGCTACTTGTTAACAACCTATCTCTAAAGTAGATCAATGTCACACGAATTAATTAATCATCTTAATTTATTACGTTTAATTTCGACGTTTCACCTTTAAAGTAAAGATCATAAAATAACTTTCCATTTTCTTACATTATTTCTTCATTCGGAACCAATGTTACGCGTAGTCCAAGTATATTTTCTTTTACGAGCTGATGAGCAATCATTCGCGTGTATGTCGCATACCTATAAATTTATTTCAGGTTCAATACTTTCAACATTTTAATGTTAACCGATACTGTTAATTGTTATATGATGATAGTGGTTACAGGTGACTGTAACCACTAAAGTAAACGATATTTTTTTACCAAACAGTTATACATACTGAAATTGAAATATTTAGAAAACTATGTATAATGCATTATTTCATTTATTTCGTAATTTTTACACTTCAACATTTCAAATTTATAAGCCTCATCATGATACAGCGACAAAGCATTCGTTCAGAGATAATTCATTAAATTTTCAATAATTTCATTGTCTATGTAAAGAGAACATTGATGGAAAGTGCGTCGAGTTTATTTATTGACGTCCTGCTGTAAATGATAAACCGATATACAGAGACTGTAGTTTAAGACAACTTTTAACAGACATTAGAACCGTTTCTAGCTCATTACTATAACCGGCCGATCTATTTCAAATCGTTCGCTATTCACTGGATTTATTTAATCTTTCGGAAATGAAATTCGTTTTATTATTGGTGCAATTGATAATGTTTTTAAGAGAATTGTTGCCAAACTGTTTGCAAGAAAACTTTTGCCAATTTTCAATCGGTTGATAATACCTGTTGCTCAAAAGATGCCTTGCGAAACGATTTGGAAATGATCTATGAATTGTGTAAATAATAAGTAAGGAGCATTAATGTCATTCGTCAACGTAACGAATTTTGTTGTAGACAGTTCTATTGTAAATTACAATTGAGATTGTGTTTCGATTAAGACATGGCATGATGACAACTGATAACATCAATTTTTGTCACGTGAGAATGTTATTTTGATAGATGGCAGAGATTGATTCTTTATTACATAAGTTCATTACAAGATTAAAAACTGATACACTGGCAGTAATTTATTTTCACTTTTCAAATTCCTTTGTTGAGCTACTTGTTAACAACCTATCTCTAAAGTAGATCAATGTCACACGAATTAATTAATCATCTTAATTTATTACGTTTAATTTCGACGTTTCACCTTTAAAGTAAAGATCATAAAATAACTTTCCATTTTCTTACATTATTTCTTCATTCGGAACCAATGTTACGCGTAGTCCAAGTATATTTTCTTTTACGAGCTGATGAGCAATCATTCGCGTGTATGTCGCATACCTATAAATTTATTTCAGGTTCAATACTTTCAACATTTTAATGTTAACCGATACTGTTAATTGTTATATGATGATAGTGGTTACAGGTGACTGTAACCACTAAAGTAAACGATATTTTTTTACCAAACAGTTATACATACTGAAATTGAAATATTTAGAAAACTATGTATAATGCATTATTTCATTTATTTCGTAATTTTTACACTTCAACATTTCAAATTTATAAGCCTCATCATGATACAGCGACAAAGCATTCGTTCAGAGATAATTCATTAAATTTTCAATAATTTCATTGTCTTATACTTGCAAGAACGAATCTTGTTCGGTCGAAACATTCTTCCATTGTACACAAAATATGATACTGCATGTATTCGAATCTCAACAAAATCAAATATAGTCTCATCATTGGAGGAATAATACTTAGACTGAAATGTTGAAAAATTATGTTGTATAGTCTCCGAAACAGCCACTGACCATGTAAATCAATCTATTCACATATACTTAATCTGTTATTTTGCTTCAAATTTCAAGAAAAAACGAAGAGAATGAGTGTATGTTTTTATACATATAATCACGCCAAATTTGTCTATTACATAATAAATTGCCGTTCATTTAATGAATGAAGGTGATGGTAGCGATAACAATAGGCGATTATATGATGATGGTGATGAGAATGTTTATAGTAATGAGGTTGAGAATGAGAATGGTGATGATGATGGCTATGATGACGATGTTGATAGTTATGATGGTAGTAGTGATGATGATGATGATGATGATGATAATGATGGTAGTGGTGGTAGTGGTGGTGATGATGATGATGATGATGATTATGATGATGGTGGTGGTGGTGATGATGATAATGATGATGCTGATGCTGATGATGATGCTGATGATTATGATGATGATTATGATGGTGGTGGTGGTGATGGTAGTGGTGATGATGATGGTGATGATTATGGTAATGGTAGTGATGATGATGATGATGATGATGATGATGATGATGGTGGTGATGATGAGGATGAGCAGGATGATGTTGATGATGATAAGGATGAAAAGAAGGAGGATGATGTTGATGATGATGACTGGAAGTACACGAGAGGCATGGAAGCGTCCGCTGAACTTCGAAACAGGTGATTACGAATTGATCTTACTTTTTATATAGTAGCAGGTTTTCAGTTAACACTTACATAATTTATGTAAAACGTTATGATCGTACGACGCTTTCAATTACCTATGATCCTGCTACATTTTCGATGTATCCATTTATTGCTCAACTTGTTTGAATTGCTGGTTATTCATTTTAATGCTAATAGTTGGAAAGCTTGATAAATTAAAGTTGTTAAAATTTGCAGATATTTTTTCTAATATTTGCATAAATTAAAATCATTGGTTGTTGGTGTTTAGATATAAATTAATAATATTTAATTTGCATTAATTTCTTTTCTCAAAGATTTTTTAATTGTCTCTTTATAATAAAAGATACAGACTTTAATGATATATTTACATTTTCATACTACACACGCAGTAGGACATTAATGGAAGTCTTGCATATTCAATGAAAATTGAATAATTCTCCGGCTAGGAGTATACGAGTTGTTATATTGAACTATTTTAAAAAATTAACAAATTAAAACAGTTATAGCTATTATGGTAAAAATAATACAGCTTATATAATCTTTACAAATCATTTTGCAAAAGATAATTATTCAGTAGTGCCACACGATTGATTTCAGTGTCCTACATGTTGCATACAATTATTTAACGTCCTATAAACAATTGCTAATTATACATATTTTTTTTAACAGTTTAGATGAATGAATTGCAGCTTAAATGCAGGATTGATTTTATGAAATTTTAAACCGATAACAACAGGAGAAGAAAAAACAAGAAACAGGATACGAGACATGTGAGAACCGAATGCAAAAATTGTGTACACAATAATGTGCGCATAAAAAGTTTGTAAAAAATGAGGACGATTTGAAAGTTTAGTTGTTTTCTGTAAGCATGCAGATTTATAACAAACAACGATCTTTTTCTGCTACTATTTCTTTTAATAAAGTTTTCTTATCTTCTCTTCTTGCAGGTGTTGCTTATCATTGTATCTAGCTGATCGTTGGTCAAGTATGCAAAAACTGTTATTTTTAGTGCATAAAGAAGAAAAAGATTGGAAATAAAATAAAATGAAACGCTTAAAAATTAGAGAAATTGGTCATTATTATACTATGCTGCATAAAATTAAAAGGTACCCTGTTTTTTTATTCCTTAATACTTATATTACATTTCAGTGCAAATACAGAGTTTATAAATGTTATTTCTGTGTAGGGGAATATGCAGAAGAAGGCTGAAATGTCGAATATAAAAAAAATCACATAGTGGAATGTGGTTAACGACAGATAAAATTTCTAAAATAAAATAACCTTTGAATATGTAATAATGATGGCTGGAATAATATTTTTATAATATTTTTTGTCATATTATTGTTGAAAACCTTTCCTTAAGAATTTTTCCATATACTGAACATTATTTAAGCCGAGAGAATAAATGAAGTTGGTTTCAAATATTTCGTATTATAAATTTACATGTATCCTGTACCATTATCATATAATACGTCGAATGTTTTATTTATAATACCTGATGAATAATCAATATTGAATTATAAATGGTTGTAATAAATGACATTTCTATTTATATAAAAAACATTCGTACATTTCTGTACGAAAATACTTCATATGCTTAACTCATTATTTATCATAAACACACTGGTATTCGGTGTAAAAACAGAAACGTGTTATGCTAAGTATTCAAACAAAATTAAAATGGACGTATCAAAGTTCAAAAAAGAAAGTTAAAGTCATGTAATTAATAAATTCTAATCGGGAAATTTCCAAGTAAAAAAATAGTTAACGATTAATAATGCTGTTTATTAATTTATTATTTTAACAACAATTTATTATTTATTTTTAAAAATGATAAAAATTCATCGATACAAAGTCATATATAAATAAAATTTGATTTTTGAACTTTGATCGCTTTCAACTATACAGACGCTTGCTACGTAAAGAGAATAATACAAGAGTAAACACACTGACGAGGTTAAGGTATATAAACTGCGACCAGAAGCGGTGGGACTGGTTGTAGTATGCTTACAGATTGTTGTTAACTTATCGATGTATTTGATTCATCGAGTGGTGGATTGGTGGGTTGGTGGACTTTTGTGGACTCGCCCCACTACCTGTTCACCTTTGTATCTAAAGTGAGCGTAGAAAAATCAAGTTTCTCGGAAAAAAATAATTCAGTTTTTGCTTTGTCTCGTGTAACAGGAATAATGGCACCAGCATTAAGTAAATTTGCATCCAAGCCTACTCTGGCTGGTGTCTGTGCATTAACCGCTTTAATATGGATTCTGAAAAAAAGAGGCAAGAAACAGATCGTAAAATGCAGGTAAGCTATGCATATACATACATTACATACATTACATATCTGAACTCTAAAACCAGAGTGGAGTAAGCTCTGTTTTTTAAAAATCGTACAAATTATTTCTAAACAATTAAGATTATAATGCAAAGATGATATTAAGTCTATCTTGTTTCAAGGCTTTTGTATTTTCCATTTGATCTCTTTTAAAGCTTAAGAAGTACAACTTTTAAAACATTAGATTGAAGCTACTGTTAAGATATTTATCACTTATTTATTTATTTATTTCATAGAAATGTGTGGCCTGCCAATGACATTCAATATGTTATTAAAGAGGTAACGAGATAACATTTTAATAACAAAATACATAATTATATTTGATACTAAAATAATTATTTTATAGGAAAAACCAAAAAATCCAAAAGCTTACGTAAATGCAAGATTTTTTCGACAACTACGTCAATTACTTAAAATAGGTATACCTTCCATTGTCTCTGCTGAATTTGGATTTGTTCTTCTTATTGCTGTCTCGCTTATCACAAGATCTGCTTGCGATCTTTGGATGATAAATATAGGCACTTTAATCGAATCGTATGTATTATTGCCTATCAGTTTTTACAATGTCCATCAATCATGATAAAATTTTGTACAGTTAATTCTTTCTAGGTCAATTGTTAACATGGATGTACCTGTATTCAAAGGAAGATTACTAAAATTCGTAACTCTACTACCTTTGGTGAGTGAATATAATCGATCCAAAATTAGGTTAAAGTTGCTTTCATAGGCTGCTAATAAAATCTTTTCATTCAGGCTGCCAAGCAGCTTTATTTTCTTACGAATTGGAAGAAATTATTGATATGATCTTCCATGATTATATTTATTTAGATATCTGTTGTGAACAACGTACTGAAATATGGTATATTCGAAATGAAGTTGAGGTTACGTACAAATATCACGCGAAATTTAATGGACCAATATCTCAAGTAAGTTAAATCTTTTGTTTATTTAGTAACCAAAATAATTCAAATCAGAGTTTTACAGCGAGTACACTGATGATACTTGTGTTTCCAATTGTTTCAGAGGGTTTACATATTACAAGATGAGCAATTTAGACAGTCGTATAGCAAATCCGGATCAACTTTTAACTACCGATGTTGATAAATTTTGTGAGAGTTGTACAGACCTCTACAGTAATGTTGCAAAACCTTTATTAGATATTGTTATCTACGTTTATAGGCTTACAACTAACCTTGGTGGCCAGGTGCGTTTATTTAAATAATTTTAATATATTTTTAATATAAATAATATATATTACACTTTATAGACACCAGTAATTATGCTTTCCTATCTTGTATTTGCTGGCATGGTATTGACTCATCTTCGTAAACCTATCGGACAAATGACAGTAAAAGAACAACGACTCGAAGGTGAATATCGTCACATCAATTCACGTTTAATTACAAATTCCGAGGAAATTGCATTTTATCAAGGAAATAACAGAGAAAAATTGACTTTATTAACTAGTTTTCATAAACTCGTAAGTTGTTTAAAATATACAAATTAATTAACTTGCCAAAATTTTAACTTATGATGTAATAAAGTGTTTGTTGTAGGTGACGCATCTTCGGAAGTGTTTGGAATTCAAAACGTTGATAGGAATAATAGATAATTTTGTTGGCAAATGTAAGAATAGAACATAATCGATATGTAATTGATTATTCATAAATGATAACCTTTAATTTAACCTCTAATTTCTTTTTCCAGATACGGCAACGATAGTTGGTTTCTATGCAGTCAGCATACCATTTTTCCAAAAAAATCATCCTGTTCTTTCGGGAACAGCTGATCATCGATTTAAAAATTATTATACCTATGGTAGAATGTTAGTGAAACTTGCAGAAGCTATAGGCAGACTAGTTCTAGCTGGAAGAGAATTGACCAAACTAGCAGGATTTACCGCTAGAGTCACCGAAATAAAGGATGTTCTGGACGATTTAAATGCTGGAAAATACGAGAGGACCATGATATCCGATTTTAAAGACGAACCGATCGGAAATCCTGGCGAAGGGAAGATAGTTACCAAAGATAATGTTATTCGATTCGATCGTGTACCTCTAATAACTCCGAACGGAGATATTCTTATCAGAGAACTATCGTTTGAAGTAAAATCTGGAATGAATGTATTAGTATGCGGACCAAATGGTTGTGGAAAGAGTTCTCTCTTCAGAATTCTTGGAGAAGTAAATTATGTTTTTTATTGTTATTACTGTTTTAATTATAGTATGTATCAACATTTTTGATGATATAAAATTACTAATAATTAATTAAAACAGTTATGGCCAGTTTGGAGTGGAACAGTTACGAAACCTCCTCGTGGAAAGCTCTTTTATATACCGCAACGTCCTTACATGACGTTGGGTACTCTAAGAGATCAGGTAATTTATCCACACACGAAGGAGGAAATGATGAGACGCGGGAAAATGACGGACAACGACTTAAAAAAATTATTAGATCTTGTACAGTTGAGCCATCTATTAGAAAGAGAAAATTTCGCGAACAGCGAAGGACAAGGTTGGGATGTTGTGGCTGACTGGATGGATGTTTTATCCGGTGGTGAAAAGCAACGCATAGCGGTAACAAGCATTTATCATAAAAAACATTTCGTTCTAAAATTGAATGAAACGTAAATATTGTTTTATACAGATGGCTCGACTTTTCTATCACCAACCACAATTTGCAATTCTCGATGAATGTACGAGCGCTGTCAGCGTTGATGTCGAAGATTCTATGTACTCGTATTGCAGGCAAGCAAATATTACGCTGTTCACAGTTTCGCATCGACGATCACTTTGGAAACATCACGAGGTATTGATATACAATGCAATACATATGTACATATATATTTATTTATTTATTTATTCATTAATTCATTAATTCATTAATTTATTCATTTCCAGTATTACTTACAAATGGATGGAAGGGGAAACTATGAATTCAAGGCTATTGAACCAGATACCGAAGAATTTGGGTCGTGAATGTTTGTGTCCCTTGCATCAAAAAGTACTTGCCAAAATGCAAGGGACGTGTATATTACGTTTCAGTAATTCAAATAATTTAACGTACATTCGTAGTGTGCAACATTATACAAGTTGAGTTACCTAACTCAACCACCATAAATTAATCGTAATCCGATAATTAAAATACAAATAGTTTAAGGTGATCGAGTCCGATAACTTACCTTGTACATGTATTATATGCATATTCCTTGTTAAATGTTGCACCGATTTACTAATATTATGTACATGATTGTATATTTTTATATCGATGTTTTTTCTTATAAAATACGAAAAATAACGATAGCAACATTAGTGTACATTACAATAGGCTTTAATATCGTTGGCCTATTCTACGAATACCTTCAAATATGTATATTGATACATAATTTTTCCTGTACCGTCAAAAGGTGGGAGGTTGTAATAACTATTTTTTTGTTACGAAAGATTAATCTATCGTACATGTAACGTATTTTTGATACTTATCGATTTTTTAAGATTTCATATCATTTGTATCATCAGCAGATGGTAAACACATAGATTACAAAATTAAACTACAAATATACGTGCATGTAAATACACGTATACATGAAAGAAATGATAATTTTTCAAATAATTTTCTATTTTAATAATATAATTATCGTTTGTTATGTGTAGATCACATCGAATAAGAATTGCAGAGTGATATATTGGATTGCTGGACAATAAGAACGTGTAATAAAGTTTATGAATATTAAATAACTGAACTAGATACCACATTAATAATAAGTTGTTTTATTTTAAAACCATCAACACGGTTTTTTACTAACAGATCTTGTTATTAATTACTTGGGATAAATATTTTGGTGCACAAGATAATAGTAACATGTCTCATTATAAACGCTACTATTCTATTATACTCCAATAATTATACTATAGAATTACAGGTATTATGGGTATTACTGTATTTTTATTCTTTTACTGTATTATTTTATCGTTTTATTATACTATAAAAATTAGTATCGAGTGATGCTCATAAAATATCGTGTGCGTCGTTTAAGTTTGGCGCCCGTTGAACTTCTAGCCGCCATATTAGTTAACCGTTGATCGGGTCGGAAAAGCTCAGCCGGGTCTGGGAATTGGGAACCTGGTAGAAGTCCGGGGTCTCGGTTATTCAGTTGCTAGTCGTTGACGGTAGGGGCACGAATGGGCGAGGGATTGTAAGTGGTGGAGCGTGCATGAAAGAGATAAGAATAAAGCAAGGTATATCGGGGAAAAAAAAAGGAAGAAATCTTTTGTATGCATGTGTGTCAGAGTGGTAAAAAAGTAGTGGTAGTGAAAAAAACGACGTAAACCGTAACTGGATATTTTGGTGAAACCAATTGGCAGTGTTTGTACGTGTATGCGAGGATCTCATAAATCGCACAAGTAATTATCCTTTCTCTCCGATTTATCTTTATCTCCCTTTCTCTCTCGTCGCTACCTATCTCCACCTATCTTTTGATCGGGTCGTTTTTTATTCTCATCTTTCTCTCCCGTTGTACTTCCTTGAGTCGTTCCTCGTGGCGTGCGCGTTCCCGAAAGTATCGTGGCTAAACCTTCGACGACACTGCGGTCGGGCAACGCGGACGAGTGCGTCTCGGACAGCTAGGACGCCGGGAGCACAGGTGCAGGCGCGGGTGCATGTATATAGTTGTGGGCGACGCGGAGACGTGAGCTGGAACAAAGTACGTGTGCGAAGTTGGCGACACGGTTTCGACAGTGTCGGTAGTTACTGTAACAGAATGGACGGTAGCACGGGTCCTCCGTCGGATGTGACGGCAATGGGAAGTGAAAACGATGAAGGATCGAAGGCACAACGAGACATCGACGATACTGTCACTTCTGTCTCGTCCAAATCGGTCACGTCCACGTATTCTATGACGCAGTCCGATCAGCCAACGGAATATCACGGTCAAGATTCGATAAGACCCGGTTCAACTTCTCCGCACCCTACAACCTCACCGTCTTCGCCTTTGTCGTCATCGTCGTCGACGTCGGCGTCGTCGTCGTCGTCTTCGTCCTCGTCCTCGTCCTCGTCCTCGTCGTCGTCGTCGTCGTCGTCGTCCTCGTCGGCGTCAGCGTCAGCGTCGGCGTCGTCGTCATCGTCGTCGTCGTCGCCGTCACCGTCGTCGTCATCGTCGTCATCGCCGCCGCCATCGCCGTTATCCTCTTCGTTGTCACTGTTGCCGCCACTGCAACCGGGGTGTGGCTGCCTTGCTGCCACTGTCCTCGGATCCGATGAAGTTACCATTAGCATCACGCCGACCACCGGTGGACAATTTGACCTTACCGTCGATCGTACCGACACCATAGAGAATCTCAAGAAACTCATCTCGAAGAGGTTGAAAGTCTCCAAAGAACGCATTTGTTTATTACATCGTGAAAGGTTGGTATTCGAAATGGTATTTGAATATGTATTGTACGTGCTTATCGTTGCTCGATTATTTCGAAGTCCTGACTTCTTTCGATTAAAAGACGATCATAAACGAAAAAAGAGGATCGTTCGCCCCCTTGAGCCGAACAAGCACGATGAAAAAAATATTCATCGAGTTCGCAGGCGTTCGGTCCTGCAGCGAATGCAAGATCGACTTGACAGTAAATACATAGATGTTTTTTTAGCCAGGCCTTTTTAAATCGTTTAAATAAAATTTTTGCGAATGCAGGAAAAGTAGAGTGAGCGAATCTTGAAATGTTAGGAATTTACAAATTCCATCTTTTACAAACGTTGAAAAGCTCACGTTTTTAAATTCGTGTTCTTTTTTGTGTGTAAATTCCCGAATTTCTAAAATGCTAAATTAAAAAATGTTCGAAAGTTCAGATTTAAAATTTCCATATTTTCTGCATTAGTCGATGGAAGTATCATATTTCTAATGCGCGTGGTGATCACGTTCACAATTTTTTTCTCCAAATAATAACAGGAATGTTGAAATTTTTTATCGTGGCGCCCTCACGAAGTAGCGCACCGGGCTATCGTCTGCCGGCGTTGAACGAATGGCGTTTACTCTGTCGGTTTCCTGTCCACAGCACCCGAATATTGCGAACGAACAGACGTTTTGCTCGTGCTCGTTCACGCTCGTTCGATTAGGTGAAGTCGGTCCTTATATACGCTCCTTGATAGTCGATAAATCGATAATGCGTCATAGGTCGATCCTTTTGTTAGCTTGTCGAAACATCGCCGTTATCCTCTTCGTTGTCACTGTTGCCGCCACTGCAACCGGGGTGTGGCTGCCTTGCTGCCACTGTCCTCGGATCCGATGAAGTTACCATTAGCATCACGCCGACCACCGGTGGACAATTTGACCTTACCGTCGATCGTACCGACACCATAGAGAATCTCAAGAAACTCATCTCGAAGAGGTTGAAAGTCTCCAAAGAACGCATTTGTTTATTACATCGTGAAAGGTTGGTATTCGAAATGGTATTTGAATATGTATTGTACGTGCTTATCGTTGCTCGATTATTTCGAAGTCCTGACTTCTTTCGATTAAAAGACGATCATAAACGAAAAAAGAGGATCGTTCGCCCCCTTGAGCCGAACAAGCACGATGAAAAAAATATTCATCGAGTTCGCAGGCGTTCGGTCCTGCAGCGAATGCAAGATCGACTTGACAGTAAATACATAGATGTTTTTTTAGCCAGGCCTTTTTAAATCGTTTAAATAAAATTTTTGCGAATGCAGGAAAAGTAGAGTGAGCGAATCTTGAAATGTTAGGAATTTACAAATTCCATCTTTTACAAACGTTGAAAAGCTCACGTTTTTAAATTCGTGTTCTTTTTTGTGTGTAAATTCCCGAATTTCTAAAATGCTAAATTAAAAAATGTTCGAAAGTTCAGATTTAAAATTTCCATATTTTCTGCATTAGTCGATGGAAGTATCATATTTCTAATGCGCGTGGTGATCACGTTCACAATTTTTTTCTCCAAATAATAACAGGAATGTTGAAATTTTTTATCGTGGCGCCCTCACGAAGTAGCGCACCGGGCTATCGTCTGCCGGCGTTGAACGAATGGCGTTTACTCTGTCGGTTTCCTGTCCACAGCACCCGAATATTGCGAACGAACAGACGTTTTGCTCGTGCTCGTTCACGCTCGTTCGATTAGGTGAAGTCGGTCCTTATATACGCTCCTTGATAGTCGATAAATCGATAATGCGTCATAGGTCGATCCTTTTGTTAGCTTGTCGAAATAGTCGCGGAGTCGATCAGGTGTAGACCTCGGTTTGTGCTTTCTTCGTATAAAAACAGAAGAAAGAAAGAGAAGACGAACTGGTAGACGAACGCGAGCACGAGCATTATTGTGTCGCCGTGCACAGCGTATGTAGTTCGAGAGGTGTAACAGTAAGAAGAAAAACAGTACCGACGCGATGAAAGAAAAAGAGAGAGTGGGCATAATATTTGTAGGCGTCGTGGGGGCCACCGCACGGACTGATCCTCCTCTTTCCTGCGAGCACGCGAGAGAAACATGGTGGAGAGAGGAAGGTTGGCATACCATAGACTTCGGAGTAGGAGGTGGTGGAGGTGGTGTAGTAGGTAGAATATCTCGGGAATCGCGTTCTCGTAAAGTGGAACGGTGACAGCCCTCTGCAGTGAGCGCCAGAAGAAGAAAGAGAAACAGTTGGACATAAAAGACGACGGGGGCTGGCTATTCCCGTACGACGACGTACGTAACGCGTCGCAAAATTCTTTTTCTCTTTCTCTTTATCTTTTCTGGTTGCTTCATCGCAGCCTCTCTTGTCTTTGGCAATAATCGGACAACGATAAAACAACTTTATGATCCGTAATCGTGAAACTGTTATGCTCTTATCCGGTCGAAGAGAATGCAAAAAAATGTTCGATGATCTTGCGAATCGTAATGCAAAGCTATTTAAAACTTTCGAGAAGATTTTTAAATGTCCTTAGTTCAGTTTTCGATTAATCTGTAAGATTAAGTATTGTCGAATTCGAGGAGATGCGGTTGCAAATAGGAATAAATACATAAGTACCTATTTCTATGCGTTCGCTTGTGCTTGCCCGGCCAGTTTCAGACGGAGGTAACAAACGCCAGTTCCGCTCCACGCATTTATTATTATGTACATGTGTGTTCGGTTTAGCATGGCAGTATAAAGAACACGTGCACACGAGGAATCGTTCGTGTGCACCCTGTTTATCTTTCTCCGTTTCACTCCATGGCTGCTTAGGCATATACGCGTATCGCGTTAAACGCACAATTATAGACCGACGCAACAATTTTAATTAGTAATGTTATTTGTCAGAAAGCGATCTTGTAAGAATTTTCAAAATCAGCTTCGATTCATGTAAAATTCGTTGACTTATTAAGCGCGTATCACCTATAAGCGTAAGTCCTATATACCAATTAGAGTCATCCTTCGACACACAAAGACCGAAGTTTTTCGTGCAAATATCTACTACCGTTGCACGAAACCCTATCGTTGTGCTCGGTTTCTTGCGGAAGATAAATAATGTTACTAGTTTATATTGAAATGTTTTTTGTCAGACGATTTGTAGAGTAAATCGAGGGAGATTTAATTGTGAAATAGAGGTATTTGAAAATCGAGCAATCAAAAAGAGACATTATCGACGATATCTCGTTTTACGTCAGCATTTTTCGTAAGGAAATCGGCAGTGCGAGCGTTGGTAATTAGCGAAATAATTTGTTGCGAAGGAAATGCGTATTCCTTTCACGCGAATAAGGTAGCCGATTAATGTCAGAGAAACAATAATTAAGAAAAACTCTACAGCATGATCTACCTTTTGCGACTGATTCTTCTGTGATTTATCTGGTTTCTGCAACGAAAGCGTCCGTTTATCCGCTTTCAAACAAACAGTTCATGTTTTCGTTGACTTATCCAAATGCGATAAGGGAAGTTAAAAGACGAATACGAATCTGCGCGTTTAACCTATCAATTGTATAGCTATTGTTTGAGAAATTATATACGCGTTTCAGTAGTTTTTCGTGTAATATCTGAATTAATTGCGTTAGCTGCATGGGCAAAGATGAAGGTCGTGGACCTTTATGCTCGATCGTCCCAGGATCTTGACGAAACCGTTAAGTTCGTTCGAGTCGATGCGAGTGGCGCCAGGGTCACAACTGAAATTTTCTTAGTTACGCCACCCTCGCACTTCCGTTGCTAATCTTCAGGATTCGTGATCGGTAGAAGCGGTCCTTAGATTATGTTTGTTTGTTCAAACTTCTTTAGCGCGGATAAAGATTTCTCTGATAGAATTCGATTAAATGAAAAATGAAATGTCTCGTAGGGAAAGTTAAACGTTCTAAATCGATATCAATGTTGGACGAGATATCGTATTGCCTTATCGCTCGAATGTTGTATCCTTATGTTCGTTTCTTCTCTTGCTTTCCACGTGATCGTGATGACTAACGTGAGTGTCATTGAGATTTTCCAAGTGTCAAGTCTGTGTACGTTGTAATTTACGTAAGAACGTTTGAAATTCTAAGAATACTGTCCCGATTGATAGTACGCTCCTAGATAGAACAGTTAAAAATAGACCCTAGTCGAGAGTTGTTTTTCTTTTTTTTTTTTTTTTCCTAATAAATAACGATTATCGGTGAGCTCGTAAAGAAAGAAATACTTTGACGCGAATACATTTTCTCCGATAACGCGAATTCGCGCGGTACAAATTGTCGCGTGAAATCGATCTAATTGGTAAAGATTTTCGATGTAATTTTCAAATTGGTGTTTTAGGCAGTTACGCGAAGGAACGCTGGAGGAAAATCGTTTACAAGATGGCAGTCGACTTACGTTACTACCGAGTGTTGAAACCGGCCTTTTGGTAAGTTATATTTATCTAGTATCGGTAATCTAGCATATTGGCACATTATTAGCAGCATCTGTTTTCTTAAGAAGAAAACCTTATTATTGGTCCCACCTTGAAAAATAATGTAATTTACACAGGAACTTTCGAAGCTGCTTTTAGAAGATGTTTCTTCGAAATATTTTACCGCTACTTTCATATCCAGGCTGGTAACAATCGAATAATAGCGATATCGAAAGCGCTCGTATTTAATTGTACGTATTTGGCATATTCGTTGGATCGCATCCACAAGTACAACCCTGATTCTAGATGGTTCGTCTCGAAAGCTGTTCTCTGCTTCTCGGCCGATGGAAGATGCGTGAAACAGGAGTTGCGTTGTAAAAGGGGCAGAGAACGTGCACAAAGTCGGGATCCGGACAAACGCCGTTAGCTCCGCTGTTCGTGTATCATCGGGTCACTTAGTTTCTCGGTCATCGTATTAGTCAACACTTTATTTTCCGATACTATTGTGCTACATCATTTCTATCGATCTTGTGTGCCACGCAACGAATCCTTTAATGTTTCTAACCATTTCATATCTCTACTAACCGTTTCGCGTTACGATTCGCAACATAATCTCGAAAAGATATCCCTAAATCGCTAACTTCCTTTTCTTCATTTTGTTGCAGTACCATTCCTGTGCACCACCTAATCCCTTCTACAAACGGAGATGTTTTTTGCGTTAAGGACAGTCGTTAAAAAAAGAGTATCGTATAAGAGTATAATTTGTTTGATGGCTTTGTCGCGTTGCTTTGGTATTTATCAGGAGCTTTGGTGGATCGCCAATGGAAGGAAAAATTGTCCAAAGGATAATCGTGCTTTAACGGTAAACGAAAAGTGGAAGAATCAAGTGTCTCTGCGTAGTTACGCGATTTGAATCGATAAAAACGAAGGTTCTCGTCCGTGCACCACACCGGTGCACACGCATACGAAGGATGTACGCCGTACGGAGTCTCTCGTTCAAATAGGGTATACAGAGAGTAGAGAGTATAGAGTATAGAGTCTAGCCCCATATCCGAGAGGTTCTGGCAACAGCGCACCGCGGGTCCTTATCGCGACCGAGACTCGTTCGCATGGCTGTCAAGGGGACCGCCCGCTCGAGTCTCGGTCAGCCGCAGTCAATTTTAAAGTGTGCTCGTGTGTCGTGTGTCTCGTGTAGGTATACGTGGCGAACTCCGTCCACGATCACTGCCGTATACTGGCTATATACGCCCCATTCTTTCGTGGGTGGTTACGAAGAAACGGGGCGAGACCTACGCCGGTTTTGCATGACATAGTTGGCTAGCCTGATCGAATTTTCTCTACCGAAGTATGCGCCTTCCAATCGACGCCTCTTTTTTATTCTGATCGTCCTTTCTTCTCGGAACTTTCTTCTCGAAAAACAAAAATTAACTAACCGAACGTAAACTGCACTTTTCCTATATACACCTCTCTTTTATATGATCGAATTCTTCTGACAAACTTCTACTCCTGTAGTCTCGTCAACGATCATATTACGACAATACGAAAGGAAATTTCGTTATAGAGATAAGGATCTTTCGCTTTCATTCGTACACGCGTGCGTACTACTCTCCATTAATCGTGAAAACCTTTTCGGATATGGGATTTCTTGATCGTGAATATCAGTTGATGTAGCAATTTATATCGAGACAGTTGATAGGTTTAAAGTTTGATAGACAACCGGGATTAACTCTAAACTGACTCTTGAAGTTCTATCGATCGCTTATGGAAATTCTGTAGCGGTACTCGGTGCTTTCACATTATCACCGGAAGTGGTACGCGTCCAAAAACGGTATTAAGCGATAATTGGATAGCACGACACGGTGCTTTGATATATTGTTTCTGCAGCTGGCACAATTAATTGTTGCAGACGTTGCTAAGCGAGCCGACTAATCTGTGCATCGAATGCTATCGCGCGCGGACGCGAACGCGGACCAAATTATGGATAGTTTTAAATAACGAAAACTATATGAGAATGTAATGACGTGACGAAACAGCGAATATCTTGCACACCGATTCCTCCTACAAAAAATATACATATATTAAAGCTTATGCATCATAAATGATACTCGCACATTTTTATATCGTTCATCTTTATTTAATCCGTCTCCCTTCAACGCTTCTATCCGTGACCTTTTTTATATCGCAGATAGTTGTACTTGCACGTGTACGAGGGTGGCCCCGACTGGTTCGATCCTAGAAACTCTTACTCGTTGGCATTAACATAATTCATCGTTTATGCGTTGTTTAGCATCTTCGCCCGCTCGAGTCTCGGTCAGCCGCAGTCAATTTTAAAGTGTGCTCGTGTGTCGTGTGTCTCGTGTAGGTATACGTGGCGAACTCCGTCCACGATCACTGCCGTATACTGGCTATATACGCCCCATTCTTTCGTGGGTGGTTACGAAGAAACGGGGCGAGACCTACGCCGGTTTTGCATGACATAGTTGGCTAGCCTGATCGAATTTTCTCTACCGAAGTATGCGCCTTCCAATCGACGCCTCTTTTTTATTCTGATCGTCCTTTCTTCTCGGAACTTTCTTCTCGAAAAACAAAAATTAACTAACCGAACGTAAACTGCACTTTTCCTATATACACCTCTCTTTTATATGATCGAATTCTTCTGACAAACTTCTACTCCTGTAGTCTCGTCAACGATCATATTACGACAATACGAAAGGAAATTTCGTTATAGAGATAAGGATCTTTCGCTTTCATTCGTACACGCGTGCGTACTACTCTCCATTAATCGTGAAAACCTTTTCGGATATGGGATTTCTTGATCGTGAATATCAGTTGATGTAGCAATTTATATCGAGACAGTTGATAGGTTTAAAGTTTGATAGACAACCGGGATTAACTCTAAACTGACTCTTGAAGTTCTATCGATCGCTTATGGAAATTCTGTAGCGGTACTCGGTGCTTTCACATTATCACCGGAAGTGGTACGCGTCCAAAAACGGTATTAAGCGATAATTGGATAGCACGACACGGTGCTTTGATATATTGTTTCTGCAGCTGGCACAATTAATTGTTGCAGACGTTGCTAAGCGAGCCGACTAATCTGTGCATCGAATGCTATCGCGCGCGGACGCGAACGCGGACCAAATTATGGATAGTTTTAAATAACGAAAACTATATGAGAATGTAATGACGTGACGAAACAGCGAATATCTTGCACACCGATTCCTCCTACAAAAAATATACATATATTAAAGCTTATGCATCATAAATGATACTCGCACATTTTTATATCGTTCATCTTTATTTAATCCGTCTCCCTTCAACGCTTCTATCCGTGACCTTTTTTATATCGCAGATAGTTGTACTTGCACGTGTACGAGGGTGGCCCCGACTGGTTCGATCCTAGAAACTCTTACTCGTTGGCATTAACATAATTCATCGTTTATGCGTTGTTTAGCATCTTCTCTAATATTTCCAGTCGACACGTGGTGCGTACATCCACAAGAAGTGCCCTGTAGAATTTTCTATCGGAGCGAATTTCAGGTTTGTTCGTTCTTGATCAAAGGATCAATTTATTTTGCATCCTGTACGAGATGCCATAGATTTCGAACGAGTAAGAGATCGTGTACTTAGAATTCTTGGTGATAGCAGTTTACACTTGGAGCGTGGTACCGTTCACTCCTTCGACAGTGACCACGAAACTTCTGTTCTGTATTAAGCACGATCAACAAGTGGTTTTTTCCACTTGAAAATGAAACATTTTGAAAAATAATGTCTAATATAGACCAATATAGGATAATATACATAGATCTGGTTCACCTGTTACTACGTATCGACTAAAGTAATGTAAAAGTAAAAGTTTATAGGGACATTACCCCCACTTATGAACAAGTAAAGAAGCATTGTACGGCTATGACGACAAGTTAGGTCCATTCATCGAAGCCCCCATTTCCTGCAAAATGAACGTACGCAAATCGAATTACCGAATATATGATGACCGTCAGTGAAAGGAAGTCTGTTAGGTGTACCGAGGGATGCCTAGCTGTGCCGTCAAGGGTCTGAGCCGCGGTTCCGCGAGGTTTCCTCTCTTCTGCAGGTCTTCTCGCGTTTCCATCTTTCGTTGTAGACTCATCGATTCAACCTGATCTTGACTCGTTGGATGAATAGGCTATCGAGAAGAAAGCGTTCTACTAATATTCGGAACACCTAAAGACGGCAGGGAATATTTATTTAGGATTTATCTAGGATTTTCCGATCAATTATAAACGATGCAACAATAAGCAGAAAGAGGGGCACGTTAATGTCCTTCGATAGTTTCGAATTCGATTCGGTTTTTTCCTAACTAAAGTTTCATAACTTTCCAAAGAATTTATTAACGTTTCCATCGGAAACTTTCTTCTAACAAGAATCGTAAAATTGACCGAGTTGTTGATGGTTAATCGAGCGTTCCTCGCTGTACGGCTTCATTTTAGATCTCGAAAGCACTGCCTCTTATCCTGTAAAAGTATTTAAACGGCATTTAGCGAAAAACACTGTATTCGATTCTATCATAATTGCATACTTTCGATCACAGGATCAATCGGCTAAACATTCTAACGCGTTTTTAATTTCTAATTAAAACGAAAACATTAATTGGACGAAGAAAAGTCAATTACGATTTACTCCTAATTATCACGAATATTTTCAGGCACAACGACCGGAACAGAGTGTGATGCAAGCACTGGAGAGCCTAAACGATTCTCAGGTGAACGATTTTTTATCCGGCAAGGCTCCATTAAACCTCACTATGCGCCTTGGAGATCACATGATGCTGATACAATTACAACTATCTACGGTACCTTCGCCGACCACTAATCAAGCGACCAACAATACGACTGGATTGACCATCGGTGGAAATAGCTCGAATGGATCTAATTTGCCTACCAACCACGTTTCAACCTCTCTTCAGAGCAGACGATCTACCGTTCTGGCTGCTCGATCGACGAGTACCTCCTCGACGAAATTACAGAATGGCAGTGCAGCTGCACGAACCTCGTCTTTGATAAGCAGCTTGGCATCGGCGTTGCACGCAGCCTCTAGTTGCAGTACTAGTTTGTCGACGGCCACTACGACGACCAGTCCTGTTTGTTCCAGTCGTGCAACTACCGCCCCCTCTGTGTCCCCCACGCCATCTTATTCCTCGATCAGTCCGCCGTATTCATCTTTCTGCGCTAATCAGTCGTCACAATCCACGCGTACCAGCTGCAACCATGGTTCTGTCTCGCCCAACAGCAATTCCAGCGCGTGTCAGTCTTGCCTTCTGTATCACCACCATCATCACCATCATCATAGTCACCATTATCATCATCACCATCACCATCATCATCATCATTCGAGAAACAAATCTACCGCCTCATCCAACACCTCCCAGTCAACCTCTTCCATCGACCATTTGCAACAATCTACCTCTATCGGCGATGGCTGCATGGACTCGATACCCTATAACATCACCCCGCCAAGGAAAAAGCTCAACACGGGTCATCACCATAGCCAACAGTCGATGAGCGGTACGAACTCTTTAAGGAGTACTGCCGTGGACGGAGATCCTAGTATACAGAGCCCTACCTCCTCCTTGGTGGAGCAAAACTCGAAAGCTGCGACCCTCGACACCAGGGCACTGGTCGAAGCTTCCCGTAATTTGACGCAGAAACTGAAGCAGCTCTCCTCTGAGGTACTCACCTCGCGGGTCGACCTCGCAGAGGTACATTATTACCGATGCCAGTTCCCCCCTGTCTACCACTGTTTCATATATATGTATATATTTTTTTAAACAACGCGTATATTAAGGATCTACGAGAATTTCGAACGAATGCTAATATTAATATTAATTTTGTTGTCAGTCTTAATTGGACTTACCTTAGGCCTTTGCACAGCCTTTAACGAACAGTACAAGATTATTATGGACGCTCTTAGATCCTTCAATAATATTTTCTTTTATTCGATTCAATTTAATAATATAATACTTGTTGGTAATCTTAAACGCCGTTTAAGCTCCGCGCGCCGAATATCGTTTAACAAGTGTGTTTAATTTTATATCGGTCGATACGTTATTTGACCAAAGAAAAATTAATTCTATTCAATTTTTGAATTTAGGAAAATGCAAGACGTAGACAAGGTGCAATAATAGAGAGTATGCATCACCATGGAAAAGGTGTGTACTCCGGTACATTTAGCGGAACTCTGAATCCGGCTCTTCAGGATAGACATGGACGTCCAAAGCGAGACATAAGTACTATTATTCACATTCTGAACGATTTGCTGTGTGCCACGCCGGCAGCTACGACAGGTCATTACAGGCATCATCATAGGCATTCTAGCGGTCGTCAACAATCTCTAACGTCTGCATCCTCCGGTGGAACGACGACCGTAAATGGTACATCAACGTCCATTGGTTGTCACGATTCCCCTACACCTGGATATTCTACCGGTACCGAATCTTCTTAGTACTGTATTTAATTAATATTCAGCATAATCAAATGTTCCTAGTAAATTTATAAAATTAAAGTTGATTTCAAGGATTTCCTTCGTGCCCAAAACTCATATTCTACGTAATAGCTAACCTAATATTTCATTTCTGCTCGTTTCCTTCTCAAATTATTATTATTATTCTATGTTATTATTATTTTATGCTATAGAAGAACTCTCGAAAGAAAACGAAGCAACTAAAGGAAAGATGAGACGGCTGCGTTTAGTGATGGAACAACGACGCGCCAAGAGAAGAGCCAGAAGACAAGCAAGAGCAGCACCCTATACCACGCAATGGGCCGCGGTTACGCCAGATCCTGATCCAAATCATGATCCAAATACGTCTACTACCGCTACCACGAATTCGACGGAACCACAAAATGAACCAGAACTACAGCCATGTAGTCCCGAACCGGTTGTAGCTTAAACGCGGTATTCGTTAATCGATAATCCTAAGTAGTATCGCCTTGTATGATACATGCAACCAGTTTTTAACTAGCGCACTGATTTATTCAAAGATAACGGTAAACATGATCGCTTTTACGCGTATATACCTTTTCACTATGAAATTTTCTTTTATACAAATCTCGTTTTCACACTTTGTTATACCCGACGCGTATACGCGAGTGAAACGTGTTGCGTTTTCAAATTACATTGATACATATGAATCGTACAATCGGAAATATCGACTGGTATTTATCGCGCGATGTATGTTTCATTGACAGAGAGACTATTAAAAAAACAACATAATGCTACGATTGTGCGCCACAACATTCTATACGCATAATTTACAGTATTGTCATATGATGTGTAACTCCAATCCAAATGTAATTTTGAATTGGACATCGCGTAGTTCGACGAACGGCACTTGATCGAAAGCAAGGGATAACAAACATTTTAGCAATATCATAACGCGCGCGCGCGTCATCCGTAGTCACAGTAATAGAAATTAATAAATAGGAAGGAAAGTTTCATGGGAAATGTGCGCGGCACGCTGGAAATTCGCATGCTATTTAATAGAGGAAATCGTAACATGAAACTATTTAAATTACATTGACAGTGTTTGGCTATTACTCAGGACTTGATCATAGCTGACAATAATTCGACGAATGAATCAGTGTGACCAGTATGTACGCCTATATAATAGATCGATTACGTACAAGGGAGACGCGATGAACAAACAGAAGAAGCCCATGAAAAGAACAATGGTACGTTAAATAAAGACGTCGATAGACTTATTTCGGACTAGAACAAATGAAATCGTCATTTTTATCGTTGGATATCAAGTTTGTCGGTATTGGCGCATACTCAAATGAATAGCAAACACGAGTAGAATTTTAAACACTCACGAGTCGCAAATTACGGGAAAGACTGTTATAAAAGCAATGTTATGCTGTTTATGCGCGATAACCATAACAAGACATTGCAGACCTGTTACGAGAAAATGAAAAAATTCGTTTTCCGAGTAAGAGCTATATTTCTTTGCCGTCGACTGATCAATCTATATCACATTAATTGAATGTACAACGGTTCAAACTCGCGGTATATCAACGCTCTAGCGTACCGTAACCTAGACATATTTTTTTCTATAATGCTTTAGTTTATCGATGAAAAAGGAATACATCTTAATAGATTAACATCGATTCCTTGTACTTCCTCTAGTAATGTAGTTCAGTATTGTGATATCGATCTATCAGTCGCGTATTAATAGTTTCATATCAGTTTTGGTATACGTGTACAAATTGAAATTGATTGGGATTTACGAAATCGTAAGCTTGGTTGCTCTAAGGATCACCATGCGTTGTCACAATGACAAGAAACCAGAACTCGAAGCACGTGGATAAATGGTCCTATAGTTAGAACTATTAGATAATCCTATCGCATGGCTTCTATGCCAAAATTCATTTAAGTTTATTAGGTACTAAATAATATAATATTGTCTAATAGTATATTGCGCTAGGTTACTTAGGAGAAAAATTATTATTATTATTATTATTATTATTATTATTATTATTATTATTATTATTATTATTATTATTATTATTATTATTATTATTATTAATTACGATTATTATAATATTATCATTACTACGGCTACAGTTTTGCAAACTGGCTCAATACTGTAACATATGATTATCGAATTTTCTCGAGTACCAAAATAAATAAGATTGCTTGCTAAGCTAAGGAAAACAGAAGTCCATCTTTAGTATTGTTTAAACGTGGCATTGTCTGTTGAGTATTTGTTATTATTGTTATTACTGTTTATCACCTGTAAAATTCGCAGATATTGTTTCGTTCTACTTTATCGATCATTATTTTAGTATAAAAGTGACGAATTTCAAATGTTTTGTTTTAGATTATAAGAATATATGATTTAAGGAATTTAAAAAAAAGTACGAAATTTGATTAAAAAATTATTAATTTAGAAATTGTTTATTTAAATTATGTCTTGAATCACGTAAAGTTGTAGAAATTTATCGAAGCCTGAAAGTTATGGTTTTATGGTTTCTGTTATTAACAAATTGTTGTAGGTACACACTACACTGACTCCGTGACAATACAAACATTATTATGAAGAAAACGAATATCGTTATTTTCATTACGACAAATTATTACAGATGCTCCGCTCTTCAACAGACATATAATTCACTTGAATCGAATGAAAAATTTTCTTTTTCAAATGCAACGATTAAAAACTGAAATTGTCCAATTTTCTTTATTATTTTATATACATCAAATTTTGCATTTTAATCGCCATAATTTTTTGTATTACGAAATTCGTGGCACATATTCCCCAGTGAAAAAGTATTCTTATTAGATTATCGTTTATCCTTTTTATTTATTGTTTAATCATAAAAAGATTTTTATAAATTACTTGGTAAATATCGTTTCTATATTACTTTTGGCTAGAGGCGACATTTTCGATATCTTTACTAAATATGCATTAAATTCTTATATCGTTGCTAACGTCACATCAATGTTACATACAAAACAATAAAAATGGTCGCGTATTCTACAATTAACAAGAATATACAATATATATCGTGAAAACATATTTATGTATGTATGAAAACTTTGAAGTTTTCTCATTTACATGTGTCTGCAGTGTTTGGCACGTAACTTTATCGATCAGTTCAATAAAGAAAAAATTAACAAAATACAATTCCAAAATATTCGTTTAAAGCACAGATTCTGTTCACGTATTAATATTTTGAAGCGCTCAATAAAGTTACGTATCAATATTCACGGTATAAGGAAAAATAGATTCTTACAAGAGGTTTGTATTCTCAAACAATGATAAAAAATGGACGGGATACAACAGGCGAAATGTCATTTACGACAGAAAAGAACGTATGGTTGATACGCGTTTCTATTACGCGGAACGTGCGGTTTAAAACAATATACATTTTACAAAATCGTAAAAGCCAATAAAAAAAAGAAATAAAAAAAAAAAAAGAAAAACAATATTATTTACGTATACACAACAATCGCCCTTGTGATTTGTTTACGGATTTAATTTTTGGTATGGCACGACATTAGTGCAATGCGAAGACTTCTTCATCGGATGTTTTCTATTAAAAATGTTTTATATATTTTGGCAGTTTAAATTTAGTTGTTTAAATTTACATTATAATATCTATATTGTGTGATCGGCAATGACTTTACTACTTCTAATCTTTGAAATGCACGTGTATTACAAAAACAAAGGAAAAAAAAAAGAAAAACGCGCTTGTGCATATGATGCATACAAGCACATTTCCATCATTGATTGTCTAGTACAAGTTAATTTTTTTCGTAATAACTTTACGACACATATGACAAGTTTTTAATGGAGCTGCACAATGTTCACAAGCTCCATGTCCACACAAGAAGGCGACGTTACGACGACGTTCCATACAAATGCTACACATGTTGGCCTCTTCCAAATCAGCTACTCTAGTTTCTAGGTAACGTAGTCGTTCCAAGTCCTTATCCTTCTCTCTATCTTTGTCTTCATTATTTTCTTTCTTCTTATCATCTAATGCGTTATCTTTCATTTTGCTGTCTGATTTGGTTAAAGAAATCTCACCCGTTGCTAGTTGGCCGTCTAAGCATAACAAAAGTAAAAAGAAAAATTATTGCACGAATGTAGAAAATGATCCGACTCGGAAAGCACATTATACCGATTATATACCTTGAATTGTGTCTGGTTTAGTATTTCCATGTCCACAGTGTGCGCAATTATATATTGGAACGCTACTACTAGGGTTGTATCTATTCCCATCTTTTACAGAGTTTGTTAGTAAGCCTAAACAATTGTGACATTCGGAAGCATCACCGGAACCAGGTATTCCTTTTCTTGATCCACGCATCGCTTCTGACTGTGACGTTGTATCTATCTGATACAACGGAGGTTGCGAAGCAGGAGCATTTTCTATTCTACAAGTGCACGCATACACGAGAACGTTTGTAAATTATTTTCATTGACACAACAACGTCGACTGAATACTTACTCTAACTGAGTACTATGACTTTGGTATTGATAACACCGAAGGATATCTGCATACGGTGCAATTCGCGGATCAGCTTCGAGAAGATCCAGGGGCGTCTTATTCTTCGAATTTTTTACATGCTCAAGGAGAGTACAACTCCTGTCTACGCTTACCAGAAAACAAGCCAACGCTAATTCTGTCTTTACGTTTTGCCTCGCTAGGGTTTGCCATATCTACGATGAACATATCATTAAATCAATAGCACTTTAAGCAACCACGATTCAACTCTGAAGATCATTACCGCATAAATAAGAGGCGAATCTCGGCAACTTTCAGGAGTAGGAACAAGATTCGTTTGATTTGGACTCTTCACTATAGCAATATGTAATACAGTGTCACCGTCTGCATCTGTGCTAGCAATGTCTGCATTGTGATGCACAAGTAGCTCTACCAGGGCCCAATGACCCTGCGAAGTAGCCAAGTGCAACGGTGTTTGTCGACGATTGTTTCGTAGGTCCATTTTCGCGTGACCACCATTAGGAGAAAGAAGTATAGCTGCTACGTCTTTATGACCATTTAAGGCTGCAAGATGTAACGCTGCAAAGCCATCCTCTTTCTTCACGTCTACTAAATGTCTTGCTCGTGCCACCAATCTCTCTGTCGCATGAGCATTGCCCTTTAAGGCAGCATGATGAAGCACGTTGAAACCCCGTTTGTTTCGCAAAGTAAAATCCACTCTTTCGCACGAACAAAGTGCGTCGATTATATCCAGGGCATCTTTTCCAATAGCGTCATGTAATGCTGTGTCTCCGTAAGCATCTTGTAAGTTCACGTCGCAGTGATGACGCAGTAAAACTTTTACGCACTGACTATGTTGCTTGTTCACTGCGACATGCAACGCACTGCATTTGCCATTATTTACAGCGTTGATAGCTGCGCCTCGCGATAAAAGTAGTTCCATTATTTCTGGTTGATTGCTATAGAAAAAAAAAAAAAAAAAGATACTTTCATGGCCAGAACTTCAATTATTCGTTTGATTTCTTAAATTGTAATCAGTTTTTATAACGAACCCGAACGCAGCATAATGAAGAGGCGTATCCCCGTCTTCGTCTACCGCACGAAGAGACGCTCCAGCGTCCAAAAGAAGGGTGCAGAGATCGCGCTGCCCCTGATGTGCTGCTACTTGCAAACAAGTTTTTTCGCCACCACTAGCTCTTGCATCTACTCTACCGGGATATTTTTTAAGAAATTCTTGAACCGCAGAAACACCAGCTTCTCCTCTGGCTGCATCTCGTAATAATTTCTCCACTTCAATGTCTACGCCTTCAGCTGTATAAGAACCGTAATATAAATAAATAATATAAATAACGAGATAAAATTGAATCGATAAATTAGAAACGTACCTGACCGGTCTTTATTTCGATTTGATTCTTCTTGTTGAGAAGTAGTTTCTGTTCCAGGAGGGACAAGAGTTACGCTTAAAGGATTGAATGTCCACGTGTAACCGTCCAAAGCTACTCTCAAATCTCCATCAGAATATATTTTGATCACTTTCCCAGCTTTTCCTAAGGCCTACACATTTTTGTATTATGATACGTGACAATAATTAAGAGACCCAACAACTTACATTCTTCATTACATCTATCCATTCTCCGTGGCCTCGTTGATAAAGTTTCACCGCTAACAAATCAGTCTTCACCCTAACAATATCGCCTAAAGAAAACGTGTCTTTATTCGTAACTTTTACAAGTGCACCTGGATGAAACGTCCATCTATTGTTGCATCCTTCGAATTGTACACGCACGTCCCCCTTATCCGTAATGCGATGAACTCTACCGATCTAACCGTAATATTGGATATTAATATATACAGCATAGAATACACTATAAAATACTATATATATTATACCTTTCCTATATATTCGGCCATACGTGGATTCCAACCACCATGACCCTCTTGCATTTCTTTTAACGTGTTAACGTCGACTAATACTTTTAATTTATCCCCAACATTGAAAGTTGAGTAGCGTGGACTAGATACAGCGGAAAGTATACCACTTCGAATTGATGTTGCATTGGTTCCATTATCAGAGACAGACATTATTGGTTGTCCAAGTAATGGAAGGTGCTCCTTATAGTATGTACCAGCAGTAGCTTCTTCTACATAGCATAAATCTACGCAACCCTTGTATCCAAGACGATACACGTTCGTACTACCTTTAGACCACGTTACGGTCGCAACCGATCTACTACTTTCATTATCCCATCCACGTATATCCATGACTCTACCGGTTTTCCCTTCAATTTTGAATACATTTTATAATTTAACATTTTTATGTAGCAGAATACAACATGAAATACCTCTTCCTCCATCTTGATTTCCCCATTCCCAATCTGGACCACGAACAACCTTTGCTCCAATAAATATCCCTTTTAAAGGTATTTTGGTACAGCCTTCTCTTGGAGTAAGTTGAATCCTATGTACAATTCATTGAACATATAAGTACAGTAAATCATGTTATACATTATCGAATAGATGCAACACAGTTATGAAATCTACCCCACAGAAGTAGCTGTTAGAAATCTTTCAAAAGCATGACTCAAGTCATGTACATCACCCATGTAGCATTGAGTACACAAATCATAATCACAGCATTGTGTACATTTCCATCTAATACCGATTATCCAATGCCTTTTACACCCGTCGCATATAATATTTGGATGTTTAACACCTGTGGCTGCATTATCAAACACCAACAAGTCGTATGCTCCTTGATATCCGATTCTGTAATTACTTCTAGATCCATGATCCCATTGTACGATAACTGTTTTATCTGGTGTCCTATCAGATGGATTAGGATTAGAAACTGAGTTTCCAAACGACGGTGGTTTTCCAATTTCTACGACAGTTCCTGCATGACCCTCTCCACCATCTTGATCGTCCCACTTCCAATCTTGCCCACGAACTACTCTTAAGCCAACTTCTAACATTTCCGCATACACCTTGAAAACAAACACGTGAAAGATATGTTAATTTTTATATAGAACTCTTATGATGCTCGTGACTAGACTATCATGCCTAACTCTTTAACTTTGTAACTTGTTCCTGTCATTATAATTTATAACGTTACAGTTAATACTGTCATATTTCAGAAAAGTATCTAATGTTTATATGGCATATATCTTAAAGCTTTGGTGCTAGACATAACAGTATTAAATGTAACAGTATGATGCTCGATGTTAATTTTTATTTCATAAATATCTATTCCAAGAAACTTTATTACAAAATGATTTTTAATTGGTCAAATTTTCATTTGATATAGTAAAATTAGGTAAAATATGTAAACTGCATGAAATACTTGATCCGGATTTTAAAAATGCATGGAAGAATTCAGGGATAAGATGCACTGAGTCAGAGCATACGTACGTACCTGAAACGGACAAGTTTAATACGGCATATCTTATGAATCATATACGCTCGTGTGGCTTTGCATACAGCTAAAAAGATATTCTGCCGCACGGTTCATGAAACAACTCGGTAAGACGAATATAAACGATAATATTCGCGGAAGGTTCGTAACGACAGACAACATCATTACCAAGGATTACGAAGGTTCATCCCGATAGGATTCTGCGTCTGTGTCAACGATCGTAACCTCATAACGAGTTTGGCAAAGGCGCCTCTTTCGAGCAATAGCAGAGCTAATGTAAAACTAGATGCACGAGCTTTTTTCCAAACTGAATTGGATAATTAAAGTGGATCCAACATTTTGCATCAAACTCTTACGCAGAATTCGTTCCCAATAAATGAACGTTGTTCTCTGAATTGTTCGCTACAAATTGTGGAAATAGGTCTGCGATCATAACGTATCGGTATGTATTTGGATCGATAAGGAAATAATACTTTTTCCGATTAGTTCATCTTTACATTTTCTTTACTATCGCCACGCCATACTTTCTATAAATTCTGTCTCTTAATGATTCAGATTTCACTGTTTCAACGTCAACGGCTTAATTTACGAGATCTTAAATAACAGTTTATATCGGTGATTCGATCAATTTGAAAAGCTCAATTTATTTGTGAATATATAATGAATTTCAAATGTATAAATTACTCAATACTTTTAAAATATTTCTTGCAATATTTTTATGTATTTACATAAATGCAATTCTTGTATTTGCGTTTTAATTGACCTTAAAAATACTGTGTACGTTATATGATACGTATATGCATATATCTTATTTTCTATACAAAATATGTAATATTCATTGTTTTTAAATTATCAACTATAAGATAATTAAATAACGTACAAAAAGTGACTACTTTTCCGTATTATTATCATTTGATGACAACGTGATTTATACTTCATGTATTGTTAAAAAGGAAAAACCTTCATTGAAATAATATCTGATAGTAATATTTAACGAACATTATCATACTAGATATTTTTGATTCTTATACAGTTAGAAGAAAAAATGTTTTTCTATTTATTCGCACTGTAATTTTGAGGTTATTTAGATTAATTGTGTAATTCTGAACAAAGCGCGAATGACGGATTATCAACTAACTTCTCGTGTTTAACATCGATCGGATCCGATTAAGTTAGTATGCGGTGCGAATGAATCGCAATTTGCTTCTGATATTCTGTTTAAGAAACAGTACGCGTTTTATTATCGATAACGGACCTAACGGATTTAGCGGATTCGCTAAGTTTATGTTGATAAAACACGTACAGCCACGAAGCGTGCGTCTCGAATTCATTCGGGGGTGACACTTTCCTACCGGTCTTGTCTCGCTTCGCTTCCAGCGGCATATATAATTGAAACAATTTCTGACGCAGAGAGGATGAATCCTCTCGGAGGAGATGGAAGCGGCGATGGAAACATCGAACGACGTGGAACAGGACGTGGCCGAGGTCGAGGACTCTGTACATCGACCGCACAAGAATATCGCACGTTAAGAAAACCTCATTGCGATATATCTGGAATACAAACAACAGGTTGTTATCATTTATTTCAGAAAAAGTATATTTATATGGAATTTTACAAAAAATGCCAACTATCATGTGTTTTTAATTTAGACATATTGTTATTCAAAATTTTGAATACCAATTCCCCTTGTTGACAATATTTCCTTATTTCCTTTTATAAATGGGTATTACCTTTTGCTTTCGATAATATTACATACTTGTATAAATTATGTAAGTAATAATAACATTTATCGACACTTTATACAAAACGATACATGTTTATTGAATTTGTGTTATTTTATTTGATCGTATTGCGCTTAAATAGTTTGTCAGAAACAAAATATAATGATTATAAATGAAACACGAGCATTGTACGTACCTAAAATGTTTGTATGGTCCCATTCGATCGACATGATCGATGGATTATGTTGCTCAGTATTCTTAGAACATAAATTTGATGAATGTACATCAAATTCTGAATAGTTTCATGTTGATATTTAAAATCTGATAGAAATAAGTATTTTATCTACAAATGAAAAATAAATAATACATTGAATTATAGACAATATAATAACATAGGTTTATCTTTTTTCTGATAACTTCATTTCTTTACTTTGCTTTAAGTTATGTTAAGAAAGTTAAAGCTGTCAGAAAATAGAAATTAAAATTTATTTGCTTGTATTTCATTCAAATAAGTACGATGATTAAATAGGTTAAATGTTGGCAAGTATCAATTTTGAATTTATAGGTCCCATGGGATCGAAAAATACGGAACAGAGCAAATTAGACAAATCTTTTGACGATATTATACAAAATTCAACGTTGTCTGTTGATGCAGCTGAATTCATTCCAAAATCTTTTTCCCCCAAACAATCGGTAGGTATATGTGTTGAGGGTTGTAAGGTTTTTTGATATCCAAATATTGAAGTATTCTAAATGTTTCTGTTATTTAGCTACAGCAACAACAACCATCGACAATGAGGAATTTGCAGAAACACTCGGTTCAAGATAGAATACAACGGGCGCGCGAAATACCTCTTCAAGCACAAAATTATCATCAGGTAGAACAAGTTCATGAATTCAATAATTTTTCCAATCAATCGGAGCATTTCACAAATGTTCAAGATTATGGACATTTTGACGGAGGCTCGGGAGATTACAAAGACAAACACCACGTACATATTTTAAACATATTACAAGAAAAATAAATGTTAATACTATTTAATATTAATTATTATGTGCTTATAGGATTCGAGCGGGGATGAAGATAATTATTTAATCGAATTTGCTAACACAATACAAAACTTAATGAGCGTTATACACTCGTTGATATTAAATCCAGGGTGTTTCACCGTAATAGTACCACCGCTTATACATAATATTAGGCCTTATTTAGATTCACCTTTTCAGCTCGAAGATATTATACAGATAATAATTCAGCAGGTAATTCTATTCTATCAATAATTCTATCGATCGTTTTCATTTACAGAAAGTTTGTATATTTATCTATTTGATTATTTCTAGTCCATAAATGAGGGTAATTTCCGATACAGCGGTGCTCGACTTTGTTGTGCGTTACTAGATACTAATCTGACATCCGTGCAACAGGAATTATTCAAAGAGATTTTGTATGCTTGGTAAGTTACCAAGAACATTTGTTATTTCAAATAGTTAAAGATTCAGCTTAATAAACATTAAGTGAATAACAGGTGTAGAATCGAAACAGATAATCTGTCTGCTAATTGGAAGCAGAAAGACGAACATACTGAAGAAGAGCAGGAAAGATGTCACGGATTAATATTATTCTTGGCTGAATTAGTTACTCAAATGGAACATACGTCTGCTTTTGGTTTAGGAGATTTATTAATTTCCCTCATATGTACCGTTTTAAAAAGACCCGCACCTAACTCTGTTAAGAATATTTGTCAAGCCCTCAAAGTACGTAATAGTCGATAAAAATTCTTTTATGGATCTGTGTTTGATTTGACATGCCAAAATATAAAGCGTGCACTTTACTATGTAGTTAGCAGGTCAAACGTTAGAGAAAGATGGAGGTGAAATGCGTGAAGAAATGGATAACATGATGCGCGCATTGACAGAATTTGTAACATCTGGTCGAGTAGATACTCACATTGAACGGATGGTATACAGTGTTCGTGAATTGCGAAATGGGAACTGGGGACAAACTTCGGCACTCAATTCCACAATAGTCGAGTCTACGGAAACAATAGATCCAAATCAAGCACTCGATGAGCCTGTATTATATGGTCCCGACGGTAAAGTGTTAACAGCAGAAGAAAATAAGTTTTTGGAAGATGTTTCTCATAGCACAATTATCGAAGATCACGTGTACGTATATACATATACATACATATACGCGTATACATCATATATTTAGTTTATTAGTAATAACGAGCATGAAACATACAAAGGTGAAACTAATATTTTTACAGTATATCAGAACACGATTACGAAGATGAAAAGTGGTCATCGGAGGACGAAGACAATGTAGACGCAGCGTATGAAGAATTTTTAAAACATATTCCAAAACAAATTAATAAACAATAGTTGTTTACTATAAGTTAACATAAACATATAACTCTATTCACCTCATAGTTGGGAATTATGAGCGTTTTCATTTCCGCATTTCTATACTGTAATGCAAAGTGCAGACTAAAATTGGACGCGTGATCAAGCGATTACTACATGTGTACTACGCAATTTGACATTTTGTAAATTCGTCTTAAGTGTGAGAATTTTAATTTACGAACTTTTATGGGAACAACAACAACTTCGTAATCATTTTTCCTTTTTTTTTTCTTTTACTTATGTACCAACTTTTTATCATAAATTTTTCTAATTTGAAAAGAAACATTGCAAAGTTTGTTCCTGAAACGTAACGATATATATTTGTCTACGAAGTTTATTTCTAAGTTATTTAAATTATTATAATAAATAATTAAAATCTATAAGGTAAATATTACCATTGTTGTTTTCTTTTCTTTTTTTTTTCTTTTTTTTTTTATGGTCTATAATAGCATTTGCTGTTAGGACGTTAAATGCGCTTGCAGTATTTCTAGTTGCTTTTTTTTCCAGGTAAATATTTGATGGCCTCTGTAATACGTAGTACAATGTGTATGAAATATTTGGTATATATAATTCGGAAAGTGTCGCAGCTTACCTTATTGTTGCACGTGATTACGTATGCTTGCTTATTTTGTCGACAACCACGACGACGACGATGACGACGATGACGACGACGACGATGATGATGTGCACACAATACCATTTCCGCGAAACTTAAGCGGACAGATCCGTTTTTGGTGCGAAAGGTTTCACCGACCGATTGTCTATCGAGACAGATACGATGCTGCAGCATAATCAGTTGCGTTTGCTTTACTCTGTTGTGCAAAAAAGTAAATTTATAACTACATTATAAAGTGAAAGTTAATCTATAAAAGATGACAAAGATAAAGTCTTTAGAATTGAATTTTTTTTTTTAATAGTATTTATTATATGTACAATTAGAGTTTTTTTAAAATAAAAGATGAATCTCTTTATAGGAAGTTTCAAGTGCCAATAAAAATGAAACATATTGCTTTTATTAGGATTAAATAATTGCAAAATGTTTTTCTTGTTCCCATTTATGGATATGGCTGATTATCTTCATTATACGTTGTCAACTAAATTGAAAATATTGCTCCCCTAGAACTTTTTCTTGCTCGAGAATAAATAATTTTCTGATATGAGTAACAGGTAGGCGAGGCCCATCAAAGGATCGTCAGGGGCATGCGTAGGCAAAATTTAGAGTGGGACTGAAGGTTACAGAAGGTGGGGTCTTCCTTGTACTTGAGCTGCAACGATCTCCGCATTCGTTGAAAATCTGTTAATTCGGTTCATCTTGGCGTGGAGTTGCGGTCTTGTATCAGCTGAGGTAAACATTTTCGAAGTTGATCTCGGACTATCGACATATTGACGTTTCTTTAAATTATGATGTATTTTTCAGATAATGAAGCATCTGCAGATCACATTTCTACTTCTTTTTATTTCTTTAGTAACAGTCAGAGGTGGATATTACCAATCAAGGATATTAACAGCTGCTAATACAGGTAAATTATAGATTATAGATTTTTTGCAAATGAATTTATCTTAAATTTCGAATAATTATTCTTTAGTAGGTTGTGAAGCTTATACTTGTGGAGTTAATGCACGATGTACTCTCAGCGAAGGAAGACCAGTTTGTTCATGCATGAATCTACACATGGGAGATCCTCTTTCACGATGTGTACGAGTAGAGTGCTTGAGTAAGTATTCTAGTTTTTTTTTTTTTTTTTTTTTTTTTTTTTTTTTTTTTTTTTTTTTTTTTTTTTTTTTTTTTTTTTTTTTTTTTTTTTTTTTTTTTTTTTTTTTTTTTTTTTTTTTTTTTTTTTTTTTTTTTTTTTTTTTTTTTTTTTTTTTTTTTTTTTTTTTTTTTTTTTTTTTTTTTTTTTTTTTTTTTTTTTTTTTTTTTTTTTTTTTTTTTTTTTTTTTTTTTTTTTTTTTTTTTTTTTTTTTTTTTTTTTTTTTTTTTTTTTTTTTTTTTTTTTTTTTTTTTTTTTTTTTTTTTTTTTTTTTTTTTTTTTTTTTTTTTTTTTTTTTTTTTTTTTTTTTTTTTTTTTTTTTTTTTTTTTTTTTTTTTTTTTTTTACAAATATCGCTACGCGTTGTAAAAGACGTAATTCGATCGTACGTGTATTTGTGTTTTAGTCAATGACGATTGTATTGGAAGTAAAGTTTGCACGAATAATAGATGCATAAATCCTTGCGACGGTTTGTGCGGTGTAAACGCCTTATGCGAAGTTAGGAATCATCTTCCAACGTGTTACTGTCCTCCTGGATATACGGGCGATCCTTTCACTTCGTGCCACATAGATGATCCTCGTACGTACGGAATTCATATACGTTTTGAATTTTGTTAATATTATGTGCTTTTACGTATGTAACATAAACTCAGAGTAGGTATGATGCAAATTTCAATCGAATTCTTACAGAGGCTGCTTGTAAACCAAGTCCATGCGGTATAAATACAAAATGCGAGGTAGTGAACAAAGTACCAGTTTGCAGTTGTTTACCAGGTTACAGAGGATCTCCTTTGATCGGATGCCGACACGAGTGCGAAAGCGATAGCGATTGTCCTAACCACCTTGCTTGTTCAGCATCCTTTAGATGCGAAAATCCCTGTAAATGTGGTACAAATGCAGAGTGTCAAGTTCATAATCATCAAGCGATATGTACTTGTCCACACGTAAGAGTCGAGCAAATATCTAAAATATGAAGAAGCATGTATAAACCTGTGTAATCAGTAATTGAACTTTGTCTTCAGAATTGGTTAGGAAATCCGTTCGTATCGTGTCGTCCAGAGTGTACCACGCATTCTGATTGTCCGAAAAGCAAAGCAGCTTGTCTATATCAGAAATGTTTGAATCCTTGCGACGGAGTATGCGGAGTGAACGCAGATTGTAATTTGCGTGACATTACACCTGTTTGTAGTTGTCCAAGGCACATGACTGGTAATCCCTTTGTGAGCTGTAGATTATTTGAAGCGCGTAAGTAATTTTAGTGTTATACGGTATAGATATTATATTTGAGTACGTTTTGAAGCTTATCCTTTAATAGTATCGATACTCTTTGTTACTAATTATTATCGTTAAATATTACCAGGAGATCTATGTGACCCAAATCCATGCGGTGTGAACGCCGTTTGCACACCTGGGCATGACAATACCGGCAAAGAGAGACCTGTTTGCACTTGTCCTACCGGTTACATTGGAAACGCGCTCGTAAGCTGTCAACGTGGAGAATGCATTACAGATAACGAATGCCCTGACAATAAGGCTTGTATCGATTACACTTGTCAGAATCCATGCACTGGTAAAGAGTGTGGCCCTACCGCAACGTGTACACCTCGACGTCATATTGCCGTGTGCACTTGTCCAGACGGAACACGAGGAGATGCACTTTACAATTGTAATCCTGTCGAGAGTAGATCCGTTTACAATCATGGTCGGGCATGTCGATATTGTTAGTCAAAAACATTTTTTTGATCGCTCATATAAGTGACACGTAATGTACTTTAATTATCTATACACTTAGAAGTTAACGGTTTATATCATAATTCCATTATGTAATGGAGATCGGGTGATTGTTAACGCAGTATTGTCACTAATGTTTAAGTCTACCAAGCACAACGTAATCATATTATAACGCAGAAACATGTCCGTGAGTTACGCTGAGACGTTGTACGCATGCTCGAAAACAAGGCAGAAAAACACTATATGTGTACTCTTACAATGATAGTACAGTAAAACCCTTATTAAGGGACATTTTGCATAGCACGGGCGTTCCACAAGTTAATAATTAAATGATTAAATCATAAGTTTAATTAAGTTATGTACTGTATGAAAAGTGATTAAAATAAAGAAAAATTTATTAACAATTATTGTGTATTTACTGTTACCTAACAAACCCAACAGAATAAAAATTTACATATTCGAAAGCGAGAATTTGTATCAAGCGAACATGAGAATTCCTGAGAACATGAGAATTCCTGGAATTCAACTTCACCAAAATTCCAAGAAGTAGCATGATAGTTACCTCCTCACAACTTATGTTCTCCTGATACAAATTCTCGAAATTGGTCGGTGGAATTTCAAAAATCCCGCCCGGGAATTCTTGGAATTTGACGTCATCAAAATTCCAGGAAGTGGCACGAAGGATACCTCCTCGCAACTTATGTTCTCCTGATACAAATTCTCGAAATTGGTCGGTGGAATTTCAAAAATCCCGCCCGGGAATTCTTGGAATTTGACGTCATCAAAATTCCAGGAAGTGGCACGAAGGATACCTCCTCGCAACTTATGTTCTCCTGATACAAATTCTCGAAATTGGTCGGTGGAATTTCAAAAATCCCGCCCGGGAATTCTTGGAATTTGACGTCATCAAAATTCCAGGAAGTGGCACGAAGGATACCTCCTCGCAACTTATGTTCTCCTGATACAAATTCTCGAAATTGGTCGGTGGAATTTCAAAAATCCCGCCCGGGAATTCTTGGAATTTGACGTCATCAAAATTCCAGGAAGTGGCACGAAGGATACCTCCTCGCAACTTATGTTCTCCTGATACAAATTCTCGAAATACCTCCTCTCGACTCATGTTCTCCTGATACAAATTCTCGAAATTGGTCGGTGGAATTTCAAAAATCCCGCCCGGGAATTCTTGGAATTTGACGTCATCAAAATTCCAGGAAGTGGCACGAAGGATACCTCCTCGCAACTTATGTTCTCCTGATACAAATTCTCGAAATTGGTCGGTGGAATTTCAAAAATCCCGCCCGGGAATTCTTGGAATTTGACGTCATCAAAATTCCAGGAAGTGGCACGAAGGATACCTCCTCGCAACTTATGTTCTCCTGATACAAATTCTCGAAATTGGTCGGTGGAATTTCAAAAATCCCGCCCGGGAATTCTTGGAATTTGACGTCATCAAAATTCCAGGAAGTGGCACGAAGGATACCTCCTCGCAACTTATGTTCTCCTGATACAAATTCTCGAAATTGGTCGGTGGAATTTCAAAAATCCCGCCCGGGAATTCTTGGAATTTGACGTCATCAAAATTCCAGGAAGTGGCACGAAGGATACCTCCTCGCAACTTATGTTCTCCTGATACAAATTCTCGAAATTGGTCGGTGGAATTTCAAAAATCCCGCCCGGGAATTCTTGGAATTTGACGTCATCAAAATTCCAGGAAGTGGCACGAAGGATACCTCCTCGCAACTTATGTTCTCCTGATACAAATTCTCGAAATTGGTCGGTGGAATTTCAAAAATCCCGCCCGGGAATTCTTGGAATTTGACGTCATCAAAATTCCAGGAAGTGGCACGAAGGATACCTCCTCGCAACTTATGTTCTCCTGATACAAATTCTCGAAATTGGTCGGTGGAATTTCAAAAATCCCGCCCGGGAATTCTTGGAATTTGACGTCATCAAAATTCCAGGAAGTGGCACGAAGGATACCTCCTCACAATTTATGTTCTCCTGATACAAATTCCCAAAATCGATGGCTGGAATTTCAAAAATCCCGCCCGCGAATTCTTGAAATGACGTTATGAAAATTCCACGAAGCACAAAGAATACCTCCTCATAATGCATGTACTCCTGATATATATTCTTAATATTTGGTTTTTTATTTATTATTTATTTTTTAAAATTTGGGGCAATTTCTGGCAATCGGAATGACGGTATTTATAAATAAGTAAATATGCAAATACATGTTTTTGTAGGTTAATTCTAGTACGGAATTATCATAATAATATGTACATATTAGTGTACGCTGTAGTACAAGATCTTGCTTAAAGCTAATAAAAATCTGTTGAGAGAATAAACATAATGTCGCAATTATTTTGCTTCCAAAAAGTTAAAGAAAATTGTAAGTTATGGAAGGAAATGTGATGAATGCATAAATCGGACGATTGCTTTCTTGGGCTATATTAAATGTCGTTCACATTAGGCTATTTTGACCGGTACTTGCCTAATCTGAACGTCCCCTTAGGCAAGGTCGCCGCAGCGCCATCTAGCGGCGGTACGCGGAACCTTCATTAAATGTCGTTCACATTAGGCTATTTTGACCTGTACTTGCCTAATCTGAACGTCCCCTTATGCAGGGTCGCCGCGGCGCCATCTAGCGGCGATACGCGGAACTACAATAGGAACCTCTAGTTCGGCCGGTTGTTGATAGATGGCGCTGTTGTCGCCATTTTTTTGCGGTTTTTTTAAAGGATTTTTCCTGTTTTCTTGATGTATTTATAAGCGTGTCATTTTCAATAATTCCTATACTCTGTTGTGATCATCGGAATCATCGGTCAAGATGATGTACAGTATGCAAATAAGCTATCATACACAATCCATCACCTCTAGTCTTCCCTCTATTCGTGTGTTCTCCTATATTGTATATGATGAATGTAATGGAAAACGAGTATAGTGGGGTAGCAACAACGGTGGAAAACGAATGCTCTTCTCATGACACGATACGTCATTGCGAATTTGATAATAGACAGGTATTAATTATGTATACGCGTTTGCTTCGTGAAAGGCCGACAGAGTTCGGTAGTGCAGTATGAAACGAACACGAACGAGAGTAGAACGATACGTTGCAAATTTTTTCAATTATTGACTACGCAATTATTTAAAAATTGATAAAACTCTTAAGATACTGATTTATCGAGCCCACTTTCAATAACGAAGGCTTATTTACCTTGGGGGCTAGCCCGCTGGGCGCTTTTAGCCCCGAAACGTAAAGAGATGTCGATTCGGGCGGCAGTCTACCGTTTTGTGCAAAATGGTCGGGCTCTATTGCACTCCATCAGAAATACCGAGTGTTTCTACTCTAATTACCATCCAAGGAATTATCACGACAAAATACACGTTGTGCAAGTAGGTGAGTCACAACAACGAATTATTCCTTGTACATCTTATGATGTCATAGAACCTTGACAAGAAGCAGTTGTTGAAAAAGTTAAAAGCCTTCAACAATACGAGGGAATTAACCTTCGTCGAACGAACATGACTTCATGTGTTTTTATAATCAACCTCATCGAAGTTGTCTTAAATATAAAGATACCTGAAGTATCTCGGCATTTCTCAAATTTACTGTTTTCGTATAATGTATATAGATAGATGGATAAGGTTACTTAACTATCGTGTGTCACGTTCAATACGAGCAATACTTGGATATGATATAATATTTCCGCATTTCGATAAAATCTTATTAATCGTGACATTGTTACAGGCAAGTCCCAGGGCTATTTGCCCCAGGGTAATAACAATGTGTCCAGTACTGGGAAACACCTCGGTTATTTGGGAACTCATGCTCGACGGATTTTTGTTGATAATATCCTAAAAAGAGTTACCAATAGCTTAGCAGCTGACTTACGCAGACGTGCAGCCAGCAGATTAGCCTTTGGTGATTCAGCTCCTTTCTTTGCATTGGTTGGTGTATCATTGGCATCTGGTACTGGAATATTAACAAAGGATGATGAATTAGAAGGAGTATGCTGGGAAATTCGAGTAAGTAAATTTCTTATAAAATTCGCAGAATTTTTTAATTAATGTTCGTGGGAGAAACAAAATATTAATGTATTTGTAGGAGGCTATATCAAAACTGCAATGGAATACTCCACAAAACGATAAAAACTATGAAGCTATCAAAGACGAAGAAAAGATAATCAGTTTAAAAGATTTTGTAATTGGTCCCGCTATTGCAAAAGGATGCTCTGCTGTTGTCTATGCGACAAAGTTAAAAAATTCTGAGCGCAATGAAAATAAAGATGAAATACATGTCGATGATAGGACCAAGGACATAACTGTTTTTCCATTGGCATTAAAAATGATGTTTAATTACGATACAGAATCTAATGCATTATCTATTCTAAGATCCATGTATCGGGAAACTGTACCTGCTAGAAAACATTTAAAGAATAAAGAATTGGCTGAATGGGAGCTGAAAATGACAGAAAGAAAATCTAAATTACCATCGCATCCAAACATTGTAGCAATGTATTGTGTTTTTACCGATAGAGTACCTGCTTTACCTGGTTCATGGGGAATGTATCCTGATGCTTTACCTGCTCGTATTAACCCTGAAGGATCTGGAAGGAATATGAGCTTGTTTCTGTTAATGAAAAGGTAATTACGCCGAGAAATAATTGTTTGATAAACATTATTGAGAGCATGATTGTTTCCTTTTTATGTTGTTATAGATATGACATTACGTTAAAACAATACTTAGCTGATCGTACCATAAGTACGAGGGAATCGATACTACTGTTAGCACAGCTGCTTGAGGGTGTGGCTCATCTAAATGCGCATGGTATTGCACATCGGTACGTCAACATCTTTTATTCAAATAGAATATATATATACGATAATATGTATTGGATGTCAAATAGTATCGTGTTTCATATATCTATATGTATATATATTATTCTTCTTTTTTGAAAAATCAGAGATCTGAAGAGCGACAATATTTTACTAGACTTGTCAGAAGAAACTGATAATTGTCCATCTTTGGTAATTACCGATTTTGGATGTTGTTTGGCTGACAAAAGTTATGGATTATACCTACCATACAACACTCACGATGTTGATAAAGGAGGCAATGCTGCATTAATGGCACCGGAAGTAATAACAGCGGAACCTGGTCCATTTACTAGCATTAATTATACCAAAGCCGATCTTTGGACAGTAGGAACTATAGCATATGAAATATTTGGTTTGAAAAATCCATTTCACGGCGCTGATTCGAAGGAAGAGACATCTCTAAAGAATCATAGTTACAAAGAGAAAGATCTTCCACCTTTACCAAACCATGTACCAACAGTAATTTCTGCGTTAATCAAAAATTTATTGTCTAGGAATTTATATAAGGTATTGTGACATGCGGTTAAACATATTTTCCGTAAGCTATTTTATATTCTACGTGGAATGGTTATAATTTCAGAGACTTGACACAGAAACAGCAGCAACAGTGATGCAGTTACATTTATGGGCACCAAGTATTTGGTTTAGAGGCGAAGGAAAGTTACCGTCGAGTAACGAGGTATGAGCATTTTTTCGCATATCTTTATAAAACTTATAATTATGTGTACTATACATCATTTTATTACACATTTTTAATAGGTGATGCAATGGCTACTGTGTTTAACTACAAAAGTACTTTGTGAAGAACGTAATATGATGCTGCCTGAAGTATTATGCAACGAAAATATTGAACAGATCGATCACAACTGTTATCAAAGATCACTTTCAACAAGATCTTGCGGAAGACGTACTATGCCGGAATATCAATTGATAGCGAATTTTCTTGGTAGAGTTACGCTTGGTAATATTAGAAATGCCTTAAAATGGATCCAACAAAACGTATAAGGCGTGTTCTTAGAAAGAAGATTTTAACAACAAGAAGAAAGTATTTATCGTCCGCATATTGAGGAAGGGATTGTTGTGTGTTATTTTTCAACACAAAGTGTAGATTTTTTAAAAATATTTTTGTATACTTGATTTTACCGTATATTATCGCCAACGTTTCTCATTTGTTTTTCTTATTAATTTATTTTTGATACTTCGAGAAGCATAGAGGAGTCATACTTTCAGCTGTATAATATTGTTGAAAGTTTGATTGTAATTAAGCTATTTAAAAGAAAAACTAAATACAACAGATGAAAATAGACGCGTTTTATGCATGTCTTTTTCTGGAATTCATCTGTGTTGTAATACAATGATACTGACAAGTATTGAAAACCATATTCATGTTGGCTATTTATCTATGCAATCCACATGACTATAATTTGTTATCTTGATATTTCTGGAAACCAGTCTTTCGTGTTTAGTAAATATAATTTGCTCTATGTTGCCGAGAAATTTTTAAACAAGTTCACTGTTCGATACATTATGTATTGATACATGGTGATGATAATTTTCAAATAAATTCGTTTAATTATTTAGTTTTTAAATTTCAAATTTTCGTTCAAGATGCAACAGCGTATGAACCGAACATTCAGTGAAGAGTATCTTTTATAAGTGAAAATTTTTAACGTATTAATTCAATGCGAAACAAATATAGATAAATCAATAGCGCGGTTATAGGATTTAACGCTATAAACTGTGGAAAAAAAATAAAGATTGTATGTATACAGTGTTCACAAGATCGCAGATGCTGTCTGTTTTGGCTTCCCGCACATTTTCATCTTAAGCTTCATTGTTTCTAAATTCAGATTATGAGTTTCTGCTAAATCATTTAAGTATATTAAATATTCCTCATATGAGAGTGCTCTTTTTCGAAATTTAAAATACGCAAGTCCTGTATCCGTTGTGGTAATTGTAATCATGTCAAGTATACGTGCTGATATTAACCATCTGTCGCTTTGCGATAATGGTATAAGTTCTAAGTTTCGACTAGAAGAAACTGGATCCATCTCACAGTATGCTATAAAAATAATAATTATGCTTATATTATAAATAATATAGGTAATATAGTTATTGAAATGTAAATATATTATTCTTTTTATCATTACTTTTGAATATCTCTTCAAACGAAACCTCAGGTTCTTTTTGTTTCACGACAAAATCTTCCATGACGTTTTAAAATAAAAGATATGTCATACATCTATGTACGTACATAATTGTGTATTGAGCAGTTTCTTGTAAATTACATGTAGGTTTTAGTTAAAGAGTAAATATTTGAGTTTCGTATCTATATATTTAACGTGTTTTCCTTCCATTTTTTTTTACAAGCGAAGTTTTATCAAAATTGCGAGAATTAATTTTATCATGAAGTTCAATAATTATCAATGTTTCTCAAACATAAATTCTATTAAAACCAGCTTATTAAAGGATCCTTCAAAGGCTGAGCCATCTTATTTTAACCAATTTCCAAGTCCTTATTTTTTAAAATATTTCTGCAAAACCGTTCATAATAGAGCAAAGAGACTTGATATGAATGGATGTGTCATATATGAGAAAATCAGGTCAGGATACACAAAATTTATTATGCAAATTATAGTTAATTTAAAAAGTTTTATTTATTTTCGTTACGCATACGCAGAAGACATTTACAGGATACAGATATCCCGGCTTTATTAATTTTTCTGAAAAAGAATCAGGATATTACTCATATTAATTTGGCAAATAATAATATCTCAGATAGCGGCTTTATAAATTTACTGGATCATGTACTTGTATGATAAATGTATACAGACAAAGTGTTATTTAATAGTAAATGTATATTTATACATTTTGTTTTCTATCAGCTATATAAAAACATAGAAGAACTAGATCTTCAAAATAATAACATTACAAAGAAAGGAACTAATTATTTACTGACAGTAGGAGAATACGTAGGAATTAAAAATCTTAATTTAAAAGCAAATAAATTTGGCACTGAAGTGAGTAATTTTGTTATTTTGGTGAAATAATTAATTTTTTTGTTTAGTCAGTAACTAATTTATTTATAGGCATCAAAAAATGTGGCACTCTTTTTATTAAAAAATAAACACATAAATTCTTTGAATGTTGCCGAAGTAGACCAGACAGCTTCTAGTTTAATATACTTCATAATGGTCTTGAGTTCAGACCAAAAGGTTTCCAATAGGACTTTAAAGAATATAGATATTAGTAGACCTAAGCCAGGATGCATGTATTATTTTGATTCTGCTCATTTTGCTGATGTTATTGGTTATATGCTCAAAGTAACATTAATCTTAATTACTTGTTTGTATTTAAATTAATTAAGGATATTTTTAGTGTAATACCTATCTTAGGGCATTACACCTTCAGAAATACAATTTCAATTGCCACGATATTGAAAACATGATGTCCAATGCAAAATACAATAATACATTGTATTTACTAGATCTTGGTAGTAATAACATAGGTGATCATGGAGTTGAATTTATTACCAATTGGTTGGTAAAACGACCAGTTTTAAAAACACTAATCTTGCGTAGAAATATTATAACTAATCATGGTGCAAGGTATTATATAAAGAAAGAAAATTATGTTTTTATTATTGCATACAATACTGTTTTTGATCAAAAATACACTTTATTACTTATAGGAGCCTAAGCTTCATCCTTCCATTTTCAAGAATTCTGGTTCTTGATATTTCTTATAATAAAATTACGAATGATGGCATGATAGATATCTTAAATACCTTGAAGAAGAGCCCTTTATTGCAACAATTAAAAATATTTGGCAACTGTATAAGCCATCCGACTGCGAAAGTATTAATTATTTTATAAGAAGCGTAAGAAATGCAATCTATATTTTACAATTATTTATAGATCATCAAACGGATGTTGACTTTTGGAATCCTAGAACAAGAGAAAATAGATGTCAGACCCTACAGAGTTGATCACAAATGGTATTTTGCGAAATACGAAGGTCATAACTATAAGAAAGAATATTATGATGTTCCATATGGTCTCTTTTTCAAAGCACCAAAAACTCCAGCTAAAAAGACACGATACAATACAAAATATTATAAATATATATTCTCAAAAGTGACTGAACTAAAATTGCATTATGTATGTTTATATGTTACTATCTTCTTTCTCTTCAATGCATAACAAAGCATTTTCGTTTTAGTCAACCATAACTATTATTTCAAAAATATTGAGCAGAGAACATATAAAAGATTGTAAATGCTGTTATTGTTTAAAATGCGAAGGTAACAGTAAATTTCTTCCCTTTGATTTTATAAAAATTATTTTACTTTAGTTCAGCTGTTATTGCTACATTAAATATTTTAGCTCCACATTTTGATGAATTATGCAGAGACACTAACCATCCAAATAATTGCAATTGTTGCAAATGCAAAAAAGATAGTGATATTTCTATAGATAAATCAGTCACGGACAGAATCATATCTGTTCTTGATGTTACAAAGTGTATCTCATTTATTTTGGATCGGGTGAACTCTGAAATTCAAGACAAAATCATTGGATGGATTAATATTAACGAAGATATATTGGAAAAAGATTTGAAAACTATTGCTGGTATGATTTTATGTTATCTTAATTTATTTTGTCATCAGTGGCTTATATTATCTTTTAATTTGAAAAGAACAAAATGAAGATGGAAAAAGTTCTTCTAAAGATACTGTTTCATGTAGCTCATCTTGGATACAGCTGAGCATATCTACTTTACAGAAATATTTGCAGGAAACTTCTTCAAAAAATTTACTGTAACTATATCAAAATATATTTTTACATACTCAAATGTTGTTGCTGTTACGTCTTCTCTACAGTATTATACAAATTTTTTATAAGGGTATGTAAGGCTTACACAAGTAAAGATAAAAAATGGAGCCATCTTTTCAAAGGTATTTTATTACATTTCTGGTTTTATACTCGTACAAACTGAGGGTTTGCAATATACAAAAATAAAAAACGGAATGAACTTTATTATATTTATATTAATTATCTAATTTGTTTTTGTTTTTTTTTTCAGTTTCCTTTACTTTTTCATTGTTGCTTCTCGCGTTTCTCCGACCATCTGTCAACGAAATCCGACCGTCTTGCTGCTTGATTTCTTCCATGTTTTCTGACATTAATTGATTAGAATCGATTTCACGAGGTGCCTTGTTGCTTTGCATAAGATCGTTTGTATTGGAAGGAATCTCATCGATTCTCAAAGAACCATCTATAAACCGGTAACTAGGTTGCTGCATACTATTAGCGTCCCGAAAGGTTTGAGGAAAAGCATTGATGGTGACTTCCTTTGTTGCGTGCGTATTATCGACCAAATCTCTACTAGTATAGGGTTCAATGTTACTTTCCAATCCACGGACGTACATGTTTTGAAACACTGTTTGTTGGTTGAGCTGAGGCTGAACATGAACATGATGAGGAAGCTTTACTTTAACATAACCATGGTGACTTCTTGCATGAGGGCTCAATTTAGTGTCAACATTACCCTGTAAACAATTAACATGCATTGATTACCTTGCTAAGTATTTACTTAATGCTTCACAGCATATGATACTTACATTTGATACTATGTGAGATAACATTTTTGCATCATAGGGCATGACCAATGGAGGCCTTGTAAACGTTGAAGAATATGATGCTATGGGTAAAACTTTCATTGATATCGGTTCAATGCCAGACTCGCTCAGTACAGCTATATTTTGCTGACAAGGACAAGGATTGAGGTACCTGTGCAGAGGATTACTGCAAGGCAACATTGATGGAACTTGAACAATGGCAGCTAATTGTGGTTGTTCAGATTCAGCAACCAGCATCATTGGATTTGATGGTACAGTGAACAAATGTTCATGACAAGTAGATGCAACTGGTAAAACTGTTAAGGTTTCCTGAGGCTCTGGTAAAGGCTGTGGAAGATGCTCGATACGCATAGGTTTTTCTTCTTCGGTAGCAGGTTTTATTTCTGTTGCAACTGGCTTAGGTTTTGGCTTAGGTTTTTGAGTAGTTTTAATAACAGTTGACTGGGGAACCGGTTGAATGATATTCACGGCTGGAGCAGATTGAGTACAAGGTTGAGGAGGAGATTGTACAATCTGTAAGGTGTGAACGGGTTGAACCATTTGTTGAGGCATCACTACACTTGCCTGAGGTAAAGTCTGTGCAGGTTGGACGACATTTAATGTTTGGATTTGTTGAGGTTGAGTATGTAAAGATAGTGGAAACTTCTGAGTAGATATTTGATTTTCTTTCCAAGCAACTTGCGCCGGTTGAGATGTTCCTGATCCTATTTGTACGCAAAGTGTCGATTTCTTAGATCTATCCTTGTCCTCACCAGTTTCCTCCATATTCAAATCCACCTTTTTAGATTCTGCATTCGTATCTTCTGTCAGTGACTTCTTCTCCACATTTTTTGGTGCCGGACCAGCCTGGATCAGTGCAATACACAATAACAGAAATACAAAACACGCGTTGCGATACATCGTTGGTTATTATATCGACTTCAAGACTTTTAAATTTTGATTGACGACTGATCGATTGAATTTCATTTTTATAGTCGTTACACGACACACAAATTCTTTGTGCAAACTCGATTTTGTAATCATCTTCCACACGCAACGACATATACATCGCTGACGATGCTGAATATCAGTTTTGCAATTGCTGTATAGGTATTGAATATTTTCCTCACAATATAAATATTCCATTAAAAACTCAAAAAAAAATTTTGATGAAAATAACAGATAATTTAAACTGTATCGTTTAATTATTGCAAGAGAGAATTGCTACAAACTTGTAACTTTGCATTTGCTTGTAATAAGTTTGCTTATAATAAGTTTGTTTAATGTAGAACAAGTAATCATGGAATGATATAAATTTATTTGAAAAATGAATATGCGTTTAATTTGAAGAATTTAAATATGCAACATTTATTTTGTTAATAGATCAGGTTTTGAAATTAAGCGTATACCTTTTAGGACTAGCACATCTTAGTTATTTGCCTGACAAAAATGTGCAACATTGCACTTTGCAATTGATTGGTATGCAGTTACAAAATATTGAGGCAACCATAGTATGTACAAATCATTTTCTTTTATTTATTTTGCATATACTTTATACAAAGTTATATAATTTCTTTCCACTGAAAATTGTATTCAAAATTATTTGGAATTTTACATCAGGTATTTATTATCAATTTAAAGAAATATTACACACAGAACTTATCATAATTAAGTATTGTGACATGCTCGGAAGTTTTATAAGTTAATTAGTACTTATTTGTACTTTTTCAAGAATTTAAATGTCGATTTATTTCAAATCAACTTCGATATGTTCAAAGTGCGTGAAGTTGTTTAGGGTCTTAGCGTCTCAAAAAAACGGAAAAGTCGCTAATTTTGAAGAAAACCGCTATTTTTTATTTTTCTATTTCTATGGTGGAACGCTAAATGGTACTTCAACCCGCAAGAAGCGAGGACCATTGTAAATATATAGATATCTTGTTAGAGTTTAATTCCCCACACAACGAACCTACATTGTGTGGCGTACCTACACAAAGAAATTCTATGTAGGAATGGCACTTTCAAAATATTTTCGTCGTTTTAAATTAGTTATTTGACAATAAACTATTATTCTCTTTTTTTTTATATCACTTTTGCCCATGAAATGTAAAGTGCTCGATAAAATAGCTTGCTACTTAAAATGTGCTTTTCAACATTTCATTATTTATCTATTTCGAAAATGCTATAATTCATCTCTCACTTTACAGTACAAAGCACGTGTGCACCAATACATAACCTGAACATAATAGTGCATGCGTTATAAAAGTTAGAGGTTGAATATGAATATAGTAATAGATATTACATATATTAAATTATTTGAAAGATATTTGATGAACTATTGAAGCCTATTGTTTTAAATTGGTGATAATGATGGGGAACAAGAGACATAACTGGAAAGCAAGAAATGTTGCAAAAGTTGAAATTGACAACTCTCAAACGAAAAAGGTTAATTTTTAAAAACATGTGATTTCATAAATAAAGAGATTTGTTATTTAATTTTATTTTTTACGCAGATCACATTAGATATTAAGTATCACAAGGATAATTATGATGCATGTAACACATTAGTTCTTCCAAGCAAAAAAAGGAAAACAAGTAGTAAAGTTGAAACAGTAATTACAACTCGATTGCTGTCCAAGAAACGCAGAAAACAATTGGAAAAAGTTGTAGAAAAAAAGAAAAAGAAATTGAATGTAAGTTAAATCAATATACAAATTGCTCTGGCTGGAAATAATTATTCCATTTGTCAACAGAGAGCTACACTTTTAGAAGAATTAGCAAAGGTTCAAGCACCACAGGAAGAACTGAAGCATTACGTATCTTTAACGAGTATTCAGACAAAAGGCTTGAAACGTCATTTTAGAGAAATAGATGTACCTACAAAAAAATTCGCAGTTAAAACAAATGACAAAGATGAAAACGATACCACAGAAGTATCTATAAATTCTATTAAAGGTAGTAGGAGAAAAAGATTAGCAATTTTAAAGAATCAAAGGGAAAAGGAAGCCAATTCTGATCCAAATGTTGTTGGATTCTCTGTAAGTTAATTTGAAAAGTAATATTGAAATAAATACTTAATCAGCTGTGTTTTAGGATTCCAGCAGTAGCACATCGGAATCTGACTATAGCGAACCAGAGTATAATGGCAGTGAATTAGAATCAAATGTAAATCATGATGTTAGACAAGATGTAAACATACAGAAAAGTACAACTTCTACAAAATATATACAAGATCATACTGAAAATATAAACGATTCTATCGATAAAGATCATCAATCATATGATAGTATTAGTTCAGAGAAAAAAGAAACAAAAAACGAGGTGCCTGATACCATAGACAAGAAACCTGCTGATTTTGTAACAGTACAAAGAAAACCAGAAATTCAAGTAGCTAGACTGAAATTGCCCATAGTAGCGGAAGAACAAGTTATCGTAGAGGCAATTAACGACCATTCCGTTGTGATAATTACCGGTGAAACAGGAAGCGGTAAAACGACTCAGGTACCACAGTTTCTATATGAAGCTGGTTATGCTCGTGAAAAGATGATAGGAATAACCGAGCCCAGAAGAGTGGCCGCAATATCAATGAGCAAACGTGTAGCAGAAGAAATGAATCTTACTGAAAAGGAGGTTTCGTATTTAATTCGCTTCGAAGGAAACACAACATCGACGACAAAAATCAAATTCATGACTGATGGTGTTTTACTGAAGGAAATTCAAAGTGTAAGTAATCATTTAAATAAAATATGAATTCTTTTAACCATCAAGGTTTCCAATGTTTCAGGACTTTTTACTTACGAAATATTCTGTAATTATCTTGGACGAAGCACACGAACGAAGTGTGTATACTGATATTTTAATAGGATTATTATCGCGAATAGTACCATTGCGTTATAAAAGGAAGAATCCTCTAAAACTTGTAATAATGTCGGCTACATTACGAGTAGAAGAACTTGTAGAAAATGATAGGCTGTTTAAACAGAAACCGCCAGTATTGTCTGTAGAATCAAGACAGTTTCCTGTTACTATACATTTCAATCGAAGAACCAATCGTAATTATGTCGCAGATGCTTTCAAAAAAGCGGTAAAGATACATACTCGTCTTCCCGATGGTGGAATTTTAATCTTTTTAACAGGTATGTTCGTAACTCTGAATTACATACATTCGATATTCATCGATGAAATTTTAGGGCAAAAGGAAGTGAATAATGTGGTTAGAAAATTACGTCGAGCTTTTCCCATAAAGAATAGGAAAGAAACAGCGAAGACAATTCTTAAAGACAAAAACAGACATTCTGCAAGAATAGAAGAAAATATGGATGGTGTGGAAACGGAACAAGCTATAGAAGACAATAGCGACGATGATAATTTTGATAATGATTTTAGTAGCAAGGAAGCTATTCGTTATAATAAATTACGACGAAAGAAGCAAATTCAGCTACCGAGCATTAATCTGGACGAGTACGTAGATCTGTTTAAAATCGTTTAAAAATATTGATGATAATTTGAGATATTTTTAGTTATTCTGTGATTCCGGCTGACGATACTCATGAAGATTTAATCGAAATAGAAGATGAAGAAGAAGGACAATTAGATGAAGACGAAGACGAAGATAACGACGTTATTGATTTAAACACTTTGGCAAATGCACAACCCTTATGGGTTTTACCTCTCTATTCTCTTTTACCAACTCATGAACAAGCAAAGGTAATGATAACATTATCCAGCACGTACGTTAAAATAATTAAAGGACCGTTCTAGGTATTCGAACCACCGCCAGAAAAATATAGATTATGCGTAGTTGCTACTAATGTAGCAGAAACTTCGCTGACTATACCCAATATAAAATATGTAATAGACTGTGGACGCTGTAAAATAAGATTATACGATAAAGTAACTGGTGTAAGTACATATCAGGTTTGTTATACGAGTAAAGCATCAGCTAATCAACGTGCAGGGAGAGCTGGTAGAACTGGACCTGGTCATTGCTACAGGTGTTTATCTATATACGTTACTTTAAATGGTATATAAACAATTTTATTAAATATTACTTTTAGGCTATATTCTTCAGCAGTGTTTAATGATCAATTTGAAGAGTTTAGTCAATCAGAAATTCAAAGGAAACCCGTGGATGATTTGCTCTTACAGATGAAAGTAATGAATATTGATAAAGTTGTGAATTTTCCATTTCCAACTCCTCCAGATATTATACAACTAAAAACAGCTGAACAGCGATTACAAATTCTTGGTGCTTTACAACACTCGTCACTTAATGAAAAAGGTACGAACATTTATAATTCTTATTCACTGTGGATTTAAATAATCTTAAATATTCTTATTTAGGTTCATACAGCGCAAAAATTACACCGCTTGGTCACAGCATTGCCGCATTTCCTGTTGCTCCTCGTTATGGAAAAATGTTAGCCCTTTCGCATCAACATAATCTTTTGTCATACACAGTGTGTATGGTCGCCGCCCTTTCTGTTCAGGAAGTTCTGATAGAAGCATTTAATACGGATGGTGCTTCGAAAAAGTGGCTGCAGATGAGACGTTTTTGGGCTGGAATAGGAAATAGTTTACTTCTTGGTACAGAGATCACGCACGCATTACGAAAATTAATTAAACATACAACATTTGATAAATTAAATATGTATTTTACGTAAAGGCGATCCGATGGTCTTAATTAGAGCCGTAGGGGGTGCAGAATATGCTGGAACCAAAGGGAAGTTGCTCTCTTTCTGCGAAGAACATGGCTTACGACATAAGGCAGTCGTAGAAATAAGGAAACTTAGGCAACAACTCACAAACGAGATCAATTTAAATATTCAAAATTTGAATCTTACTATCGATCCAGAGTATGTATCGTTCGACATTTACATCTTATTCCAGGTATAAAACAATTATTTGTATTATTTCAAATATTCGTCCAGAATGAAACCTCCGCTCGATACCGAAGCTAAATTGCTTAGGCAAATAGTTCTCGCCGGAATGGCTGATCAAGTTGCAAAAAAAGTAATGCCCGATGAAGTCAGCGAAGACCAGGACAAAAACAAATGGAAATATGCTTACAAGTAGAATGCAAATTTTTTTTAAATTATTTTGTTTGTTTCATATACAAAACATTACGCGTATATTTCTTGTTTAGAACCATGAATATGGAAGATCCAGTATTTATGCATTCGTCGTGTGTTCTTCGAAGAACATGTCCTGAATGGGTAGTTTATCAAGAAGTTTATGAAACGAATAAAATGTATATGCGTGGAGTTACAGCCATAGAACCAGAATGGTTGCCCAAATTTGCTCCATCCTTATGTCGGCTTGGAGAACCTTTGATTGATCCACCTCCAAGGTTTGACTCGTATACCTCCAATTTTTACTATTTTCAACTTCGTTGTTTACATTACACGTATATTTTAAATAGATACGATGTAGGAACTGGAAAGGTTATGTGTAATATAACAGGAACATTTGGAAAAGTTGGTTGGAAATTGCCAGTAATGGAAGTGGAACATCCATTATCTATGGCAGGAGTTAAATGGTTTGCGTGCTTTCTTTTAGAAGGAAAAGTATGCTCAAAATTACAACAATTCGTTCCTTCGTTATTAACAACACCACAGAGTATCAATAAATCCTGGGCCAAGTAAGATATATATATATATATATATGTATATACACAATAAATATACACGTTCAAAAGTTAAAGAAAGATTTAACTTATGTTACATGTCAGACTGATACCACGAACACAGGAAATAACACAACATTTACTATCTCGTGGAATTATGTCGAAAGAGAGATTATTAGAAACTTGGGAGGAAGATAAAAGTTGTAGGTATATACTTTTTCAGATATGGATATGATTGATCAATTAATTAATATGGATAATGATTAATTTCAGTTCTTTTGTCGGCCTATCAGAAATGGTTACCGGAATCTATTCATGGTCATGTTACAGTTATTTGGCCACCTGTATAATAAACTATATACTTATGTACAATTGTATATTGTAATTGTATACTTAAACTCTGCAATATACGAAAATCCAATAGAGCAATGCAGTTCAACAGTTATTTATTCAGTAAAAACTATTGCATATAACTTAACTAATAGCTCTATTACGATTTTACATGTAAATTTATAAATAAACATTTGATGTTTTATGTCCATTGGATAATAACATCTATTTTCCAATAAATTAACTTATTCTAGACTACCCATTATTCATCAACAGAACACGATGGTGCAAGGAATGCATGTGATGAACAAAAGTATAATGAGATATTTACATATTTTCATAGCTTTGCGGTAACTTAAAATTTGCGCGAGACACGGATACACTAAATTTTTATTCTACACAGTAGAAGTTATCTTTAATTGAGTTATTGGCAGTGCTATGACATTAGAAACATTGTAACAAATGTTTAAAAACAATTATTACATCATTCAGCTTTTATCACCTTCTTCTCTTTCTTCTTAATTGGATTCTTTTTACAATCTTTGTAAATATTATTAAGGTCAAATGTTGCTTTTATATTATCCTACAAAATATTTTCCTTTCACTATATGGTACATAATTTAAAAGAAATATATTACTTATAATTTATTGATGAATATATACTTACCAATGAAAAAAGAAATTTAACTAGTTTGCCTTTATGATCCGCATACGGACGTCGTTCTATCTCTTTACCTTCCTTAAAAAGAATTAAGGTAGGAAGTTGTTTACTAGTACTGGCATCGCTAATATGATACTTCACTCCTGCATCCGGGTACCTTCCAATATCTACTTTTCCAAAAAGTTAAAGAAAGATTTAACTTATGTTACATGTCAGACTGATACCACGAACACAGGAAATAACACAACATTTACTATCTCGTGGAATTATGTCGAAAGAGAGATTATTAGAAACTTGGGAGGAAGATAAAAGTTGTAGGTATATACTTTTTCAGATATGGATATGATTGATCAATTAATTAATATGGATAATGATTAATTTCAGTTCTTTTGTCGGCCTATCAGAAATGGTTACCGGAATCTATTCATGGTCATGTTACAGTTATTTGGCCACCTGTATAATAAACTATATACTTATGTACAATTGTATATTGTAATTGTATACTTAAACTCTGCAATATACGAAAATCCAATAGAGCAATGCAGTTCAACAGTTATTTATTCAGTAAAAACTATTGCATATAACTTAACTAATAGCTCTATTACGATTTTACATGTAAATTTATAAATAAACATTTGATGTTTTATGTCCATTGGATAATAACATCTATTTTCCAATAAATTAACTTATTCTAGACTACCCATTATTCATCAACAGAACACGATGGTGCAAGGAATGCATGTGATGAACAAAAGTATAATGAGATATTTACATATTTTCATAGCTTTGCGGTAACTTAAAATTTGCGCGAGACACGGATACACTAAATTTTTATTCTACACAGTAGAAGTTATCTTTAATTGAGTTATTGGCAGTGCTATGACATTAGAAACATTGTAACAAATGTTTAAAAACAATTATTACATCATTCAGCTTTTATCACCTTCTTCTCTTTCTTCTTAATTGGATTCTTTTTACAATCTTTGTAAATATTATTAAGGTCAAATGTTGCTTTTATATTATCCTACAAAATATTTTCCTTTCACTATATGGTACATAATTTAAAAGAAATATATTACTTATAATTTATTGATGAATATATACTTACCAATGAAAAAAGAAATTTAACTAGTTTGCCTTTATGATCCGCATACGGACGTCGTTCTATCTCTTTACCTTCCTTAAAAAGAATTAAGGTAGGAAGTTGTTTACTAGTACTGGCATCGCTAATATGATACTTCACTCCTGCATCCGGGTACCTTCCAATATCTACTTTTCCAAATTTCAAATTTTCTAAGGCATATCTAAAAATATTTTTAAACGCTATTATATTCAATGAAAGATTGATCGATCTAAATAAAAAATGACACATAACATACTCTGCAGAAAGTTCAGAGAATATTGGTGCAAAATTAACACATGCTGGATTCCATGCAGTATAAAATGCGACCAGCCAAATGATTCTAGTATCACGATACAGTTCTTCTTGTAATCCGTTTGCACCACGTAAATAAGTTACATTTTCTGGACCCTGATACGTTGGTTCGGGGAGTAATAAACCGCATACTTTAAATATAACGTAATATATAAATTAATTAATACACGATGGTACAGAGATCTACTATGTTATCAATTAAATACTTACAAATAAATACAATAGCAAATATAATTCCCATACGAATATCCGCGTAAAACCAAAGGATCAGATTGGCAATTTTAGTGTACACAAAACTGGATGACAAGTAGTTTATCATAGTGACACTTCCAGTTTTCCGTGTCCTTATCATTATGACAATCATAAGAAAAAATAAAATCTCTGTTTCCCTCTAAGATAAAAATACAGTTTCTATTACGATCAGGTAAAATTCTACAACAAGCCTTTTAATATTTTCAAATTACTCACTCCATCGAGTTCGCACTCAACTTGTGCAAACAGATAATGACATATAATAGGAAAACGTTTCGAGACAATATACGAAATGCTGAGTAAAATGTTTATCAAATAATAAGGCTTCAACAGAAGCCGCAAATCCTTTTTAAAAGGCATTTTCAGAAAACGATGAGTATTTGTAGGTTATGTACAACTATTACAGTAAAAGTCACTTTCGATGAAACTGTTTCAACTCAAGTCATTTAATGGTGTATTTTACTTAATTTATCGATGTAATGTTTAAAGTCTTATTTTATGACAAAAATAAATACGCTTTTACATTGAGTACAAATTAATCATTTCAACAAACCGCTCCATGTTTATTAAATTTTCGATCCAAGTCAAGATTTTTTGCACACGATTAATCTTGTATTTAATACTTGAATATTTCATGAAATAATAACGAAATTAGTATAAACAAGGCAGAACGTTATGAAATTAATATTTCAAGTTTTTCATTGCTTAATAGATTATCGCAATTAAAAAAATGTAACGAATATAAATATATAAACGAATTATGTTTGGTTTAGGTATAAAATCACAGACAAGATATAGGATAGACCAGTTATGATATTGTTTTTGTTGTACATCTCACTCCAGCCCCGTTACCATTCTTGTGTCACAACCTACCATATCAATTAGGACAAATTTTTCAACTTATGACATTGTTGTTCGTGTCGCACGATCTGAAATATGAACATCGTCAAAAATACATTTTTCGACAGCCAGTATTTTCTTAAAATATTTTTGAAATATTTTAAAAGCTCAGATCCTAAATTTTCACATTTTCACATTCATATTTACGCGCGTTTTCGTTGGTAGTAGTACCATTAAAGTATATTTTATCAAGTATATATGAAAATGAAGCTTTCAAAAATTTAGGAGAAATATGAAATAACAAAAATAATGGCTATATATTATACTTCGTCCGTGATGAAAGCATGCAAATATCATTTCAATTGGAATAGATAATCATATACCAGTTGAATATATATATATACACATATATATGTTCTAATCATATAGGATTTTTCCATTAGATAGATAAGATATCTTTAATATTTATAGGTAACTGTAATTTTATTAAAATCTTTGATTATATAATATATTTATTCTACAATGAAAATATTATATGATTAAATATACAATAAAATCTATTCAACTTTTTCAGCGGTTCATTGACATCAACAAATTATTTGATATCCAATACTAATATTGCAATTGTACAACACATAACATCAGAGATATATCCCTACTCTGCTGCTGAACAAAGATCTCTTAGCTTATAAATCTTTTGTACCGATCAGCAGTTAGTAACTGAATTTTAAACATGAAGTTCTTAACAGCTGTTTGCTTGGTTGCTCATATTTGTCTAACAATCTGCAAAGAAAGTTCTGTCTCCAATACAAGTATTCCTTTAGTTCTCATTACATGGGATTACGAAGGTGCTACTCAAAAAGGTAAATCTGACCTGTATAACTCCTGAAAAGCAACACGATATTAATAAAAATGTTTTCTATTTATTTTTAGCATGGGATGTTCTGTATCATGAAAAGAGAAGCGCTTTAGATGCTATAGAAGAAAGTTGTAGTCTCTGCGAAGAACAAAGATGCAGGAAAACTGTAGGATATGGAGGCAGCCCGGACGAAGCCGGAGAAACTACATTAGATGCTTTAATTATGGACGGGTAGAATTATTATTTATTTAGAAATACATTAATTTTATAGCAATTATATTTGTGAATTTATTTATTCGTTTACAGTGTTACAATGGATGTTGGAGGAGTGGGTCTTTTAAGGAACATTAAAAATGCAATTTCTGTTGCACGCAAAGTTCTCCATAACACTAAGCATTCTTTACTCGGTGGGAACCTGGCAACAAAATTTGCGGTAGAAATGGGATTCAAAGAAGAATCCTTACAAACCGAAGAGTCTAAAAGTATGTGGGAAGATTGGAAAGCTAACAATTGTCAGCCAAATTTTTGGAAGGTAAAGCGTCGCAAATATCAAACTATTAACAGGCAAATTAAATAACGTTAGAAGCGAAAGATCTGTGCGTATCAAATAGAATTGCTAACTTTGATCATCTAATATTATATGTTGTTTGTTCAGAATGTATTGCCAGATCCTGAAGAGAATTGTGGTCCGTATCATACTATGGAAAGTTTCATGAATAACAAAGAGAAAGAACACGAATCGTATGTAACCGAAGAAAATCACGACACGATCGGAGTTATAGCGATAGATTCGAACGGGCACATAGCGGCTGGTACATCGACAAATGGCGCTAGAAACAAAATTCCTGGTCGTATCGGAGATTCTCCGATTGCAGGCGCAGGTGCTTACGCTGATCAAAGTGTTGGTGCAGCTGCTGCAACCGGTGAAGGCGATATCATGATGCGGTTTTTACCTAGGTAAAAAGAAATTGAACTGGGTAGAAAATATCTGTGGAAAATGGAAAATAAAATTTCGTCGATTTCAGCTTTTTAGCCGTGGAAGAGATGCGACGTGGTGCTACTCCCAGCGAAGCTGCAGCAACAGCTGTCAGTAGAATCGCTGAACATTATCCGACATTTACTGGTGCAGTAATTGCCATAAATAAAAACGGAGAATATGGCGCAGCGTGCAATGGTATTACTCGTTTTGCACATTATGTTGCTAATCCTGAGTTAAAAAAACCAACCATGCTTTATGTAAATTGTATAGATTTTGAAAGTACAAAATATGAAGTTAATTTGCTGCAGAATTAAATAAATTAATCGTGATCGGTTATTGCACCGAATTATAATAATTCGTTTGTAATTTTATCAGTTATGTCGTTAATGCGATATTACATATATGTAATAAAAATATTATCGTATCAAGGAAATAAATATGAAATTTTTCTATGTACGCATATTAGTATATGTTATTATTTAAAAACCAGAAGAATAATAAAATGAAATTATCAATCGAGTTTGTATAATTCATCGGGTTCTCCTAGATGTCAGGGCAATCATTGTTTGTGACTTGTGGTGTTTGTGTCGCTGAAAGTGATGTTTCGATTTGGATGCAATATTTAATAGGTTTATCAAATAATTAATCGAGAAATATTATTTTCTGGTTGTTGAGAGGAGAAATTTGAGAAGAGTAAACGTATGTTTTGTACCGAATTTTTCTTGGATTTAATTATTCTTAATATTTGTTTGTACGTAAGTTACGCTCGTTTTAATCGATTAACCTTATTCATCAGACATCTAAAGGGAAGAAGAAAAATGCCAGAAACGTCGGAAGAGGACATGGGAATGTCCGTTCGTTTGACGAACGATGATTTTCGAAAATTATTAATGACGCCAAGAGCATCGGTTCCATCCGCTACGCCAGCGTCCGTACCAGGAACGGTTAGAGATGCTAGTGCAAAAACTGCCCAGACACCAAATATCAGCGGTGGCAGTAGAGCAGAGCTTCGAAGGAAAAAGAAAAGTTTCTACGCTAAATTGAAAAAGCAAGAAGAGGATAAGATGGCAGAATTAGCGGAAAAATATAGGGACAGAGCAAGGGAACGTAGAGACGGCACGAATCAAGATTATCAAGCGGAAGATCCAATGAATAGCGCCAGCGCGTATCGTGCTGTTGCGCCTGATTTGAAATCCGGTATGGACGCTGCCGAACGCAGGAGACAAATGATTCAGCAGTCAAAATTCTTGGGAGGCGACATGGAGCATACTCACTTGGTAAAGGGATTGGATTACGCCCTTCTGCAAAAGGTAATACTTTGAAACACGAAAGGTCGCATGCATCGGATGGATAACATTATCCGACTAAGATTTTGTTTGATAGGTGAGAAGCGAAATAGAGGCTAAAGAACACGAACAAGAGCAGGAAATGGAGAAATTGGTGAAACCGAAAGATAAAATTAAAGAGAAGAAGGAGGGAGAAAAGAAGGACGATGAAATGCAATTCAAAACGAAAATAGGACGTAACGTGTACAGAACCGTAATGACAATGAAATCGAAACAAATCGAAAGAAACGAGTTATTTACACCGGGTCGTATGGCTTACGTGATAGAGCTGGACGACGAGAATACAGACGTAGATATACCGACCACTTTGATCAGAAGCAAAGCGGACGTACCGACCACGGATAACACTCCTACTTTGACGACGAACGATATCGTGATAAACAAATTAGCGCAAATCTTATCGTATTTACGACAAGGCAATCGTCACGGGAAGAAAGGAAAGAAGAACAAAGACGGACGATCTAGGCCTGACGATATGAACGATATGGATATCGCTCCGAGACCTCAGGACGAAAGTATTTACGGGGATATCGGCGATTACGTTCCAACTATTGGGAAGAAAGATGCGAATCCGTCGTCTCGAGAGAAAAAGAAAGGTTCTTATTTCGACAAATCGGAGAATACTCTGGATACAGACGACAAAGCGAATACTCCGCAATTACCGAGTATAGCAGTTTCGAATTCAGAAAGTAATGCTCCTAAGAAAGGGGCGCTTCTGAATAAATTAGCCGCAGAGCCGGAAGGTTATGCGGAATGCTATCCAGGTTTGGACGAGATGCAGGATGCCATAGACGATTCGGACGACGAAGTAGATTATACCAAGATGGATCTTGGTAACAAGAAAGGCCCTATCGGAAGATGGGACTTTGATACTCCGGAGGAGTACAGCGAATATATGAATAACAAGGAAGCACTGCCGAAAGCGGCATTCCAGTATGGAGTTAAAATGGCCGACGGAAGGAGGACCAGAAAGTACAATAAAGAAAAGAACGAGAAAGCAGAGTTGGACAGAGAATGGCAGAAGATTCAAAATATCATGAATAAGAGGAAACCTACGACGATGTTGGATGGGGCTGGGGAATTTAAAGTACCTAGATATTAAGAAATCTAATATATTACAATTAATTACGCAATTAGTTAAGTTTACGTTGTAGCGTGGTAGCAGGCGTCGAACCAACTACCGGCGCAATAAAAGATTCAACGTTATTTTTCAAATAACGCGATCTCTCGAAAATTGCATTATCAACGTTTCCACGTAATCAAATACTTATATAAACTACTTATTTGTCTCGGTGAAAGATCTGCACATCCGTGACCTAAAACTGACTCGAACCGGTAGCAGACGAGTCGGGTAAACAGCTTATCTAAGACCTCTGACCGATCTATAAGGGGGATTTTTCAGCGAAACCTGTTTATACCGGTAAAAACTTGTAGAGAAAAGCAGAACGTTGCCTACGATTCGATATCAATCAGGGGAGTTACGCAAAGTAATAGAGAGAACGAATCGTAAGCAAGTATTAAGCTATCCTTTGCTCTATTCTATCTCGAATTATTCTATCTCGATCGAATACTAATTTAATAATTAGTTAATAATAATTTCGTTCGTTGCCAGCATTTCTTCGAAATTAAACAGACGATTAACTTGTAATCGTGTATTAATAAACAAGTCGAAGATAAGGAAAGCGAGCACGTCGAAGAAAATCGCTGCGAGATCACCGCTAAGTTCTTGACCCTTCGCGCCGATACGCTGTAGCTTATATAAACGCGCGTTCCTGGCTTTAAACCAGTGTTCACAGTCGTTAGTCGCGGCTCGCGGGTCAGTAGCCTAGCAAAGTCTGCGTAGCGGAGCGAGAACTCGTGCCGAGAAGCGATAGAAAATCGAAAAAAGTCGGAAAAGTGAACGTTCCATAGATTCGCATAGATGCTATTTCTTCGAAACTTTCTCTCGTTGCGTTCCTACGTCGTCAATATCGTAAGATCTCTTACACGAAAACCTGTTGTTTGTAAATACAATAGCATAGGTGTATAGCTTGGGAGCAATACACACGGTGTAGAGGCGGTAGAAAACTAACGCTGCTAGCACGTTCTATCGCATTAATCGTAGTTTACTTTCCCTCGCACCTTCCTTCGCTCCTTTTCTTTTCTTTTCTCTAAAAGATACTAAAGAGAAGAGGTTCGTTTAAAGAGCGACAATTAGCCGAGACAGATTCGCGTTTTACAAACAGGTACGTATTAGGTGCACATATAGTCGAGTTAGTAAGACTAACATCAAGCATGTTAGATATTGGCTGTCCATTCGATTAACCGTGTACATAGGTGGATATATATCGTTGAATTTTGCGCGAACGCTTTTAAATCCGTAGACGACAATGGCGCAACTGAAAGTAGCTATAATCGGTCAGAGCCCGTTCGCGGCCGAAGTTTACAAGCTACTCAAGCAAAATGGTCATCAGATCACGGGAGTGTTCACTATTCCCGATAAAGGAAATCGAGAGGATCCTCTAGGTAATCGAAATGATTTTCGTTAGCTAGTAATTTTACTAGTTCGTTCGTTGATATTTCATTGGAAACTATCGTGTTCCGAACGTAGCCGTGACGGCGAAAGCTGACGACACCCCGGTCTTCAAAATCAAATCGTGGAGGAGCAAGGGTGTACCATTGCCGGACGTGTTGGAACTCTACAAAGGGATAGAGGTCGACTTGAACGTCCTTCCATTCTGCAGTCAATTTATTCCCATGGAGGTGATCAATCATCCTCGCAATCGCAGCATATGCTACCATCCGTCACTGTTGCCCAGGCATCGTGGCGCGAGCGCCATAAACTGGTTAGTTGGTTGACCCGCAATCGACGTAATAACAGTGCTAGAATCGTATAACGTAATAAGGGAAACCGTTCACTGCGCGAACTACGTTTATCCGTTTTATTATTATCCTATCGTTTCGTTTGCCGGATATCGAGAAACGTAACGATAAGAAGAACCGATAAGCGCGCTTTATATCGGTTGAACGCGTTCGTTGCAACGAAATATGTTCGCAACGAAACCGAAACTATTCTTATTATTAGACTCGATCGCATCGATTCCGTAGGACTCTGATCGAAGGAGACTCGACCGCGGGATTCTCGATCTTCTGGGCCGACGATGGTCTCGACACCGGTCCAATCTTGTTGCAAAGATCTTGCAAAGTGGAACCGCACGACACCGTGGACACGCTCTACAACAATTTCCTCTATCCCGAAGGAATCAAAGCCATGGGGGAAGCCGTAGACCTCGTGGCTCGGGGAATAGCGCCCGCCATTCCTCAGACGGAGGAAGGAGCCACTTACGATCCCATGTTGAACAAGAAAGAGCTTCAAAAGATCGACTGGTCCAAGCCTGCTAAGCAGATTCACGATTTCATCCGTGGCCTCGACAGCACTCCAGGAGCCTGGACCACTATCAACGACGAGGAAGTCCGTCTGTTCGGGTCTAGCCTGTGGAACACCGATCAGGTTCCTGCCGGCGAGAGCCAGGTCAACGTCGAAAACAGATCGGGCATCGTTCACGAAGGTGGACTATTGATCAACACCGTCGACGATCGGTTCGTCAACGTGCAGAGAATTAAAATCGGAACGAGGACGATTCCTGCCAGCAAATATGGTCAGAAATGCGAGGATACGGTGATCCAGTTTACGGAGGAGGAACTGAAGATGGTCGATACCGTTAGGGACATCTGGAACAGCATCTTAAACACGGAAATCGACGACGAGACCGATTTCTTCGCGTGCGGTACGTGCCACCACTATTTAATAATCGTTTATTCGTATTCGCTATTAATAGTTTACCGCTTAATAGCTTACCGCGATTCGATAATCTGAAACACGAGCTGCTCCCTTTACAGGAGGTGGAAGCATGGACGTTGTCAGGCTGGTCGAAGAAGTGAAAGACAATCTAGGAGTCAGCTTGCAAAACATAGACGTATTCATGAATCCGGAATTCGTTCGATTCGTGACCGCGGTAGTCCTAGCAGCCAGGGGAATCTCCGCTTCCAAGGAGATCAAATACGATGCCGTAGAGTTGCAAGCGAACAATATGAATGTCAAGTTTCCGAAGCAATTATTCATCGATGGAAAGTTCGTGAACGGCGGTGGAAAACCCATCGATACCGTGAATCCTCACGACGAAACCGTCATCTGTTCCGTAGAGTGTGCTTCCGTGGAAGACGTGGACAGAGCAGTGAAAGCCGCCAAGGCGGCGTTCGAACAGGGCGAATGGAGCAAGATCAGCGCGAGGGAACGAGGTGCTCTTCTATTCAAGTAAATATCGTATCTGTGTAATAATTGATCGCGTATCGAGACTGTTCCGCTAAATTTATAGTCGAAACTCGGCATTTATAGGCTGGCAGATTTGATGGAAAAACACAAGGAAGAGCTGGCTACGATAGAGAGCTTGGATTCGGGTGCTGTATACACGTTAGCCTTGAAAACTCACGTAGGAATGTCTATAGAGACCTGGAGGTACTTTGCTGGTTGGTGCGACAAAATTCAAGGCTCCACTATACCGATATCGCATGCCAGACCAAACCGTAATCTATCTTTCACGAGAAAGGAACCTGTCGGAGTGTGTGGTCTGGTCACGCCCTGGAATTACCCTCTAATGATGCTCTCGTGGAAGATGGCAGCTTGCTTGGCAGCAGGCAACACCGTCGTCATGAAACCTGCTCAAGCCTCGCCTTTAACCGCCCTGAAATTCGCGGAGTTGACCGCGTTGGCTGGTTTTCCTCCGGGAGTGGTGAACATCGTACCAGGCAACGGTTCCGTTACAGGAAACGCTATATGCGAACATCCGATGATCAGGAAGCTTGGATTCACAGGCTCCACGCAAATTGGTCAGTCCATAATGAGATCCTGCGCCGACAGTAACTTGAAAAAGGTCTCTCTGGAGTTGGGCGGCAAAAGTCCCCTCGTCATATTCGAGGACGCTGACATTCAGCAGGCAGTTAGGCTCGGTATGAGCAGCGTCTTCTTCAACAAGGGTGAAAACTGCATCGCTGCCGGTACGTTTTCTATCGTATAGTATCCCTTTTACAACGACGAAAGCGGAATCAAAATGTTAAATGCTATTTGTACCAATATTTTTTTTATCGCGAAACAGGTCGATTGTTCGTGGAAGAGAGGATACACGATGAATTCGTGAGAAAGATAATCGAGGAAACGAAGAAAATTTCCATCGGTAACCCGCTGGACAGAAGAACGGCGCACGGACCACAAAATCACAAGGCTCATCTGGACAAGTTGGTGGATTTCGTGAATCGTGGCGTGAAAGAAGGAGCTAAGTTAGTTTACGGTGGCAACAGACTGGATCGTCCTGGCTGGTACTTTGAACCAACGATATTCACGGACGTCGAAGACGATATGTACATAGCGAAAGAAGAATCGTTCGGTCCGATAATGGTCATCTCGAAGTTCAGCTCGAAGAATATGGAGCAAGTGATCGCCAGGGCTAATAATACGGAATACGGTTTAGCTTCCGGCGTCTTGACCAAAGATATTAGCAGAGCATTGAGATTCGCGGAGAAAATCGAGGCTGGCACCGTGTTCGTCAACACTTATAACAAGACAGACGTTGCTGCACCGTTCGGTGGTTTCAAGATGTCCGGCTTCGGCAAGGATTTGGGTCAGGAAGCTTTGAACGAGTACCTGAAGACGAAGACCGTTACTATAGAGTACTAGCCATCGTTTCATTTTTATTCGTCTTTCATTTTTATATTCGCTGATCGCCTATTAAGCACTCGTCTTTGTAAATCATTCTATTTATACTAATAAATTCTTTCGAAAATTTTCGAACGCTCTCTGTACTTTCGAACCAGCCAGAGACGCAGAGAACTCGCGGGGGAGAGCAGCGTAGACCAGAGAGCAAAATCTCGCTCCCACGCGCACCAACTACATAAACAGTTTTTGTAAAGACGCAGCCTCTTTCGAAACCATCCAGATGCTTCGACTCGGTTTTTTATTCAAAGGGACGAGTGTGCTCGGTTCCGTGGATAGACGGCCGTTACGCTATTCAACTTTTCTCGCTTGTCCCCCTCCGACGCGACGCTTCTCTTTCTATGCTTATCTATTTTCCTACACGATGCGATGCTAAGCGACAAACGGATTATCCTCTCTTCGCGTGCGTCGCTGCACGCGAGATTACGCGCTCGAAATTATTACAATAAAAAATTACTTCTATTACTAAAATGAAAAAATTACATCTATTTTTTCCCTCGCTTGTCTCCTGTTTCTATGGAAATTTCGACATTTTACCTCGTACGAGAACCTACGAAAGCATCGCGCACTTTGCGGACTAACAAAATGATTCGAGTAACCGACCCCCTAATTATCTTAAACGCTGCGCATCCAACATGGGATCGGACTAAAGCAAACACAGCACGCGAAACGTTAACTAGGAGGCAAACGGAAAGAAGCTTCCCTCTGAGCCTGCGAACACGCGTTTCTCGTACCCACGACTCGTAACATCTCCCTCCTCCCTTAAAACCTCCTCTATACTCTATACGTATACGTACATAAATAATACATATACATATAGATAGAGCGGGTGTGCGTATGGTCAAGAATCGTAAGGGCGAGCACAGCTGTTCCTTTCTTCCTTTCTTCCGTTCCACGAGTCCCACTCGAGAAAAACACCCTCGACAATAGTTCCGTTTCAAAGAATACGGTTCGCTGGTAAATTCATCACGCTTTCTATCGTTCGAATCATCGTTTCAAGCATCGATCCTATCTCGACGAAAATTCGAAGATCATACTTTTCCGAAGAAGAAAGAGAACTTTTCGACGCGTCGAACGAGAACGAGAACGAGAACGAGAAAGTTAGTTTCAGCTGAGAGTTTCAGGGATCGAGAGATTTCGAGTTAATTCGAGGATGACTCGACTACGGTTCCTCCGCTTGGTATTATTCATCGTGGACAGGAAATGCAAATTTTTCCGTGGCCCCTTGGCACAGGACAGTGCACTCTGACCCTTTCCCAGTCCCCGTTGCTTCCTCCCTTCTATCGTTTTATTTATCTCGCTTTCTTCCTCTTATAGTACGCTATTGTACGCTTCTTTTTTCGAATTACATAAATCTAAGTATAGAAAATTTGTTTATTCGTAGGCGACGCTGATAACGAAAGCGTTCATATAATAAGGCCTGCGTGTTGCGCGCGAAAGTACAAATGAACTTTTACGCGGGTAGAGACAAAGGTAGTAGAGCTACGTTGGAAAATTTCGATGCTTAGACTTGAATTCGTGATTCGTTTGACGCACGATCACCATCGCCGGCACAGACACATCGGCGTAACTAGACGGACTAGGATAAACTTAATCCTCCACGAACGGAGGAACATAACGCGTTGCGACGCATCACGGGACCGATCTAATAGGTTGCTATATAACGCGTCACGATCCAAGACGCTCTATCCTCGAAGAAAAGTTCTGGTTACGCCAATGGACACATCCCGTATCAATGTGTTGCGGTGGGTCCCCTCTTTGCCGAACGCACCACGTGTTTCTCTCTTTCTCTGAGAATTCTCCCTTCTCCGACTCTTCCGCAAATCAAGTTCAGTGTATCAGTTGCCCTCGGGACTCGCTGCAGGATGGTCGCGATATCGTTTCTGTACCCGTTTCGTTTTCGCGCGTTCTCGAGGTTCGCTAGAACGAAGCGAAAGAAAGTGGAGTGCACCGGAACAATCGTCGATCCGTCTCGAAGCTCGTTCGTTTCGTTAACAATTGTTCGTTGTCCGATTCGCCTGCAAGAATATTAACAACGTTTTTCCATATGTTTATGCATGACTTTTTTTTTCAACTGAAGGAAAATAAATAAACACGTTACTAGTTTAGCCGAGTCCAGAGAGGCGCGCAAGCTTCCATGATATCCCGTGAATATCGCGCTGACCGGAAACGAGTATCTTTTTGTGAGCCACGCGCGTTCGATTTGTCGGGTTAGCTTCCGCGACGAACGGATATCTCGACAAGTTTCAATATCTTCTTCTGGACCTAGAACTCGTTGCGTTGCACGGCTAGTATCCCGATACAAAGGGAATTTCAACGATAGGAAGATCTCAGGCACAAAGGGTTTCTCTTCCATCTGATACCAAACCTTCCCTCTAATCGTAACCCTCGGCTACCGACCTCTTCCGTGTTCGCGAGACCTTCCTACCGGGAAAAACGTACAGTTTAACATTCGCTTTCGAGGAGCAGCTGGTGCATGGTTTTTCCTGCTCGACCGATAACAGTCTACAACGAATCACTCTTCTCCGAGATAGATCTTGTTCCTTGCTCGAACGTATTTTCTATTTTTATCCTTAATTAACTCCTTCGTGTACATATCGGTTAGCATAGTAAAATACTAGGCGTTATCTCCCTAATAGGGAGAAACTTCTGTTCGAAACTTTCCTTTAAAATTAAAGAGGAATATGCTCGAGAACACTACATCGAAAATTCCACCGTGCGCGATCCCTTTGTAAACGAAAACGTCCTCGAGTCTAAATAACGCGAAATTTTTAGAGCTTACCTGGATCGAGAGTCGAGAACGGTTTGAAAAAAAAGAAACGATGGACGAAACATTATCGTCGCGATCCACTCTGACTCGTGCACACCGGCTTCTTAATGTTCCTCGAACAGATCGACGGATTAGAATCTATGCAATATCCTTCGTGCGAATTAAAAGCCTAAAATCAGTCCACGCACGGTTCGCGCGCGTTCGTCCGTATAATTGATTCGAAAAGAATGTTTGCTCGACGATTAATTAAATCGAACCTTGACCTGGCTGGAAAGTTCATTTAAATTCTCGCCGTATAATTGAAATACTGGCGTAACTTTCGTTTGCCCGAAATCATTTAATGCCATAATTCGATCGTCGACGCGTTCCATTTGAACGATCGTTGATATCCTGAACGTTCGATTCTGTCGAAAAACGACGTGTCGCGAAACCTGAAGGTACGCGTAGACGCGATCGGCACGCGCGAAGCAGATGTTCGCTGGGTGGTAGAAACGCTGAAAGAGAAGCTTTCTATACCCGCAGAGAAGAGAGGAAGAGAACGGAGTAGGGCTACGGGGCTAAGGAAAAGAAAAGAACCTGGTCAGGTGATCAGAACCTCCACCGATGAGAATTTCTGCCGGTATATTTATCCGACAAACGTTCTCTCTCGGCAAAAATAAATATCTCGATAAATGTTTCTAGAATAGTCACTTTTAAGGATTTACCTTAGATTTTGATGTTGGCGCGTTTATTAATCTGAACAGTGAGTGGTTTCGGTTTACCTTTTATTTATTTCAGCTTGTAATTGTTAAAGGAAAACGTGTCCGAGTTTTCCGTATCTTCTCCTGTCGATTCTAAAGGAAATTTTACCAAGGTGATATCTTGGCTGTTGCAGCTATCCGCCCCTTCCTGTTTCCTCTTTGCAAGTTACTGGCTAATCTCTAGACCGCAGCATCCTGTGGGTGGAGAAACCAGCCTATTATAAAGTTTCTGATCGAAGGGCAAAAATGCTCAAACCGAAATTATTCTTCGCGCAGAGTACATCGTCCGTCGAGTCGACCTCTGGATACCTCGATATCGAACACGAAACTTCCAGTGTTAGTGCGTGGTGTGAAAAGACACGGTTCTTTGTAAGCGGTTCGGTTCAAATCTTCTAAATTGAACAGTGTACATAGACAAGAAGCTTCCAACGCTTTTACAATACTGTTTACAGGAGTGTTCTGGAATTGGAGTACAAACCGAAGAAACGACAAAACGGTTTTATAGATTGGGTGCGTTGCGGCTCGTCATCGGGCACTTTGCTTCTTTTACAATGCAAGCTGCCTTTTGAAGGGCAACAACGTACTCGGTTCTTCGCATCGAAACATTTTCATTACGGTTTTCTTAACAATATTCTTCAACTTATTTGTTTTTCTCCTTTCTCTTTTGTACAAGTAGAAAATCGACGAGTCGTCATTTCACGCGACTACAATAAATAACCGTTTCGCAACAATTCCTGACTACATTTTCTCGCCCTCTTTACACAACAGATACATACAACCAGTGGAATTTTACCGTTTACAGATATTTTATTTCGTCTTAAATAATTAGATCTTATAACTACTAATTATCGAGAGAAATAGATAGATTGAAAGAGAGTGAGAGAGATAGAGATAGATATAGAGAGATAGATAGAGAGAGAGAGAGAGAGAATTGAAAAAAGTGTATGATCGTATGATTGTTGTTAACGAAATAAAACAGTGCAGTAATTCGTTTCACTGTTAACACGTTCCAGGTCCTACGGATGAGCAGTGACCTACGACATTTATCTAGAGGCACAACTTTGATTCGTCGAAGGATAATAATGTTCTTAGATATAACACTGTTTGATTCACCGCTGTACGGGCCAAAACTGTAACAATCCCAACATTCCTAATAATTGAACGTTTTAATAAGATTTTTAAGCTCGACTTTAAACTTTCAACCATCAACAAAGCACGGTGTACAAATGGGGAACATGTTAACGAAAACGAACGCACTCGCATCGCAGTTATCGGTGCCATGGAAAATTCGAGCAAACGAGAAAAAGGTTTTCTGCTCTTTGTTTCGATCTCTTTCCCCGTTTAAAATGTCACGCGTACGAATAACACATTACAGAGCGTAGTTACACGCTCGCAGCGAACACGGGGTTGCGACGCTGAATCGTAATAATCCTCGCGTTGTCAAAAAAAAAAAAAAAAAAAAAAAAAAAAAAAAAAAAAAAAAAAAAAAAAAAAAAAAAAAAAAAAAAAAAAAAAAAAAAAAAAAAAAAAAAAAAAAAAAAAAAAAAAAAAAAAAAAAAAAAAAAAAAAAAAAAAAAAAAAAAAAAAAAAAAAAAAAAAAAAAAAAAAAAAAAAAAAAAAAAAAAAAAAAAAAAAAAAAAAAAAAAAAAAAAAAAAAAAAAAAAAAAAAAAAAAAAAAAAAAAAAAAAAAAAAAAAAAAAAAAAAAAAAAAAAAAAAAAAAAAAAAAAAAAAAAAAAAAAAAAAAAAAAAAAAAAAAAAAAAAAAAAAAAAAAAAAAAAAAAAAAAAAAAAAAAAAAAAAAAAAAAAAAAAAAAAAAAAAAAAAAAAAAAAAAAAAAAAAAAAAAAAAAAAAAAAAAAAAAAAAAAAAAAAAAAAAAAAAAAAAAAAAAAAAAAAAAAAAAAAAAAAAAAAAAAAAAAAAAAAAAAAAAAAAAAAAAAAAAAAAAAAAAAAAAAAAAAAAAAAAAAAAAAAAAAAAAAAAAAAAAAAAAAAAAAAAAAAAAAAAAAAAAAAAAAAAAAAAAAAAAAAAAAAAAAAAAAAAAAAAAAAAAAAAAAAAAAAAAAAAAAAAAAAAAAAAAAAAAAAAAAAAAAAAAAAAAAAAAAAAAAAAAAAAAAAAAAAAAAAAAAAAAAAAAAAAAAAAAAAAAAAAAAAAAAAAAAAAAAAAAAAAAAAAAAAAAAAAAAAAAAAAAAAAAAAAAAAAAAAAAAAAAAAAAAAAAAAAAAAAAAAAAAAAAAAAAAAAAAAAAAAAAAAAAAAAAAAAAAAAAAAAAAAAAAAAAAAAAAAAAAAAAAAAAAAAAAAAAAAAAAAAAAAAAAAAAAAAAAAAAAAAAAAAAAAAAAAAAAAAAAAAAAAAAAAAAAAAAAAAAAAAAAAAAAAAAAAAAAAAAAAAAAAAAAAAAAAAAAAAAAAAAAAAAGAAAAAGAAAAAAATAATAATAATAATAAAAAGAAACAGCAGAAGAGGAAGAAACGAAAAAGAAAATCTAGTTGAATCCGCGACGATGCGATAAGGCAATTTCGATTTTTAAAATGTTCGCGTGAAATTTGTCCCCTATAAAAAGTCAGTCTCATTTCTTTTTTTCCCTTTTTACGACGTACCGCGAATTAATGGCTCGTTTCCGTTACGATCTTTATGTACGCTCGGATATAACGTAGGCTTCTCTTAATTAAGGGGAACGAGAGGGGGAGGGGTCCCACCACTTGCTCATAATCGTGGAAGAATCCAGGAAGAGCCTGAGCCACTGGCGTAACTAGGTAGCGTAGCGTCACGGTCGTACAGCACGATTCCGGCGAATCAGCTATTAATTAACGAACCTAGGAGACACGAGCCGACCTTACCGAAAAATCCTCGTTACGCCAGATGCCTAAACTAAAACCACACGTCTCTGCATAAAATAGGTATACCTGTTCCCTTACTAGACTAAGGGAAGCCTAAGTTTCACGAGAGCATACGATCAACGCCGATCACGATTAGGAGGACGACGATGGCGCATCAACGTTCATTTACTACATTCGTCTTTTAAGTACACGAATGACAACCTTTAAAAGCAAATATATTTTTTTCACGGTATCAAAATAATCGAAATTTTCGGATACTCGCGACCATCGTCGTCCAACGCTGCTGGGAAACACGGTCCTCTCGTCGCACGCCGACTCCGATAAAACTTTTTCTTAACGTTAAACGTCCGATAAAGTTTCAAGAGTTAGAACCATTTAAAAAGGAAATATACAACAACACGTAGAACTCTTAGCTTCTGCTTTCAACGTGCCCCCCATCCCCCTCCACGCACGATAAAACGCTTAACTATAAAGGAAAACGATCTTTCTCCTCTTTCGCGACCAGCTTCCGAATCGTGAAACCGATGAAAACTAAGCGAATCGTTTACACGCTCGAACTCCTCTACGATACGATATACGCGTTTACTGGTCAAAAGCACGTTAACGATCCATTTGGCTGTTCGTTAATACGGAGGATAACTTTTCGCTAACAGGTCGAATCGTAATAGTAATTGTCGGAAAAGCATTGTTCGCGAATGAATTTTAGATGGAAAATATCTGTTAAACTCGATCTCGACGCGAAAGTTTCGTGTTTTTGACCAGCGATGTACGGTAACGCGCCACTCTTCGAAGCAGAACGCGAACGACACGGAGTTAATTTAGCACGGCGTAACTTTGCCACCGAGTCAGACTACGTTCGCGCTAAAACGGCGACTCGATGGCCAAGCGATTTGTACCTGAACGATGCATCGATTTCGACGAGCGTCGATCGACGGGATCGAACGATTTAAACGCAGAATAAAACGTAAGGTAATGTAAAAGCTATCCAAACGAATAGTGTACGTAACGATAAAAAGGCGTGTCGACGAAATATAGCGCTTTCGAAATCGTTTCGAACATCGTTTATAGTTAAGCTCTGTCGAATATTTGTCAAACGTTAAACGACCAACTTCCTTCCCCAGAGAGAAAGAGAGACGAGCTTCGTCTGGAGAGAAATCGAACGAATCCCCCGACGAAGCTAACTCTCGACGGCGACAAAGAAAAAAAAAAAAAAAAAACAGTTAAAATTTGTCGTCAGGACTTCGTTTCACGAAGCAGTCGATATCGTATTTAGCAACACGGACGTTAGCTTAGATACATTTGGAGGGCTTACGATGGACCTACTCTGTTTCCAAGCTTTTAACCCTTTTGCTACAGCGAAGTTGATAAAAGTGCCCTATAACGCTGCTTCGTACGCAACCGCTCGAAATAATCTGCTCGAAATAGCGTATTTACAATTTCATAGCATGCTTCGAAAATTTGTAACGTTACAAATTATTCAGAGCCTAAATTTAGGGTTATCCGATAGGATGGTCCGCGCTATAGTGGCCTATGTAAAGATAACTTTTTTAAGGCTTCCACCGCCTGGATTATCACAGATAGTAACGTTAACGGATTTTACGTATAAAACGTATCCTCGAACAAGAGATTCCGATAGAGTTGGTCAGCGCTGGTAAGCTAAGCGATCGAGGATTCCCGAAGAACACGACTTACAGCCAGATTCCTCGAAACTACTATCCATACATAGGTACACGACCCGTGTCGGCGAACGACCACTACAGCGAGCTTCCGCAGTGAAAGGGTTAAAAACGAGCAATCTAAGTCTGTTCGGGCTGAACTACGACTAATCGAGGTGACCTAAACGACTAAGAGGGGGGGGTCTCGAGTGTCCATCACTGGATGTACAAATACTAGGTGTTCCGAGCTTTGGTACAGGCACGTAGAAATATCATTAAATACTATGCGTCGCGCAGAATAATTTACACTTTCGCGATATCAGTCTGTCCTGAAGCTTCCCGAGCCGGACATCGAGATGCAAGATTCGCATAGACGACGACGACGACGTCAGGCTGCTCTGACCGCGCGCGGTAATCGAGTACCCTGTGTGTATCGACTAGCAGCCTAGTTAATTATCGGTATCCCGGTAGTGTTCTCAGCGATTACGAACGACAACGATCGTCGCAGCTTGCTCTCCGGTGAAACGCGGAAAGGTACGTGGTGTCCGGTGCTGTCTTGGTCGGCGACTCGTCGACGCTAGGTCACCAGAAATGCGACTGCACGTAACCACCGCCCATGCCTATGGGATTGAAACGATGAGGGTGAATCTTCTCCATTCTCATGGCTCCTGGTCCGCCGCTCCCGCTGAGAAATCCACCGTGCGGTCCGCCGCGTGGTCCGAATCCGCTCGCTCTGCCTAGCATTCCTGGACCACTGCCGCTGATGCCCATGCCCATTCCAGGTGGTCCACTGATACCTCTGCCCCTTCCTCCACCACTCAGACTACCACCGGTACCTGAAACAGTCGTTTCAGTCAATCAAACGTGTTTTTCGTACGCGTTTCTTCTGTGTGTTATTTTATCTTTTTTTTTTCTTTCTTTTTTTTTTACGCGGACTTAAGCTTAACAACTTATCGGATAAAAGGTGGCGGTGGTGGTGGTGGTGGTGGCGGTGGTGGTGAATAAAGTGGACATCCGTTAGACTTTCCTTTCTAATATTTTAATCAAATTTAACGAGCAACTACAGTATCACGCGAACTCGCGTGTGACCGGTAGCAACGAGAATAAGAAAGGTATGTATAAGATACTCGTGATAACCGGAAGGAACGAGTGTCGAGACACGCTGCTTTTAACTTTCTCTCTCTCTCACTCGCTCGCTCACTCTCTCTCTCTCTCTCTCACACTCTCTCCCTCTTTTTCAAATGCTTTCGTTCTGACGACTTATTCGATGACGAAAGGTAGCGCTAGTAAGAAATTAGCAATTTTTTATGTGATCTCGTAAAGATTTTACGAAACTGTCTCGAGGCTTCCGATGATTTTGTAACTCGTTGAAAATGTGTCGGTAATCGCAGAAATTTCACGGTTTCGAAGTTTATCCTCGATTTAATGCCGGTTAACGGTGGTTAGAGAAGCTCCCGAAGTAAATCGTCAGCACAAAATCTGCAAGCGACGTTTAGAAGATTTCCTCTCGCCACGGTAGCACGTACTCGGTGTTCGAAACGTTCAAACGAAAAGATTCGTACGTCGCGAGCGTTACGTTCGGTTCGGGGATATACCTGGTCTCGAAAGAAAGAAGAAATCGATCGGTGTTACCGCTTTACGTTTTAATTTACGACCGCGCTACGTTTCCCAGACCGAGTACGCTTTATCGATTTAGTCTACCATATAATCGTGTACGTTTCGAAGATATCGATGTAACGTGACCTTTTCGTAATTCCTTTTTTACAAGCGCGCAAAGCAGAGAGGAGGATCGCGAAACGAACCGAGGTGCGATACCTCTTTACGTCGGTAAGGAAAGGAAGGAGCTTTCGTCGAATAAATTGGCGCGACCTAAAATAAAAGAGAAATAAGTTGATTCGACCAATTCCGACAAAATGCATTTTCTTTCGAAATAAAGTGGAATTTCGTTACACTCTATCGTCGTTTCTCGCAAACTTCCTTCGTTAATTCCGTTCGTTAGCGAGGAAGAAAAAAGAAAACGTCGAAAGGTAAAAAATAGTTAACCGAGCAAGTAACGTTGTTACCTACCGAACGATCGATTCACGGACACGAAAAGTCTGGCAAGATTTCACGATACAACAGTTCTGACTAAGAGTTTCATATGGAAATTACCGCGGAAGCATCTCGTTCGCGTTATTAATACGAAATAGCTAAGAGTCGTTTCTAGCCAACAATCGGCTATTCGATACCACTTTCATCTTCGACGAGCGTGAACGGATTATTTTTTCGAAATCAACGTCTAAACGAAAGAAAGAGAGCTTGAACGCGCTACAAAGAACGTGGCACGATTCTGCTTCCGATTGCGGCTACCACGACTTCCGGTTCACTTAGCGTATCGCGAATATAATTAAAAAGATACAATTTTAAGAATCGGAGCTACAATTCTGATCGGAGATCGATTTACAGTAAGACCGTCGCGACCGTAATATTCCAGTTTCATCGAGAGGAATAGAAGAAGAGAAAAATACGATGAACGCGTGAAAAGAGGATTCTTTGTCTTTCGATTTTTCATCGCTCTCCTATCTATCCATCCATCTATCTATCTATCTGTCTATCTATCTGTCTATTTACCTATCTATTTATCGTAAACGCGCTTTCCATTCTTGGCTCTTTCCGCGGTTTTATCTTTCAATTTTGATCTTACGAGAAATCATTTCTATTTAGAGAATCTTTTCTCTTTAAAACGAGTTTGCTCTGTTTACCGGTAATTATTTTACAAAAATAAATATCGATCATCTTTTATTTTTTCGACGGGGAGGGGACGAATGAGGGGGCAGATAATTGATGCGAGATGTTCTTTGGCAAGATCAAAAATGAAGAGATTTTCTGCGCCGAGAAATATAATTGAAAAATTGAATGTTTCGAGAAAAACACCGACATAGAGCAGCGAATGACAGAGAGCGAGGAAAAGAGTAGCGAGTTCTTTTATCGAATTCTTTTTCATCGTGTTTTTCATTTTGTTTCCCTTTCATTCTCATTCGGTCTCTTTCGCTAGTTTTTGTTTTCCTTATTCCATATCACAGCCATCATTAGCGCTACTGGACTTCGGGATTCACCATTTCGTACAATCTTCGATCCGTTACACCTTACGATTTACTACTTAACGCGTTAAAAATTATTTACAAAGGAACCACTCTCGCTTCATTCTTTCGTTTTCGCGTTTCGACGAAACGACCCGCAACGACCCGTAACGAAGAAGAAAAAGTAGAGGACATTTATTATTATTATTATTATTATTATTATTACTATTATTATTATTACTATTATTATTATTAGAGGATACTTGGAATATTCCACTCGAAGAAATTGTTTATTTCTTATTCCTCTACTTACGGAAAGAATGACACGAGTCGGTTTTCGTAACACGACGAATATTCCGAAGGAGCTGCGTGAAATCTTATTCTATCGACTTCCTTCAACTTAATTAACTAATATACCCGGTTCCTACCCTCTGTTATATCGTCTTTCTATTTTTTTTCTTTTTTTTTTTTAACGGAATCCCGCGAGCGAAAATACCTCGAATACCGGAGCAGCATTCGCAACGTTAAATTCTCCTAAAACAGAGAGTTGTTCGAAAATTTACTTTTGTTCGCAGAGGGAATGCACAACCAATTTCTGCGTCCTAGCTTCAAAAGCTAGGATCGTAAGAGAAAACCTAGTATACTATCTACAAACTTGTCTCTTTCATTAGCATTTTACTCGTTGCGGTCGGTGTTGATTTCGAGACTCGTACATGGAAGAACGTTCTTATCGTTTGCGACCGATTATTCCTTTTTATTCGTTCGTTTTCTAATTATTAACAACTAATTACTATAATTCAGAAACCGCACACTCCCGCCGGCGGGATTCGAAGCTGGCCAATCCGGTAGTGCCAGAATACATACTCTAATCGTTTCACCACTGAGCACGTTAAGCTAATTCGTTTATATATATATATATATATGTATGTATAAAGCACGTACAGTATTATTAAATATAATAGGACGACAAAAAAGTATCGAACAATATCGAAAAAAGGTTGTACACCCCCGTCTCTTAACCATGTTAAGCAGCTGAACGCATTATTAGAACGTACGAGCGAGGTGGATCGTACCTCCTACCGTCGTCTAATTAATTCGATAACGTCGAGAAAATGTCCTGATGGATCGCTCGAATCGCGAAAAATCTACTAAAAAGGAACGATTGTCAGGATCGTAGGAGATACATCTGTTTTCTAACTAACTCGAGACCCGACCTCCTGAAAGCGCTTCGATCGATTCGTATATATATATATTTTTGTACGTATCTAGATTAGGATTAAAAGGACGAAAGTTGTTAACAGCGAAAATTGTTTAACGAGATCACGATCTTTCCTTCTATATTCGAATCTCGTTTACGATGAATGTGTTCCATCGAAAGACAACGAATCAATCGAATTAACCCGTTCCCAACGTTCCCGATCTAATTCGTTCGTTCGCTGCTTCTACGTTAGAACGATTACGATAGGAACGGGTGTAATTAGCGAATATAGAAATGTTAGGAGGGGACACGTTAATCACAGGGACGATTCTAGATCGATATCGAGATCGTTTCACCGAATTCCGTAGATAGTCCGGAAATATTTTCGCTATCTACGGTCCATCGGTAATCGGATAGCTGTAAAAATTGTGCAATTCAAATACTCTTCTAGTTTATCGAAATGTCGTGATAGTTCCTCCGTCTAACGATAAGTAAAATTCGGAAACGCTTGTTCCGTCGTGGTACAGTCTCGTTCGGCTAGACCGAATCTTTATGCAAATACTTTAGCATAATCTCTCCAACGTTTCTCGTTCTTCGACACACGCCACAAATGCATATACATAGCCGATCTAATCGCTTGTTTCGTATCCGTTCAATACACTAACCTCGATCGAGATTGGCATCGTAAATAATCTTAGAAGAAGAAATAATCGAGCCAGTGTATTAAACCGCGTACGCTGCGGAGAGCAGATTCCCGACCGAACACTTCGACGTCCGATGCCGTGTGCGTACCGCTTACAATTTTGCTTAAACGCTTAAACGTCGCGATCCTTTCGTCGATAAGAAGAAAGGAGCAGAAAATTAAGCGAGAGTTTTAACTAACCACGGAACACGCAGCCGTCAAAGTATTCTCCAAAAGATTACAAAGGTAAAATACGCGTTCACAATCATTGAGCAAATCGTGGAATCAGTGTTCGGTTTACAAACAGTTTCGAACGATACAAAAGCGATATATCCTTGGAACGGAAGTGTGCGCTCGTAGAACAAACGAAAGTCTCTAAAAGACCGGCACGATCGATCGATCGGTTGCGACTCGTATATTACGATATAGCGAAGAACGCGATCGCGTTGATCGTGACGATCTTGTCGCACCGATCCCAGAAAATTCCTCACCATAACTGCAAGGTATTAACAATCAACGAGTACCGAACATGAATGCGTTCTCCTCTTTAATAAAGATAATGCGCGTAACGTTGATATTTATTCCTGGTCGGGTACAGACGTTCCCCTTCGTGGATTGGCGAGCATAGAAATGAAAATGGCATGTTAAAGAGTTATTCCAGATACACTTGGACTATTGCTATTTGCGTACAGCGTTAAACAAATGTACTTGAAAATCGTAATTACTCTTTCTTACGGCGATTCCTCGCTAAACCAATTCCTTTCGAACTCCAAATACATTTGTTTACTACTTTATACGACAATCGCTCGACATAGGGCATAGCCATGCACTGAGCAAGTTCTCTGTTAAAGCCACACGTTTCTGCAAATGCAATCTGTTCAAAACTAACGGATCAGCAACGACGCTCGCTAAATCATTATTCGCAGGCATATAATAAAGTGTGTGTGTGTGTATGCGTGTGTTTGTGTCGAACGAGTCACGTACTTTATATGCTGCTCCAATTCGACGATCAACTACAAAATATGCCCTTAAACTGCACGTTCGAACATCCGGAACCGAACGTGTTCTCCCCGTTTCGAACAGCATATAAACACGAGCCACGAAACATTGCGTTAGAAAAAATCCTACTTCGAACAGAGAGGTTTTTGTTTAACGTAATCACTGCAGAGTTTGTTAGTCGCGCCGTGTCTGTGATGTAAAAAAAAAAAAAAAATGATGAAAATAATAGGAAGTGTTCGTACGCACTTTAATCAAAGAGGAAGAAAGAAGTGGCAAAAATGAAAACAATCCGCACTCGCATTCGTTGGAGGATCGTAAGAGGGAGTGTAACAAATTTCTTATCGAACAGAAAATGTATTTCCAAAGATTTACTTGATAAATAACAAAACATTGATGCGTATACTAGGAAATACGATGTCTTATCAAAAAGAAAAGAAAAAAAAAGAAAGAATGAAATAAAAAGTAAAAAAGAAAAAAGATTACAAAGAGACTTAAAGATGTACGTAAATATACATAATTGCTAGCACAAAGATAGAGCTAGGACGATGTTCCACAGCGTGGCTTGAACAAATTTGAGAAACGGTGAGGCAAAATCAACATAGTAACGGCAGCAGCGGCAACTAGAAAAACAGAGTTACAATATCGTTGACCCAGACAACGTCCAAAAACAAATGTCTAAACCAGCCTTGTGTGCAGAATACAACTCAGCAAGTGTTTCTCTCTTTTTTTTTTTTTTTATAACCACAAGCTGCCACTGACTAGACGGAATACAACAATGTTCGGCTTTGTTTCTTGTTCGTTCACTAAAAGATCATCGCACAAAAAAACTTGTTCTATCACAGCAGCACTACATTTGCATTCTTGTGTCCACCTGCAAAGGGAATCTCTTTCGACCACTGCCAGAGTCTTCTCTCTTACACGTGAAATAATTTCATGCGCACAACTTCGTAAAACTTGTAACAAAAACAGAGAGAACACAGAGGAACAAAATAGGCGCGGCAAGAAACGTGTCTCCACAATATTCGCAGAAAATCTGCTGCATTATTCGTTGCACGCATTAGAACGCAAACAGCTTTTTCAATCTTCGCTGTACTTTGACTTAGATGCAGCCATATCTGGCAAACAATTCAAATGTTAGACATGTTTTCACACTTCTTACATGCTATCAATGATGCAAAGGGTCTTTCGGTTCGAATCGATCCATCTCGACACATGGAACGCGCGTGAAAAGATTCTGGCTGAAAGATCATCTACATCCTTAACAGCATATTCGAACAGATACAACAAAATTTTGTACACCTTGCAACTACGTTATGAGATACATTTAAATGAATCGCTACCTGTTTCACTTGCTCGCGTGTCATCGCAAGAAAAGGAAAAAAACCAACAAAACACGATGATTCGAAAATGAGCTGGAAAGAGCAAGAGAGAAAAAGAGAAAGAGAGAAAGGGAGAAAGAAAGAAAGATACAAATAGAAGATGCGTTCTATTTGGAAAGAAAAGAAAGGAAGAGAAAAGAAAAGAAAAGAAAAGAAAAGGGAAGAAAAGAAAAGAAAAGAAAAGAGGAAATATTTCTTTGAAATTTTAGGTGCTTCTACGACTTCAACAACGATAATAAGAAACTTAACGGTTTACTGCGACTTTAGAAAAATTGATAGAAAGCCAAAATGCAAATCTCGCACCTGTCGGTAGAACTCTATCTCGAGGAACTAGTTTTGCTTTTACGATTAAAGACGTCGAAAGACGAGATAACTGTTCCTGAAGTATCGGTTTCTACCGTCGGGTCGACGAGAAAAGAAATTAGAGGACAAGATCGGCTGCCCGAAGAAACAACCGAAGCTACTTACCTCGACTCTGGTTGTAACCAGCCTGCCATCCCGCATAGTACGCCGCTTTTTGCTTTCCGTGTTCCTCCGCGATTTTTACGCTAAGTGGTTCTGATCCGCCTTCCGGTATCGTCCCGTGTAGCCGAGCGATCGCTTCTTGCGCCTCTTCCCGTTTATCGAATCTATCCAAACGAAATATCGTCAAGAATATTGTTTAATTCCCCGAGTATTTGTTGGCAGCGGATCGCGACATCCTTTGCCAGCGCAACATCTTATAAAAGATTTAGCAGGAATAATCTAGAGCGTGTAATATACAAGGGAGCTCGTTACGAGGTCATTAGAATCTGCCAAAATTAAGAGAAACTGTCAAACTAGTACGGATTCTATTTCCAGTTAGTCGACATAGTTTAAGTACTATTTTCCTGCCACAAATCACCACTCTACCACGATTCATGTTTTCGGTGGTTAAGTAGGTCAGTGGTTAGTAAGTGGGGTAAATCGAAATTATGCAAGTCAAACGCAGCAGAGAGCCGTGCAAAAATAATTTGGCAGGCAAAGATCTTGGAAAATAAATACACGAACGATATGCATCGCTAACCATTGCATAATGATCACGAATCGTTTCTTTAGGCCACGAACAACTCTTTTCTAGTTGACGGATGCACCTTCTCTACCGAAAACGCCGAAAACGCCGAAAACGCCGAAAACGCCGATCACGCGTACACCAAAAATAAAATACCGTTTAAATAAAAATATACGGATCTCTCTCCGATATTTCCCATTGCATCGATGCGATATTAACATTTTGCAGCTTGCTTTCCCAATTATGACAAACATGGCACTACGCCAATAAACATAAACTATACTTTTCATTAGCACGGTGATTTGCTCTACTACGCTAAGCGATATTCTTTCGAAACACTAAGCCTCTTGGTAATATCGAATTCTTTCGACATCGAGATATTAAAACAATAACGTACCTTACAAATGCCACGCCTCTTGGTAATCCAGTGATTTTGTCTTTCAGAATATTTTTTTGTACGATATTACCATATTTGCTAAATATATCATCGATCTGGCTCTCTGTTATATTTCTAAATAAAAAAAAAAAACACGTTTCAATATTACTATCTTGCCCTTTCATGCGCGTTCCATCGATATTTATCAATTTACGAAAATTCCATCTATCCTACGCTAAAATTATATTATACCTCGGTAAATTTGTAACGTAAAGATTGGTTTCCTTAATCTCTTCGCCGGATGGTCGTGCAAAAGATACCTTTAGCCTTTTGTTTTGAACCTGAAGCCCGTTCAAGGTGTTTATAGCAGTGGCTGCGTCTTCGGCTTTTGCATAATTAACGAATCCAAAACCGTAACTGTATCCAGTCTATAAAATGAAAAGGCACACGTAGAATACATGTTCGTAGTACAACTAAATACAGATTTCTGAAATCAATTTACTTTGTAGTCTTTCATAACACGACACGATTCCACGGGTCCGATAGTTACGAATAGACTATACAGATCCTTCTCCGTCATACTTTGCGGCAGATAATTGATGATCAAATTAGTTCTTGGCTCTTCGTTGCTTTTAATTTGTTGATGAGATTGCTGTTGCTGCTGCGGTAGTTGTTGAGACTGCTGCTGGTGTTGCTGTTGTTGAAGTTGTTGCTCTCGTTGATCCGTCATTTTGAGAAATTCCGTAGATTCTTCTTCCGCTGTTACGCTCGCGTTTTGGATCCTCTGTTCCGGTCGATCCGTCTCCACTGGCTGAGAGTTCGACGACTGCTGCGTACCCCAACTGGTGGTATAGCCCGACGAAACCATTGATGGAATCAGCAAATACAAAAAATATAAACAAAATCATTACTACGTCTTCCCCGTGCAATGCCATGATCGTCGTTCAGTCTGTGCTTTCAAACGCTTTCACTTTCTTAAGCGATTTAAAATAAATAGAAAATAAATCTGCATATATACATATATGTATATGATGCCAGACCTGTATATCAGAAACAAACAAACAAAGGCAAGTAAGGACAAAACGGAACCAGCTAGTAGCTACGAGTAAAGCAAACTAAATTAAACCGATAGACAGCTACGTAATTGTAGATAACAAAGACAAGTAAAACTTTACCGATAGGAGGGCAGAGCAAAATATTTTATTAGTAAACAGCTACCAACAAATCATAGACGATATCTATTATAATTTTCTCATTTTTCAACTATCCATTTGGTACTAAATGCAGTAACGAACAAATACTTGTACACAAGATACATGTATCATAACCTTTTTATATACATACGACCATAACAAAAAAAAAGTACAACGCTTATACGACAAACTAATAAAACGTAACTCAACGAAAAATGCGAAATAAAATCTGAAAAGAGGAAAAAAGAAAGAAAGAACCATTAAAAAAAAACAACAACAATGTTAAAGAAACTATTTTCCAGTATACTAACGTTTTTTCTGTGTTTATCTAATTGCACGTTCAACGAATCGTGGAAAAAAAATAGACAGCACGCTTCGTTGACGAGAACTTCCGCGTACTCGAACGATTCTGTTCGGTTTGTTTATTGTTTACTCATCGTACTCGATTTTTAGCAACGATTGAATCGCGACACGAAAGCGCACTATTTCTTTACGCTCATTCATCGATAAACAACAACAAATTCCCCCGATACCCCGTTCTCGGATCGTGGATTTGGAAAAAAAAAAGATATGTCAGTTTACGAATTCCAGGAGACAAGTAACCCTTTGACCTTATTTTAAAGAGGCCCGGGGAAAAGCGAATGGCCCGGCGCGGCAGATTCGTGAATCGACCAAGCTGTCAGAATATGGAGGGAGCGAGAAGAAAAGAGGGCACGGGAGCGGGAAGGACAAAGACGGATTATACGCGAAGATAAACGTTAGGCAGTGCAAGGTAAAAAGATAAGAGAAACGAAGAGAATAAAACATACGTACCAAAGTAGGGGAGAATCAGTGTTCGAAACGGCGAATAGTGGGATATCGAGTATCGAGGGAAAAGAGTAGCACGCACTCACTCGTGTCAGCCGCGTATGCAACTCTCAATGTACGCCAACAATTATGTAAGCTCGCTGCACCATCGCGAAGCACACACTCATTATCATCGACGACTTTCGTGCTAAGTTGGCTTACGATCGTCGAGATCCAATACAGACAGCGGAGAGAAGCAGAGGAGCGAAGAATCGCGGAGGAACACTAAACACGATAGGAACGGAACGGAACAGAACGCAACGTTACGATACGGCACGGCGTACGCAAACGTACTGAGCAGCGAGCAGCGAGCGAGGTAACGAGCCCCAGCCCTGACCTGCCTCGCACGACACCCTCTCGCGGCACTGCGCGGTGCCGCGGCCGCGGCCGCGACACGCTACCCCACTGTCCACCTCGATTCACACAATCACCGAATATACGTACATGTATCTATATTTTCTATAACGACTAGCTACACATGCTCCGGGACATCCCGCCTAAATTTCTGACGCATGTTTACGCAGATTCTATGCCAATTTTCATCCATTATTCTATCCTACCAACAGTCATTTTTTAAACAGACCGAACACACGTCTATCTTAACCGTTCTGATAAAATTAAATGATTACTGCAATCGTTTTGTACGAACAAATATTATTCTCGACCCTATTATTTTATACCTACATATACATATATATGTATACATGTGTATAGAGTAGCGGGTGCGTTAGGCTTCCCTAAAGAAAATGGCGATATAAGTGAAAGAATTTTTAAATTTACCAAAGAAAATAGAAAAATTTCAAAATCTGAAAATTATTAAATTCGACAACCATGAATTTGGAAATTCATCGATTCAAAAATTTGCCAACTTGGAGATTTTAAAATTGAAAATTTGAAACCGTCAAAACTGAAGACATATAAGGGGAAGATTTTACTTTTATCCTTGTCCTTATTCAAAGAAAGATTATAAAGTTGCATCAATGTATACTGTACAATAAAAGACATGACCTTTCTTATTTTTTATAGTATTTGTGATGGAGTATAGTAATTGAACATACCTTAATGGCGTCTCCCAGTAGGGAACTGCAAATATTGTAAATTTGTTCAGCTAAATGTATACGTCGTTTGTTTTTCGTTTGTAACCATCGCAAATTTACAACAAAACTTGCAAATATTAATCGCAAGATTTTTCTCGTACGATTGCTTCTGTCATTTCTTACGATTCTACCCTATTTTGTTTAGCCGAACGAACATATGCTATCAATCATTGAAATTTATATGTATGCGAGGAAAATTTCGCAACAAACGTATTTCACCATTTGAAATTCTATAAAACGTAAAATGCTGCATTGCGCTATTACGCATTGCCACCGCGATCAAATTTGCGGCAAACATGCAATCACCGAATATACGTACATGTATCTATATTTTCTATAACGACTAGCTACACATGCTCCGGGACATCCCGCCTAAATTTCTGACGCATGTTTACGCAGATTCTATGCCAATTTTCATCCATTATTCTATCCTACCAACAGTCATTTTTTAAACAGACCGAACACACGTCTATCTTAACCGTTCTGATAAAATTAAATGATTACTGCAATCGTTTTGTACGAACAAATATTATTCTCGACCCTATTATTTTATACCTACATATACATATATATGTATACATGTGTATAGAGTAGCGGGTGCGTTAGGCTTCCCTAAAGAAAATGGCGATATAAGTGAAAGAATTTTTAAATTTACCAAAGAAAATAGAAAAATTTCAAAATCTGAAAATTATTAAATTCGACAACCATGAATTTGGAAATTCATCGATTCAAAAATTTGCCAACTTGGAGATTTTAAAATTGAAAATTTGAAACCGTCAAAACTGAAGACATATAAGGGGAAGATTTTACTTTTATCCTTGTCCTTATTCAAAGAAAGATTATAAAGTTGCATCAATGTATACTGTACAATAAAAGACATGACCTTTCTTATTTTTTATAGTATTTGTGATGGAGTATAGTAATTGAACATACCTTAATGGCGTCTCCCAGTAGGGAACTGCAAATATTGTAAATTTGTTCAGCTAAATGTATACGTCGTTTGTTTTTCGTTTGTAACCATCGCAAATTTACAACAAAACTTGCAAATATTAATCGCAAGATTTTTCTCGTACGATTGCTTCTGTCATTTCTTACGATTCTACCCTATTTTGTTTAGCCGAACGAACATATGCTATCAATCATTGAAATTTATATGTATGCGAGGAAAATTTCGCAACAAACGTATTTCACCATTTGAAATTCTATAAAACGTAAAATGCTGCATTGCGCTATTACGCATTGCCACCGCGATCAAATTTGCGGCAAACATGCAAGTCTCTCGCTTTTCAAATAAAACTATTTTATGATATATATTACACGCTAAAGTATAATAATACAAAAAGATAAGTGTAACATATAATTTAAAAAGCGTTAAATTAGAATATATTAAAATATCTGAACAATCATTATAGATTAATCGATTAGAATAATCTATAATTTCTAACCTCGATATAGATTTCGTATACATATATCTATATAAATACATATGTATATTTATAATAAAATTTAATAAAATCTAATGAATAGGTTAGCACAAATTTTACCTTCTTTTTTATCATAATAATATAATTTAAAATAAGAGTTACATTCGAATAAAAAACTTACTCCGTTTGAAAATTCATGTTGTTAAACCTATCTTCTTTTTTTTCGTGAATATCCATTTTAAGAATCCGTGAAACATAACACTCGATGTTAAAATACTCTCTGTCACAAGGAATGAATTTTCATTCTCGAGTATCAATTGTATCGTATTTAAGACGCTTTATTATATGCAATATCGTGTATTTTCCTCTTCACGACTGCGCCGTTAACGCACACGCGCGCTTCTGTTTTACAAGATCAACCTAAATTGTTCACTTTCTAAATAAATAAATTTTACGATTAATTGTTCGTTTAACGTCCACAATTGTGATACACGTACAATTTATTATGAAAATTCGTCGTACCTTGATATGCTGACTAGTGAAATTACTGCCACCTGATTTCGCAACGTTAACGAACGAACGGTAAACTACCGAAAACGAAATTATTCGATCGCGTTAACTTTTTATTATTTCATACGTTGTATATCATTTAAATAAATGACGAACTAAATACATGAATTTGAACATCTCTATCAAAATTGACGACAAACGACGATCGTTTGTTAAGGTTAGTTGTCAGTGATGCATCTTCTTTCAAACGTCATACCGATCATTTCTCAAATATTTTCAAGTTCCCACGATTGTTGCTAAGAACTTACATTAAATATTTGCCTTAATAACACGCTTAAAATTGTTTGTTGTTTTATTTTCTTTATTAGTCGTTGCAATAAAACTAATTATGGATATAAACACGTATAAAAAAATATAAATACGGAACACATAATTAGCATTGAGAATCCCTTTGCTCTTGCAAAACTAAAGGGTCTGCACTGAGCGATACGTGTACTACTTGCTGCAGGAGTATGTACAGGTGTTTTGTCGTTTTCTTTATCCCACGAATGCCTGGGCGTTTCGATGCCAAAGGGGCTGTAAAGTTTGGTCGGTGTTCGTCCAAGGAGTTGTCGAGAGCGAGTCTGAGGTGTTTGCATCTTGGAAGCACTGTTCGGTGTCTGTTGTTCCTCCAGCCTTTGTCGTCTGTGCGTTGAGCTTCTAAATTTCTAAATACAAGACAAAAATAAGCTTGGAAAACTTTTTACAAAATACTTTTCTTTTGAAATAAATGACAAGCAATAAGTATTAATAATTAAGATGATTGTATCGTGAACATGCTTTATTATGAAAAGTAATTTCATTTATTACCCATAATGGAACAACAATATTTAAAGACTTTTTAAAAATACATTATGATTATATTGCCACAAGAAATATGTAAATATGACAAATTTCAGGTCGATTAAATGTAAGGAAGCGTGTTAAAAATCTCTCCCAAGATTTGAATATAACAAACGGTGCAAGCTAAACGAAAGAACTTATAACGATAAAAAAAAAATTAAAATCGACAGTTTCAATTTAATAGAAAAAGAAACGTTTGATCGGACCTGTGATATACTTCCAAAAGTTGTACGAACGGAAGACATAGTTTTGGACAATTTATCAGCTCCGCTCCGTAAAGCTCGTCTGGAATCTGCCGATACATTTCCGAGTGTTAAATTATTCCAACTTCGATTACTCGTTTGTTTATCTTTCGACACTTTTTCCTTGCAGGAATCATCATCCTTTTTTTTAACGAAATGATCTTGAAGACGTCGTCTCAGATTCTTCGGATTCTTCGGGATTTCTGATGAATTTTTGATACTTAGAACTTCTCGATGAAACGTAAACGAAATGCTACGTGAATCCGGTCGCATACTTTCAAACTTCCTTGTAAAACACTGTAGATAAATATGAATAATACCAGAAGAAAATAATTGCCTTCATCCCTCAGAATACGTTAGAAGCGTCGTTGCCAATTTGCCAATCGTCAGCGTCCGTAAAATAAGAATGGCCGCAGTATACCTGGTCAATTGAATATAACTTTTATTTACATACGTCACGCAAATAATGAAAATTATTACATATGCTTATCGTTTATTTGAGTAACTAACATATTTTGTGTAAGAATTTTAAACATAGTCGATGATTCTGTTTGACAATTACTTCTTGCTTGTTAGACAACGTACGCTACATTCAAAGTACTATCTGATCGCGCACGCTTAAATTTTCGGTCAATTAGCCTGTATATACAGAGTTGTATACACGAAACATTACGAGCAAATATGCTGTGTAGTACTATATGTATGCTTCGTAAGAAGTTTCTTTTAACGACAAGAAACACGGTTATCAAAGCACAAATGTCAACAATAACATGCCGTAGATCGAAACACAGAATACTCTGCAATTTACGATTTTAAAGAGAAATTACATTTTTATGTACATAAATGTATTAATAAATATTAATTATATATTGTTCGTTAAATAGATAATATTTTTGACATAATACCATTAAAGAAATACAAATAATATTAAGGGATGAAATTCATAATTATTTAAATATTACTTTTATAAATATGTAACGATGATTTCACATCGCGCATGCGCTTTGTAATGCTTTTGGCGCTCTAACGGTAAGTGTTGTAAATATTTAACCTACTCGATAATTTAAATTTAAAAATTTGTAATTTTCGAACCTTTATATACAATCATGATTACGGGTGATATAATGAGTATACAGAATATATATGTATACTGTGACTACACGCGTTGACAGCACGAAAGTTGCATATACGTTGCTCTTGATTACAAAGTACGTTCGTGCCAATCAGAACTGTCTATCGTTACAATAACTTCACAGATGGCAGTAAAAATAAAGCTAAACGTTGTTGACTTGTATGTGTCTTGATGTTTTATAAGCGAAGTTAATGCTACTGTAAAAACTATTACAATATATTCGTTAATTGTTCATTTATCGCCTCTTATTCGATGGAAGTTGAATGTAAAAGTGATTTGTTGTATTTTATATTTAATGACGATTCATCCAATCGAACAAACACATACGTGATATCGGCTGATATATAGGTTATATTTAACAATAAACATTGTGGTGTTAATAAGATTTAAAAGATAATTAAGTAGTTTTAATATTTTTCTTTCGTACAATGATTTCGCGATTATATTGACGAGGAAGATATTCGTTTCTATACGTAAATACGTATTTTAAAACAAAGATTTTAACCTCAATATGAGTTACAATAAAAAGGTATCGTATTTCTATAATCCAGACGTTGGGAATTTTCATTATGGTCCAGGACATCCCATGAAACCTCATAGACTTTCTGTAATTCATAGCTTGGTACTCAACTATGGTTTACACAAAAAAATGCAGATATATCGTCCATACCGTGCGAGTACGCATGATATGTGTCGCTTCCATTCAGACGAGTACGTAGAATTTTTACAGAGAGTGACACCTCAAAATTTGCAAGGATATACCAAATATTTAAGTCATTTCAACGTAGGAGACGATTGTCCTGTTTTTGAGGGGTTATTCGATTTTTGCTCAATGTATACCGGTGCTTCATTGGAAGGAGCCACAAAGTTAAACAACAATTGTTGCGACATTGCTATTAATTGGAGCGGAGGACTGCATCATGCAAAGAAATTTGAAGCCTCTGGTTTCTGTTACATTAACGATATCGTGATCGCGATACTGGAGCTATTGAAATATCACGCAAGAGTTCTTTATATAGACATAGATGTTCATCACGGGGATGGAGTTCAAGAAGCATTCTACCTCACGGATAGAGTTATGACAGTATCTTTCCATAAATATGGAAATTACTTTTTTCCTGGCACAGGCGATATGTACGAAATAGGAGCAGAAAGCGGAAGATATTACTCTGTCAATGTACCTTTAAAAGAGGGCATCGACGATACGTCTTATGTTCAAGTATTCAAACCAGTTATATCGCATGTAATGGAATTTTTTCAACCAACAGCTATTGTCTTACAATGCGGGGCAGATTCTCTCGCGAATGATCGTCTTGGTTGCTTTAGTTTAAGTACGAAAGGTCACGGAGAATGCGTAAAATTTGTAAGAGACTTAAACATACCACTACTCACTGTAGGTGGAGGGGGATATACGCTGCGTAACGTCGCACGTTGCTGGACTTACGAAACGTCTCTTCTCGTCGATGAACAGATTAGCAACGAATTGCCGTATACGGAGTACTTGGAATACTTTGCACCAGATTTCACGTTGCATCCTGATGTTGTAACAAGACAAGACAATGCAAACAGTAAACAATATTTGGAGGCGATTACGAGACACGTCTATGACAATTTAAAGATGATACAACATTCTCCAAGCGTTCAAATGCAAGATGTTCCATGCGATGCTCTACCGCCCGAAGAAGAAAGACAACCAGAACCAGATCCAGACTCTAGGCAAAATACGCAAGACACGGATAAAACAGTTGAACCAGCTAACGAATATTATTCGGGAGATAAAGACCAAGACAAGATGGATGTAAGCGAGTCGTGATAAAGGAATAGATAAGTTAAATAATAACAGTAACATTATACGAGGAAGTTGAGGTACGTGTGCATTTGCACAATTATGAAAAAAAGAAGAAAAAGAAAAGAAAAAAAAAATACGAGAAACTAATTTCTCTCGCGAAACGAATAATTGTAAATAATATATCCGAATTGTAAATATTCTTGAATACATTAAAAAGCTTTTTATACTCCTTTAATAATCGTTCTTGAACAAAATCCTAATTCCTATCATACACAAGGTATCAGATTTGAAACGAGATATGTTAAATAATTATTAGGCAAGTTTATTGTTTTATGTCAGACAGCATATTGTCTACAATGGTACAACAATGACAGTGAGGATGATATTAATAATAGTAATAGTAGTGATAAGTAATAATAATAATTTTAATAATAAGAGCAATAACGATAACGTTTTTATCTCTGTTTTGGGGCTATCTCGCTATATCACAGAGAATTTAATCCTTATACTCGTTTGTTGTTTATTTAGCTCGGAAAGTCGAACCTTAAACGATGTTTTCTTCTTTCTCTCTTTCTCTCTAGTATTTTGCTGCTCGACTTCATAGTATACTAAACGTGACTAATACAATAAATTAAGTCTTTTAAATTAAGGCGCTTTTGTTCTGTACATCGTTCGTAAAACTACAAAAGTTTCTCGAAAAATAATACATTTACAAAAATACGATACGAGGAACGAAAATATATTTCGAAAGTTTTCAGTTACAAAAATGCAAGATGATAATCAGAAAAATTCTCTTGCTTTTAATAACTGTTGGCATTACCAATGGAGGCACTGAACATACATATTTTCGCGCACAGAACATTCGATAAAGCTTGTGTTCGTCTATTCTTTTTCTCTTCATGTACACGGAAGAAGCACACGTCTCCGGTATTTAAATCCCTGCCTCTAATTTCTTTATCTCGGTCCTTAATATATATGTATACATGTATACATTTCTGTATGTATGTATGTATGTATGTACGTATGTATGTATGTATGTATGTATGTATGTATGTATGTATGTATGTATGTATGTATGTATATATATATATTATATTATATATGAATATACAATTAAACATTCAGTCTCATAATAAAAGCAATTCCATTTGGTGTGTTTAGTATTTCATGAAATTCACTCGTGATCATTATACAGCGTAAGCATAGGGCGGATGATAATTCAGTGATCGTTGGAAGTTCAAGTCCTTGTAAATTTAGTCCCTATAGAATTTGGTTGACTAGATGATCTTGTTCTTATTCATTTTCGTGAAGTCGAAGAACATTTTTCATTGTTGAGGACCTGCCTCGGCGTTACGAGACATCGAACCAAAATTACGTTTCAAAATGTTTGTAAATACTGGTTACATATGTCATGACTTGTTGCCAATCAGGTCGCTCCAGTTGACACATTTCACCTATATTCTGTGAACGAAATTAGTACTCGTTTAGGTTGTTTTTCATTCTAGAGAGAATATTACTCGTTGATAGATTCCACTTACCAAAGTAGTAGGTATTCCAACGCTTTCCGCAGCGGAGAAAGCAATCGAAAAGTTTCTTCGTTTTTCTACCGGCGTTAACGTATCATATGGTACCTTATGCGGCAGATAGGAATGAAGGATAGCGCATAGCGCTAAACCATCGTTCCACGAGCTACTGAAATTTGTAATATCGATATTCCGATAGCCTAACGTTTTGTTTTGACACCATTTGAGCAAAGCGTTGCGTTTCGAGCCTCCGTTCTTTATTAAACCGCATAACGGATCCTTGCGTTCCGACAAATCTGTCACGCTATTACGACGCACAAAGTCGATAGCCTTGGCATTTAGGGCGGCAGAATCCAGCAATTCACCGGGGCTTAACACCACAGGTACTGTTGACTTCGTTTCTGAACCGATCATTCAAACAATTTATAAATTTACTAAGCAGACTTAAACAATTTGAACCCTTTTTTTTTACTACGGGCGATCGGAGTTGTATCTTACTCTGAACACGTAGCATCGGTATTCTGTTTTGTTTCGTTTGTTTCTCACGGACGAGACACCTCGCCACACGTAACTTTTTATCGATATCGAGAAACCGCCCGTAGCGAAAAGGATAAAACTGTTTACAGGATAATTCGGAAAAGAACAATTACCTGACAAAGGTTTTCTCGCTATCGTAGCTTGAGTTTTATTGTTGTTCGTTGTATTCGCTGTGCAGATTAAATTATTGATTTGCTGCTGATCCCTGAGTGGAGCTTTTAACGTCATTATATCATTCGTTCCGATACTATTAAGAGAAGACGTAGAACTGCTACGACTTCCAGGTCCTGTTCAGAAACGATTACTTCTACCAAAAGATTATGTTAAACGATCGAAGGAAGGAGTTGAACGTCGGCATACCTGCTTTCGCTTGCTTCGTAGCATTTTCTATGCTTTCTATTAAACATTTGACGGACAACCTCGAGTCTTGACGCGAAATATTAGCTTTACGACGCGCGGCTATTTCTTGTTGCACACTCGTCAATACGCATTGTTGAGTTTCGGTCGGAGTGCTCGCTGGCCTTTGAGGTGGTTGCTGCGTCATTTTCTGATTCGCTGGAAAAATTAACAGAAATTGTACCAAGCAACTTTTACGTGGATCAATGACGAGACAAAAGAAAGCAATAAGCACTATGTTTACGTGTAAAATAAAGCACAAATATAACGAAATAAAATGAAAAGAAAAAAAGAAAAAAAAAGAAAAAAATAGAATGTCTAGAAAGAAAAGAAGGAAAAGAAGGAAAAGAAGAAAGAAAAACCTCTGTTACATGTTTCCGCTTCATAAACGAAGATCCACACGTTTATTTACATGAACTTTGTGTAAAAATACCATTTAACAAGGGACAAAACATAAAGCGAAAAAATAAATCAGGGTGAAAAGAAAACTAGAGAACGTAGTAAGCTGATAATAATTAATCGAGACGACATAAGAGGTGAAAGTGGGACCTAGAAGAATATCTGTAACTAGCAACGAGGAGGGTACGAGTGATTATGTCGATCGCTATGAGTATAAGAAACCAGGACAAACAACGGGGTTGAACTCTGCAAATACAAGCAATCACGTTTCCACACTACTGGCGACTTACGGTCGCGTATTGTACCTAGTTGACGGCCTGGTCTCAGTTCCACGTCTTCAATGATCGTTTCGAATTTCTCTCTTAACGACGACGTCCTCCCTATCAGAGATCTATCCTTGCACGCAAAAGTTGTATCGTTAACGACGCTCTCGCTTATCTTACAATCTGAATTTGTTCTCGACGTCTCGCATTCGATTAACCGCTTTCGATCATTGGCAACAGAATCCTCTGTACCGTATTCCGTATCCGACTCGGATCGCGACAAATCCATGTTCAAGAATTTCATGCGCTTTAATCTGTTCGCTTCGCGAAGCGTTAACGTTTTCTTTGTCTCTTGCGGATCATTTCTGAATTTCAACGGTTCGTCGGATGCTCTCGGCAAAGAGGTAGGAGACACGGCTATAGAATCTGCAGCCCGAACATTGTTTTTGCAATAGGAATTGAACGGTTCTCTCGACGACGACAATTTCGAAGCGATCGGTGTCGTCGGGGTATCGATAGCGGATTTTGGTAAATTCTCCAAAGAAGACAGAATCGTATTATGCTTTTCTACCTGCGGACCACCCGCGTCTCTTCCACTTTTCTCTACTTTCGGAACCGTACACGCGTTTTCCGTGTTTGCGCGCGCTTTATTCGAGACATCGAAATCTTCGGATTTCCTGTATAAACAAGATCCAGTCGGCAGACTTTTTGCTCTCGAGTACGTTGTACCTTTACCGATATTACTATGATCGTTAATAGCTGTTAATCGCTCGTTATTTCGAACTTTGTTCGCGTCGCTGTGAAAATTATTGCTCGGTTGGATGATCGTATGGAAATTCAGATTATCCAAGGAAGTAGAAAAACATCGACTTCTTAAAGCGGAATTAAAAATGTTTTGTTTGTAATCGGTATCCAAAAGAGAATCGATAATTTCGCTGCCAGATCTCGATTCAGTTTTTTTCAAAAACAATCTACGCTTTTTATTGAGGGAATCGCCTTCCAATTTTGACGAGGTCTCTGCCGCCGATTCTTTGGATAATTTTGAAAAATGCAACAACGACGAGTTTTCCTTACCCTTCGGATTAAATAAAACTGCGCTTCCTGTTCCATCTGGATCAGGTTCGTCTAATTTTTCCGAGGCTCGTATGCGAAATATTTCAGCGTTACTATTTTCTCGAGTACTTTCCTCCAACATCTTTCTCATTTCTGGATCAACCTCGAATTTCAAATCGTCCATTGCATTTTCCATCCCGGAATACACATAATTTTTAGGAACGAAGAACCTGCTATTAGATATATTAATACAATAGGAATCTTGTCCCGTACTTTGAATGCCTTTGATGTTTTTCAACAGATAAGATTTTGCAGCTGTGTTTTCCACGGAGACAAATGTATTCGGGACGTATAATTTCGGATAATCTTCGGCGCTTATCGTAAATTCGTTTAAATTTCCACTCGATACTTTTCCCTCGAACTCATCGGATTCCATCGACGAGTATCTTTTCGAATCGCGCTGTTCCTCGAACGTATCTTTCGTCGATTTTAAGCCATAATCTTCCAATGCGGGAACACAAGTTTTTTCGTTGTCCTCCAAAGTATCCTTGGCGGCGATACAAAATTCAACCTCGCCGGCAGAAATGAATTTCTCGTTTAATCCAGGCTCCTTGGAATGCTCGGATCGGAATTTATCCGATCGGACGTTTTCCTCCGAAAACGTACGATTCAATTTGTTTGAAACGACCGAATCAAGTTTGAAGTCCTCGGTTTTGTGGGAACCTGGCTCACCGATCGTTTTCAAAACGTTCGTTCGTAATGCACCCTTTTTCGATTCTTGTCGCCTTTTTATTATAGTACGACCGCGTTTCAGAATATTGCTCGAGGGTTTGCGAGAATTTCCAGCAGCGTTAACAAAAGTCTTATATTGAGGAGCTGCGGTGTTGCCTGAATATCCAAATGAAATTGAAAAGAAAAAAAAAAAACAGATAACATGTATTGTATTAATAAGTAAGTTCTGTTCCTTCTTTTGGCGATTCGTAAATGTTCGCCCGACTAAAATATCTACTATAGAAACTGGTATCGCTTTTCTAACAATACCGATTAAATATGCTTCCCTAATCGATCGTGTCGATGGATATGTATGTTTAGAAAAATTTGGTGAATGTCGTTCTTCTGTGTCGATAACGTTAAAATTTACGTAAGATACGAGGTATTTCAAAGGCATTTTACTTACCTTTATTCAACTTATCAAGTTGCGCTTCTAACGATCTCAGTTTATCCCGTTGAGCTTTATTCTCCATGACAACGCGCTCCAACTCGCTTTGAGCTTCCGTTTTAAAATCGTTCGCGACTCGTACGGTCATCAACAAGTCCGTTTGGAACTGTTGCCATTCGGCAATCTCCTCTTGCCGCAGTTTACGCTCATCGGCTAAAGCACGTTCTAATTCGTACTGATGCGTTTGGGCTTCGCGTTCTTTCCGTTGCGATTCGTTCAGCGCAGCCTTTAACTCTCTCTTATCCTCTAAATGTCTCTGACACTGCGCCTGTAATTCCGCTAACGAGTCGCGTACGAGTTGAAGTTCCGTGCTCACGGATAAACGTTCATCCTTTAATTGATTTAATCTGTACTCCAAGTCGTCGATAGCTGACTTGGCATTATTTCGTGCTACCTGAACAAACAAGGAGAAACATTAAATCGTGTTAAATCGGTTTATATCGAATAAAACGAAAACTTTTCGATTTTGATCGTACACACTTTATATTCTTCTTGAAGCTGCGAATATTGATCTCTGAGACGATCGTGATCGCAATGAGAGCGTGCCAATTGCTCTTGTAGAGCCGCCGCTTGTGTCTCCAGAGTATCTTTTTCTCTTCTGGCAGCATCTAAAAGTTCGTCCGCTTCGCTTTTGTTTTCTACCTGACGCGACTGTTCCAATTCCTCGATTTTAGCTCGAGCGTTCTCCAGTAACGTGGCCAGCCTGCTGATCTCTATGCTACGATTCGCACCCTCTTGTCTAGCTTCCGCCAATTCCAAATCCAACTGTTTTCGTTCGATGTTCGCCGCTTCCACCGACGATTCGAGCAAATGCACGCATTTCGTTAATCGTTCCGTTTCCGCCGCGCTGATTTCAGCAGCTGCTCGTAAACTTTTTACTTCTAACGTTAACTCCTCCTGCTTTTGCAACAAAGATTCCCGTTCTTCCTGTGCACTCTGCGTAATTGGTTTATTTAGTCAACGCTTGCCTCCAACCGTTTCACAATTTTATTTCTAATATACGTATACGTATATAAATATTTACCTTGAGAAGATCCACCAGTTTTTGTTCTCTTTCCGTATTGTATCCTTTAGAAGATTCTTGGGGCTGTTCCTCCCTCAAAAGCAAACCCTGTAGCGTATCAACCTTCGAACGCGAATCTTCAAGTTTTTCTGTTTGTCTGCACAAAGACTCTAGAAGAACGTCTTTCTCTTCTGTTAACCTTTCGTTATCGGCTTGTAGTTCCGTAAGCTGTGCCTAAAAAGAAGAAGACACAGAATAAAATTATATTATAATATCAGTGATAAACGATAAAAGCGTGCTTACTTGTAGATCACTCAATTCTTGAATCGTTGCCTGTAATTCTTCGTTCGTAGAATAATGAGTTTCTTCCATTTGCAATATTCTATCCTGCAGACACGCGACCGAAACTTCCGATACCGAACTGGAGGAATGTTTGTCCCAATCCGGGGTAGTACATTGAGCACTGTCCGGTACCGACACGACAGGGGTCGAACCTTCATCTTGAGGAATGGCTATGGACGCTGGCGCAGAATTATGCAGTCTCGATACATCCAGAAGTAACTGTTGTTTCTCCGAATCCGACAACGGAGAATGTGCCACGTCTCTCAGTCTTGCACGAAGAGCTTCGTTCTCTTCTGTGAGGCGTTCTAACTCCAAACTGTGCTGCTCCTGTTTGTTCAGAAAAATTCGAGTTTCTATAAACCATAAACTTTTCAAGCTAGGAAAAAACGTGTCAATAATTGCGACGAAAGAAGTATATATAATCGTTAAATGCACGATGCTAGACGTTTATGCAAACGAAAACATGGTAGTCGATCGGTTTCTAATTACTCGGACGGACTATCAGCGGAGGAACGTAATATGTTCGATCATACGATACGCGATACCGAGGAACTTAAGTCGGTAAATGAAGGTAAACAATTTTTACTCGATTCTTGTTAGGCACAGGGAGAATAAGTGTCATTATTCGAGGTTAGGTTCACGAACTTTAAGACAATCGTGTTGGCAATTTTCAAACACAAAGCTATCGTAAACTCGTGAACTTCATTCGACGATAAAACGTAAACAATTTATAAAATAAGATGCCTCTCGTCGTTTACCGTTGACGAAGAGAAACAACGTTTTTTCATATCGTTCGCGGTCGTAGCGCTTCACAAATTTCCTTCTTTCGTAAACATCCCTCCGCTTTACTGCCCTCTAGATATTCATTAAATTCTAAATCATGGACCAACACATACATACAAGATACATCCTTATGGGATGAAAATCATTGCGTAGCGAGCCGATGACATAAAAGGATACACAGTTTCGATTGGCTACCGATCGGCAGATATAACTCTAAGTTGAATTAAATAATTAAATAAATTAATTAAATTAAATAATTTCCACGTCCGTAAATATATGAATATTTGAATATTTGCCAGTTAAAAATTTGTCAAATAATGTATACGCGCGCGTAAACGTAGAAAAAATAATTGCTTCTAGTTTCTCATAATTGGCGGTACAGAATATGCGTAAAAAGCAACCAATCAGATTCAGAGGTACGCAATTCGGTCTCCCGAGTTGATCCCTATATCCCTGTATTTGAAAATCCATGCTTTAAATATAAAGAGATCGTTCGGCGAGCTGCGTGTACGGAAAAAGGAAACATCGATTAATAACGAACGTGTACGAGCAATTCGAACAGTTGTTTATGAATTATTTATTATCCGGCGAATGCTCGATGAACAAATGCAAATTAATAATCAACCGCATCTAATTGTTTTATTAATACGACTATTCTTAAACTCGAATTGCGCGTAACTGTCAATTACATAACCTCCGGTTTTTGCAATATCGGTGAGTGGTGACCACGTAGGAAGGAGAAGGAAAAAAGATCACCCGCGTTCACCTTGAATCATTGGTATATCATGGAGATTGCGCACGACTAACGCGAAACGAGTCAATCGCTCCTGCGACCACGTTCAGCGCGCCCATACCGCCCTCAAAGATGTGTTTATTTTCCTTGTAAGGTCGACGGTGTTAAGCGATGACGGAGAATGCGAATCCAGGTGGGAGTAAAAATATACAACGCATCAGGAAAAAAATGAGAGGGAAAGTAAAGGAAAGAAGATAACTTCGCGAACCTAACCTTACGAAAATTTTCATTTCGCACTGCTCTTTGCTCGTTTTTACTCGGTTAAAAAGACAGGGTCGAGGCACGAAACAGATTCAGACTCGGAACGTTGAAAGATGAAAACGTTGCAAGTTTGAAACGTACTTACACGAGCTTACGAACGTGCGCGACAGTCTCGCGATTACGCTTTACAAGTAGCGAAATATTGTATATGTCGAAATCGTGACACGTTCATTCGCGTACAATGGAATTTGCTGTTAAAGAATTTGGAATATTTGTCAGATTTCGAGTCGTCTGGCATCGTAACGAGTCTTGGAGATAATAAACATGTATATGGAAGGTTACCTTGAGAGAAGCAAGCTCGGCACGTAACTCTTGAAGATTGCGAGCGTCGCAAGAAGCTTCTTGTAGATTCGACTCGAGTCTGGCTCGTTCCTTGCGTAACACCTCGATTTCACGCTCAAGCTCCTGCATCCTGGACCCCTTGGCGGGTCCTTTGGGGTTATAACCTCCCTTCGCGTTCCCTTTGGTCGCTTCCTTACCGAGGGAGCTCCAATTTCCAACCGGTGAATTATCGTTTTTAGCCTCCAGCGAGGAGGCGCTGGGTGCCTGACGCAGCGAAATTTGTTGTTGCTGTTGTTGCTGCTGCTGCTGCTGCTGCTGTTGCTGTTGCTGTTGCGGCTGCGTCGGCTGTTGTTGTTGCTGGGTTTGTTGTCCTCTGCGAAACAGCGATTTGAACTTCATCATGGTCGTTCTTCGCGCTTAACTAGGCACTCGATCGAAATAACAAATTCATTATTTTGTTAAAAACTCGAACCGCTGACTCGTCGTCCAGCAAACGGCATTGTTCCACGTTTCGGACACTTTGTACAACATCGTACGTTTGAAATTTCTTTTGTCATTGCACCGAACATTTTCCGTAGTTAAAGAACGCGATCGAAATCGATAACAATTTCGTTTCCAAGTTCTCTTTTACGGAGGCGGACAGTTTCGTAAGTAGTAGCATCGTATCGCGCATACTTTATGAAACCGATTAAACGCGTTACGGAGTTTTTTAATTTTTTAGGGAAACACTGTATCGCGTAGTTCGTATCCTGTACGAACGAAGATTCGCGATCGGACGATACAGAATTCTCTGTAAGGAGAACGCGTATTACTTTCGCACTGTTCGATCGAAAGAACGGATTTTGCGGGCGAACGAGAAGATCGACTCTTCGCGACTCCTTCACCGGGTTAGCTGACACTTTTCGACGTTAACGAAAAGGTGAAGTTACACGAAGGCGATGATCGTTTTCTGCAGCGTGTGACACGAGTCCGGTGAAGAATTTCAAGATTCGCGTAGACGCGCGACCTCGAGCCACTTTCTTCCCCCTCCCCCCC